GAGCAGGACATATTGATCATTCTGCTAGAGTTATGCGTGTGATAACATGGAATAGATCATTCAGAGGTGTGTCTAACGGCGATGGAGCAAAGGATGATTTTGATTCAGAAGACTATGAAACTCATGCCACTGTCTTGGACAAGCTGTTAGCCTGGGAGAAAAAGCTGTATGAAGAGGTGAAGGTATGTGTAATTTTACAGTTCAACAATTTTTTTAAACAAAGGAATCTGAGTGTCCAAATGTTTGGTTAAGCAGCCGAAGATGCAATCTTTTGTTATACCCTGTGCGCCTTTTTCTTCTAATTGTGTGGAACTGTTCTTTTATGACTTTGACGAGTGACTTTTTCCATTAAATGTTCTTGTCTTTCTGACTTTCATGCCTTGCCAACAGCAAGCTGAGCTGATGAAGTTTGAGTATCAGAGAAAAGTTGCATTACTGAACAAACAGAAGAAACGCAATGCGAGTGCTGAATCTGTGGAAAAAACCAAAGCAGTTGTTAGCCATCTACATACAAGATATATTGTTGACATGCAGTCAATGGATTCAACAGTCTCAGAAGTGAATCATATTCGTGATGCACAGTTATATCCAAAGCTTGTTGCTCTTGTTAATGGGTAAGTATTTACCATTACCAGTCTGAAATTAAAGAGATCACTGTACTACTGTGGCAGTGTTGCCTCTCTTTATTATTTATAGTATTTGGTAATTTTGTTGTGATGCATTCAGAACTTGGAAGATAATTTTGTATTTGAGTGCTGTGTATTTATGTTGCATGATATCTCTTCAGGATGGCCAGTATGTGGGAAAACATGTGCATACATCATGAGAGCCAGCTGAAAATAGTTGCAGATCTCAAATCTCTAGATATATCTCAAGCTCCTAAGGAAACAACCAAGCATCATTATGAGCGGACTGTCCAACTTTCTAATGTTGTCCAAGAATGGCATTCGCAATTTGACAAGTTTGTGACTCACCAGAAACAATACACATCCAAGCTCTTAGTAGTTGGCTGAAGAATAATCTCATTCCCATCGAAAGCAGCCTAAAGGAGAAAATCTCATCGCCACCAAAAGCCCAGAATCCACCTATTCAAGCCCTACTTCAAGCTTGGCATGATCATGTTGATAGGCTTCCAGATGAGCTTGCAAAATCAGCTATTTCCTCTTTTGCCGCTGTGATAAAGACCATCATACTTCAGCAGGAGGAAGAGATGAAGCTAAAGGAGAAATGTGAGGAAACCAGAAAGGAATACCTGAGGAAAAACCAAGCATTTGAGGAATGGTACCAGAAGTATTTGCTGCGGAGGGGTCATGATGAAACAGATCATGAAAGAGGAGATGAAGTGACTGCAAACAATCCTGTAACAGAGAAGCAGTTTGCTGTGGAGAGCTTGAAGAAGAGATTAGAAGACGAAATTGAATCCCACCAAAAACACTGCGTTCAGGTTCGAGAGAAGTCACTACAGAGTCTCAAGACTCGTTTGCCTGAACTTTTCCGAGCAATGTCAGACTATTCTCATGCCTGTGCCGATGCTTATGAGAAACTGAAGTCTATTGCACATTCACAGGGTGCGGCTCCAAGACCGTGACAATGTAAAAGCTTCGGTTCGCTTCTGATAAGATTATGTATCTTAAACCTAAGGTCTGATTCAGCCTTCCACACAAGGGGTTGTTTTTAATGGGGATGCAAATTTATCAGTCTGTTCTTGTGTGAAAATTTTGCCATGGCTTCTTGACCATTTTATTCGCGCAATGATGTGTCCCCCTGATATAATGACCTCGGCGCCGTAAGTTTTTTAAGCTAAACTCAAAATGTGAACGAAAAGTATTATCTGGTTCATATAGTAGAGCAAGATTTTATATAATTCATCTTACTTGACACTTCCAAGTCCTAATTTCTGGATCAGAAAATGCTACGCATCGCCCATTGACTTGTCACAGAGTAAAGGAATCTCCTCTACGGCTGCCGTGTTTGGCTTTGTAACGTGTGTGGTTGTTGAGTGTTCTTTAATCTGTACTGAGCTTCGTATCAGCACAAATAATCTGATTTTTTTAAGCACCCTTGCATTTCAAGGAGTCGAAATACAAAGGGATAGGAAGGTGGCTGGCAAATGATGACTCTTTCGGCTGTAAAACTTTGACGTTCCTAACTCATGTCATTTCAAGCCGATTGTTCTTCCGTGGGCCAATCCAATTTTCTAGTATTTAATTTAAGACGCCTGTTTACTCAGTTTTTTTTTTCAATGAAAAATTCAATTTGCTATTATATGTTACAGATAAGAATGAAGAATAAAACTCTTTAGAAAACAAAAGTCTTCGCTTCGAACACAAAGTTATCAGAAGAAAGAGCGAAAGGGAGTATAGAAAATTCCTTTCTTTTCCTTCCCTTCCTCATTGCCCTTAATAACTTATGGCCTAATCAGCAGAATCTGAATCATGGTGTCATGTGGCAAGCCTGAAGCATCACGTAGAAAGTTTTCGCTTTGATTTAAAGCCATAGGCGTTTCAGCAGCAAACTTGTGTCTCTCTGCAAATGGATGTGAAGAAGTACTGGTTCAGCTCAAGCAGTCAAGCAACTCGAAGCACCCGTCTAGGTCGAAGCTACACGAAACCACGTAGCCACCAGACCTACGACGGCACAAGAACAGTGTGGGATATGTTACGGAGAAAACTCAGAAGAGAGAAGAAGGAAGTTTATGACCCAGAGACATACTCCAAGAACTTTGACCAAGGAGTAGGATCCATGGAGCCCGACAACCTCTGTCGTTCATTCTCGGCTCGGTTTGCTGATCCATCCAGGATTTTACCACCAAAAATTTGTTGGATTCATGAACACAATGTAATATTTTCCATGTCCTCTGTTTTTCAGGTATCCATCTCATGTTATTTGATCTACGGTCTCATCGGCTTTGATCCAGTCCTACAATGCATATGCATGGTTCTTCCTTCCTGGAATTCATTCGTATCGTTTTCTCTTACTGGGTTTGACCATATGAACATGATGAAATGATATTGAAACAAATAGAGAAGCTCTGAATGCTTCAGAATTATTTTCTGCGTACCTTTCTTTAGTCTCAAGCAAAAATAAAAATGAGCGACCTAGCTCCTCACGCAGCACGCTAGTACCAACCTTTTTATCTTAATGAATAAACTGCTAGCGGGAAACGCCGCGAGGAAAAAACAAAAGGAATCTTTTTTTTTTTTTTGAAAAAAAAAGAGAATATATGCTCTCGTTTTCTCTTACTTACTGGGTTTGACCATATGAACATGATGAAATGATATTGAAACAAATAGAGAAGCTCTGAATGCTTCAGAATTATTTTCTGCGTACCTTTCTTTAGTCTCAAGCAAAAATAAAAATGAGCGACCTAGCTCCTCACGCAGCACGCTAGTACCAACCTTTTTATCTTAATGAATAAACTGCTAGCGGGAAACGCCGCGAGGAAAAAACAAAAGAGAATCTTTTTTTTTTTTTTTGAAAAAAAAAGAGAATATATGCTCTTGTAAATTTGCAGGGAATTTCACATGTGAGCATGTCAGAATCGCAATTAATATATGTTTTTTTTTTGGGCATAGATCAGAGTATCTAGATGTAGATTACCTGTAAATTAATGGAAGCCACCCAAATTGAAATGAATTTAATAAAACACTAGTCTTTTCAATTTTAGGGTTCGTTCAGATTTAACTCCGTGATGAGGTGTTTAAGGTTCAGACTCCACTCAAATTTCGTGCGAATAAAATTTTTTTGATATTCCACCGGTCAGCACAATATAATTTATGCATGTAGGATTCTAACGGTCAAAAACGACGTCATCACGTGGTGGAGACTCATCCCGCCGTTGAATATAATTCATTCTACAATGACTTTATTAACCAAGTTTGAATATTGCAACCTGAATAATATATACTGCACCCCTTTCATGAATTTCGTGAATGCATAGATCTTGATTTTTTTTTTTTGACTGTTAAAATTTGATACAAAGAAATCAAAGATAATGAAAGAGAATAGTTGGATCGATATTCGATGGTCGCGGGGCATGCTTTCGCCGAAAGGCTCAAAGTCTTTAGTGTGGGACAGCACGTGAAGCATGGACCCGAGAATCGAAGGTCCGGGCGGTAAAGGCTTTATTGTTCAGGGAGAAAATGGTATATAGATTTGCGTGCTTTTTGAGGTTTTCATTGAAGCATCAGAAGTAGAAAAACGAAGCATATTTTCAGAAGAAACAAGTTTTAGAGGTGTTCATGTAAAAACAAATCATAATTTTCAAAATATTTTTAGAAGTAAAGTAAATATGTGAAGCAGTTTATCTTGATTTGTTAAAAAATACTTTTTAAAAGTGATAATTGGGGCAAGAGGAGTGGCTGGTAAGAGAAGTTAATTTTCTTGGTAAATCTATGTTATCCAGTATTTATTAAAAAAAATGATTATTGAGTCATCTAAACACATTTTTAATCTCCTCATAGTGATCTCAACGGTTCTAAACGGCGAGAGATTATGCTCTGGAGGTCTCTTCTTCCATTCTTGGGCGTGGCAGCCCAGGGAGCTGTGCCATATTTGGGTATTTTAGCCCAATACTGGGTTTAACAAAAATCATCAGGCAAAAAAAAAAAAGGAAGAAGAAAAAATTGGTCTTCGCGTCCCCCCGGGCACTGAAATGTACAAAAGAGATATATTTGTGATGTTGGGGCAATTTTGAAATTTTGGCATGGTTTCCATGATGAACAGTGCATTCTACTGGCAAAAAGTCAAAAACAATAGGATAGCTAGAGAGGGAACGAAGCCCACGAAAAGATTTCGAAGGTATCAAACGCTGTCTTTTGTCGTTGGATAATTCATGGGGTCTTATTAAAAACAGTAACTTTGTTTTGCTTCTGTACTACTCATACAAGGGGGTTGATGAAGCTTAATAAGCCGCATTGCTATCAGGGCTTTTATATTTTATATATATGTGGACCGATATTGATGATATAGTGCTGGGAATGCGTCTGAGCATGGGAAGCATAATATCAGATGATCAATATATAAACAACAAAAGATGATATCCGTGATGAGTTCTTGACAAGACAAAACATTCAGCAAACTATATATATGCATATGCTAGTATGGAGCATGCTAAAAATTTTTACACGGGTGCTGCACTGTAGCTCCATGGCTACAAGGCCTCTCTTGGTTTTGATTCTTCAGCTCATCTCCAGCCACCAGGAAATATGCAGTGTGCCTGCAAAAATCACAAAATATGGGCCTGGGAAATCATTTGCCGGAAAGTAGTAGTACTTCTTCTGGGTTTAGAAAACAAATAAACCTGAGAAAGTTCATCATCTTGATCTTGGATTCTTCATCGATCTCTATAGTACTGGCCATTGCTTGCTGCATGTGATGTAACCACCTCTCTGCAGCTTCATGCGTCACAGGAAATGGTCGATGTCGAGCAATCAGAGCAGGATGCCCTACCACACACGCACACAAACAAGGCACCACAAATAAAGGTTTCAACTTTAAAGCGGACGACTAATACTGTATCGCTTCTCTTGAGCCAGTACGTAATACGTAAATATATGCACTACCCACAGTCTAATAACGTGTTAATACTCTAAACACTTTCTCAGTTTCCTGGCTGCAACATCTCGACTAGAGTCGCTTCGTCCATATGTTTCACTCCTTGAGATCAATAGAATGGCGTTCTGGTGATATATATCTATATATTGATAGATAGATAGTATGTTAAAAACTATAATGAATTGGAAGCTAAGAGAAGTAGAAGCAGACCTCTTCTCTGCGAGTAAAGAGGAGGACCTCCCATTCTCTGGGCAAGAAACTCGTACTGGTTTTGAATGGCGTCTTCTTTCTTGGAATTGGCAAATATTGAACGAAACCATTCTTCCTCGTCATCATATACCCTGGTTTCAGCACAAAAAGCACAACCCCATATATACGCAGAAAGTTTATGCAACTGCAGTAATGGGTTTGTATATGCCTAAGATTATTACCTGTTGTAGAAATTAGTAGAGAGGTTAACAAAAGGTTGAAGGCCGAGCTTGTCAAAGAGATTGGAACCATCAATGGCAAAAGCATCGGATGTTCGAACACCGCTCCATTCAGAGGCCTTGTGTTGCAGAGTCTGCATGTTGATTATGAAAGGCAGAAACCAACGAGGAAGGGAAGGAGGAAGGGATCGATGAGAGAACAATTAATAAGTGATATTATAGGGTCGAACTCGCGTGGATTTCACGCGGCAATTGGAGTGGATAAAAGAGTCGAAAGACATCACAGTAGGGGATATTATGCCAAGGAGAAAGCATCCCTATGCAACTTGAAGGGATCTTTCATTCTTTTTACAGTGGGCGTGGCTTCTGGTTTTCGTTTCATCCCACTTGCGAATCAGCAGCTGCTCAAAACAAAAAATAATGCAAAACACACACTGAAAACCAAAATAAAATGAAAAAAATTCATGTATATTATGTTTCCTTGGAATAAATACAAACAGGACGAACCTTACGTTAAATTTCTTATAATTATTAATACTCCTCCTGTCTTTAATATAGGACCCAGTTTTTGAGTTAGTTTGATTCTAAATATAATACCTATTTTTTCATATTTATCAATTTTCTCTAAATACCCCTATGGATACTCCTTCAACCATAATTAATCAAGTAGAATAGGGAGATGAGGTATTAAGAAAGATGATTATGGTATTTTAGGAAAAACGTGTCACTTTTCTATAATTAACTAGCTTACCTAACTTTTTTAATCTAATTAATTAGTTAAATAGGTTTTATATTAAGGACTGGATGAGTATAATATACTCAAAGAGTTAAAGATTCGAATTAGATAACAATAATATAGTGCTTGACATCCAATCTTGTAAATATCCATTTTGATCCCAATATATAAGACGTATTTCACATATTTATTAAATTTTTTTCAAATTAACTCTAATAATACTCTCCAACAACAATTAAGTAGGCAAAGGAGGAAGGGAATTAAGTAAGATGTCTAGGGGTTTAAAAAAAACATATTATATCAACTAATTTAACTATTATTTTAATTTACTTAAATTAATTAATTAGTTTTATATTAAGGACGGGAGGGAAGAAATAACTGTTTACGGAGGATGAAAGAAACCACTTGTATTTTTAAAATTAACACCATCGGTGTTTTAAAATTACCATCTCAAATTTCATAATACTTCATAAATTAAGAATGTTTTTATATAAGTAAGACGTCAACTTCTAATTTTTAAAATTTAAATTTAAATTATCTAAAATACTGTACTTATAATAAATTTTGTCTTATAAAATTTTAGTTTTAAAATATTATATATTATTGCTAGCATATAGGAGTATATTACATTATTATTATTTATTTATTTTTTTGATTTTTATTATATTAAGGGGGTGTTTAGATTGAAACAAAACTATGGTTTAAAAATACTTTTATGATATACAAAATAAATATATAAAAAAATTTATCTTGATTTATAAAAAAATATTTTTCAAAAATATGTTTACCTCAAGCATACGACATCAATTATCAGCTTACTTTATTTTTTTTTTTTGCCCCCTTTTAATTTCAATTACTAATAATAACAGCGCGAAACGCAATATAATCAACAAACTTCGCGCAAAACGCTTGACCGCGCCGTTCTAAGGTCTGATTGCTTTGTTGTCCGAACCCTAAGCTCGAGGATTCCCGGCCTCGAACTTTAAATCGAAGAGCCTGAAGCCCCTATTTCAAGTCCTAACCTGTTTTCATTGAGATTGTTTGGTAGGATACGACTTGGCTGCTGATATTGTGACGAGACTCAGATATAACCGGAAGGAAGGTTTAATTCTGCGCATGGGAGCTACAGAAATAAAACATATGGAAAGGGAACGAACCCGGAAACGGCCTCGTTTAACGTGGGACGATGCCCCATCTTCTGAGACCGAGGTTGCTTCATTGCTATGCTTGGATTTCCTGATTAGGTTTTAGGGTTTTCGGAAAGAAATATGGGTACCGCTAATTAGATGAAATCTGACAAGGAGTTGGGATGGTTCTCCGTTGCTTCATTTAATTCTGCGCATGGGAGCTACAGAATAAAACATATGGAAAGGGAACGAACCCGGAAACGGCCTCGTTTAACGTGGGACGATGCCCCATCTTCTGAGACCGAGGTTGCTTCATTGCTATGCTTGGATTTCCTGATTAGGTTTTAGGGTTTTGGAAAGAATATGGGTACCGCTAATTAGATGAAATCTGACAAGGAGTTGGGATGGTTCTCCGTTGCTTCATCTTGTAGGCGCAAAGGGCTCTTGTGATGGGCGATGGAGTGTTTCAAAATAGGCATGCATCGCCTCCAAGAAGGGACGACGATCGTGAAGGCCATTACGTGTTTAGTCTTGGCGAAAATCTCACTCCTAGATGTAAGTTCATCGCAATTGATTTGCTTTTATATCTGATTTTTGATTGATTTACTTGGGTTGGGACTGGCAAACAATTATTTTTAGTCATATTTAGGCCCTGTTGTTGTTTGTGGGGAAAGCTACACAGCTGGTATGCATTGCATGCTTTGTATGTGCTATTTTTCTATGTATTTTTTGGGTCCAGGCCTCGTGTGTTCCGTCTTACGTTTAAAGTTCCTTTATTTTCCTTAATGAATATATCGAAGGACTCTTTATTTTGTATTTTATAATTCACTCCCATTTTAACTTATTGTCAACCTTACTTGGGTCGTGTAACCTATTACTCGGTGTTTTAGATTTTATATTCAACATGTCAGTCGATATCACTCATTTTGAAACAATGCAAAACCTGAGCGTCATGTTTTCGGTTGTGTGACATGATGCTATAATATCTGCTTTTTTTCCCCCCTTGTTTTCTTGGTAGCCTTTGCTGCTGTAATTTCTGACTTTCTCTAGAGAAATATTTCTCACTTTCTCTTTGATATCTAACAGATAAAAAATCCTCCAGCAAGATGGGTGAAGTTAAGCGCGTAAGTGCATCTGAGATATCAGTTTATTTTATGTTTTTTGATTGCTTGTGTCATTCAGCATATTGCTAGTGCTGTAGGCACGTTTGGTCGAGTTTTGGAATGTTGGGACCGCCAAACACGAGAATATGTGGCCATCAAAGTAGTTAGAAGCATACCAAAGTACCGTGACGCAGCAATGATTGAGGTTGATGTGCTTCAACGTCTAGCCAAGAATGAGAGAGGCAATTCACGGTAAAAGATCTGGATGCAAATGACTGCTAGAATTTGATTGGATGTTTTCTGGGACAACTGATATTTACTTCATACTTCCCTCATCGCAGTTGTGTACACATTCGGAACTGGTTTGATTACCGGAATCATATTTGTATTGTAAGTATGCTTTTTGGATTTCTTTCCACGAAACACTTCCCTTGATTTAGCATCGCTATTCTGATTGATTGTTGCGATATGTTATTGCTTTTTTCAGCTGCATCTACTATTGGGGTTTAGTTTTTGCATTATGTAATGGATTGGACTGATTGCACTCCCCCATATCCCCTGGGAGGAGTATTTTGGTCACTGCGTTGTGACCTATTGGTTGTTCCAGCGCTGTTGTGTTGTATTTGCATGCCTATAAGATATTATAGTCTAGTTTCCAGGAATGAGTCATGGGTTGTGCCCATTTGTGTTACAAGTGAATGGTTTTTTTTTTTTTTTTTAGTTCAGATGTAGTGTGCTGTTATGTATATGTCAATGTGGGCTTTATTCATAGATCTGGGAACTAAGCAGAATCCTTCCTTTCAATTCATTTTGATGGTGTTACCAGGTGTTTGAGAAGCTTGGACCAAGCTTATTTGATTTTCTTAAGAGAAATAAATACTGCCCATTCCCTGTGGATCTTGTTCGGGAATTTGGACGACAGCTTTTGGAATCTGTAGCATGTCTGTGGATTATTTTTGCTCTTCAGTTCATCTCACTTTTTATTTTTGCTTCACAAATCAACCACCTTTTTCCTTTGGCCTGCTTAGTCTGTCCAGGGATACAACGTATATTGGATCCATTTCCTTACTATAATTTTTTTTTGGTGATTTATCATATACAGATATGCATGACCTACGCCTAATCCACACTGACCTGAAGCCAGAAAATATACTTCTGGGTTTCTGAATTCGTAAAGATCCCTAGCTGTAAGGTATTTAGCATTTTATGTCACAAAAAATTGACATTATGGATATTAGCATAGACTTGATTATAATATATTTAAGAAAAATTCTTGGAATGGTACAGAGGGTTTTCTCAGACGAAATGCAATTCAGGTGCTTGCCCAAGTCTAGTGCTATTAAGCTGATTGATTTTGGTAGTACTGCATTTGATAACCAGAACCATAGCTCCATTGTTTCTACAAGGCATTACCGAGCCCCTGAGATTATCCTAGGTAACTAAGCGTGGTTTGGCTGACAAGAAATTGTTACTTCTATTGCTTGATTGTTTTTGTCCTTCGGAGTGCAACGCAGAAAACATTTTGGGATTTGATGTTGGTAAGGGGATTGAGACCCCTTGAAAATGTAATTAATGGCTGGCAGTCAGAGTGAATGCTCACAGCTTAGTTACTTGCCACTTATTACTTCTTATCATCCTGTAATTCTGCAGTTTGTGATTTTTCCTTCATTGGAAGTTCTAAGTCCCTTTGTACAATAATGGAAAACACTTTGCTTAAAATATATTTGTATGCTCGCATGATGCTTATTTGTCGTTGATTATTCCTTCCCTTTATATTTTGCGGCCCTTGTGTTCTTTTGTGATCGTGTTCTCCCCCTTCTCAAAGGGCATTTATAATTACAATGCCTTTCTCCTCAACTTCAGAAGGGAAAGAAATAGATTAAGTGCCGAACCTTCATAACATGTTAATCTTTTTGGCTTGAATTCACTTTTACGGCAACACAATGAAATGGAGCCATTGGGGGGTGTGCTGTATGGCTATTTCCTTGGTTGCTCGCTTGGATAGATCAAATATATGAAGTTCAGCAACTAACATGTAATTATGCTTGTTATTTTTTTTCTCACCTTCACTTGACGTGATAATTTCAGGTCTAGGGTGGTCATTCCCATGCGATTTGTGGAGTGTCGGATGTATTCCTTGTTGAACTAATCTCGGTTGGTTCATTTACGGCAACACAATGAAATGGAGCCATTGGGGGGTGTGCTGTATGGCTATTTCCTTGGTTGCTCGCTTGGATAGATCAAATATATGAAGTTCAGCAACTAACATGTAATTATGCTTGTTATTTTTTTTCTCACCTTCACTGACGTGATAATTTCAGGTCTAGGGTGGTCATCCCATGCATTTGTGGAGTGTCGGATGTATTCTTGTTGAACTAATCTCGGTTGGTGTTACTTCTGTCATGATGTGTTAAACATGTTCTAACTGATTCTTGAACATGTCGTCTTAAAAGTTTGCATGTGCAACTTTTGTCAGGGCAAAGCACTGTTTCAGACTCATGAAAACTTGGAGCACTTGGCAATGATGGAGAGAGTGCTGGGGCCTCTCCCTGAGCACATGGCTCGAAGGTCTAAGTAAGTATCTCTACCCTGGCGGATTAATTGATTCAGACTGCATTCAAACGCTGGTTTTTATGGAAGCTATGAATCAACAAAGGGAAAATGGGCAATAGCTCTGTTTAATTAAAGTTTAGAGTTCACTCCATGGATGTAGCAACATACTCATTTCCCCAGCTTGGTATTATGCAGCCGAGGTGCTGAAAAGTATTTTAGGCATGGAACACGACTAAATTGGCCTGAAGGGGCTGTTTCAAGGGAGAGTATTCGGGCAGTGAGGAAGCTTGATCATCTAAAGGTATGTTTACGTTTCTATTTTCCCAATCGTTTTTTAGCCGTATGTCAGCTCTTAATTGAGGTCGTGCTCTGCAGTGTGTATAACATTCTTCATGGGTGGCCTTATCTTTTATATATAATACTTTATGCAGGAACTTGTAGCACGCCAAATGGACTCCTCAAGATCCTCTTTAACTGATTTGTTACATGGATTACTGGCCTATGATCCGGCTAACCGTCTAACGGCTCGCCAAGCCCTCGATCATCCCTTCTTTAGGAATCCCACTTGAGAAGTTGAATTGACATGCCCCGGTGATATAAAAATGCAGACTTTCTTGTTGGTTATTATGTAAAGTTCGGCTGATCTGGCCGCAATTTTCAGCGTAGAGGAGGGGAATGTTTTCTATGTGCATAATGGCTAGATCCTAGATGTTATTGGATTTGTAGCTGTAGTCGCCTTGAAAATAAATTAAATTAATAGGATATACTTGCCTTCCTTTTTATGTTCTCAATCCCCACTACAGTACTTTTCCCCAGCATGTTTCAACACTGATTGTTAACGCAAGTGAATTCACCCATAATCAAGTATAATTCCACAAATAGATCAACGCACCGAAAATAGTACTTATTTTCCTATCTCAAAAATCGGAGGTTAATCGTTTCAACTATTTTCTTTAGCATGGAAGTCAAAAAAGGAAGAAAAGGCCGAGATGAAGAGGATATTTACTTTGGTTTCGAAGTGAAGCTCGTTATTTTTCAAAAAGGGAAAAAGTGTAGCTCGTACATATCAGGCCCCCAAAAAAAGTTAAAACTCGTTAAAAAATCATTGGAGAGAGTTGGAAGTTGAACAAGGGGTACCAAATAGCTGGACTTCGATGTCCTTTTGAGAAATCAGACCCATCTATGTTGACGGAGTCAATAAATTGGCATCACCAGTAATCTCCACAAGAACACAAGCCATTCTCAAATCTGTGGAATCTGTTTGCGTCTCTCACGACGAGCACAATCTTCAGAAGCTTTGACAAACCCTTGATAAACGTATGGCAGTCACCACAAACTCTCAAGTTTTTGAAAATGCGAATAATCCTTTTCCCATCTTTGAACCCACCACTTACCAGAGCCAAGCCAATCGCCAACTTTTCGCTATGAAACCTTAAGCTCTCCACCTTCGACTCCTCTTCAACATCATGCAATGCAAAATTCATGTTATGAACATAACCAATTTCTTCTTTCATCCTCTTCTCCATTTCTTTCAACACCTCCTGGATTTTCTCTGTAAGTGGATGGGTTTCGTCTCCATTGTAGAAAAAGTGAACTTTCTTGTCTATTTCTACCCAGCTACGTCCTGCCTCTTTCTTCAATCCTTTTCTCTTTACCATATATCTTATTCTCTCACACTCTTTCCAATACCCTGCATTAGCATAGATGTTTGACATCATCACATAGTTGACTGGATTGTTTCTATCTAATCTAAAGATTATCTCTCCTACTTCTTTCCCCATCTCGACGTCCCCGTGAATTCTACAAGCACTGAGTAGTGTCTGCCATATACCCACATTTGGCTTCAGTGGCATTTTCTCTATAAGATCCTTTGCTTCCTTTATACGTCCAGCCCTTCCAAGCATATCGACCATGCAAGCGTAATGCTCCACTTGTGGCTTTCTTTGCTGATTCCTACAGAAACTAGAGAAGGATTCTTGACCTTCTTCAATAAGTCCAGAGTGGCTACAAGCTGAGAGTACAGCCAAGTAAGTCACATTGTCTGGTACGATCCCTTCTACTTGCATTTTATTGAAAAGATCAATTGCTTTTTTCCCAATACCATGTTTTCCGTAGCCAGTGATCATAACTGTCCAGGAAACTACATTTCTTGCTGGCATCTCTCTGAAAAGTGCGTCCGCCTCATCTGTTAACCCACATTTCATGTACATATCCAAAATTGAATTTGACACTGATATTTCTAAACCAAATGGGAGTTTAAAGGTATAAGCATGCATTTGCTTTCCCAGCTCAACAAGGGCGAAATCGGCAAATACACCTACGAGGCTTGAAAGCACAAACCCATCCACTTGATGTTTCCTTTCCCTCAGCTGCTGAAAGAAGTCCATGGCTTGTGGCAAATTGTCTTCCTGTGCATATCCAAGCATAAGTGAGCTCCAAGATATCACATTCTTTGGTTCAATTCGATCGAACACCCTCCTAGCCTCAACTATGCACCTGCATTTGACATACAGATCAACGAGAGCCCCTGAAACAGTTGATTGAACCAAATATGGGAATCCTTGCGTGATTAACGAAGCATGTACTTGGGTGCCTTCTCTTACTGCACCAAGACAACTACATGCCTTCAATATACTTGAATATGTATATTCATCTGGAATGTCACCTCTCTCTTGCATTTTCCGAAACAGATTTAAAGCCTCTGCACCATGTCTTTTGAGGGTGTATCCAGCAATCATTGCATTCCAGGTTATGAGATTTTTGACTGGCATAACGTTAAACATTCTTGCTGCCTCACTAATCCTATCACATTTTGAGTACATATCAACAATAGAATTGGCCACAACAGGCAGCCATTCAAAACCAGATTTTGCACAAACCCCATGAATCTGCCTGCCATTCTCAGCGATACCCATAATCCCCGCAGCTTTTAGATTGGTGGACAGTGTGAACTCATTAGGCTTAACAGCTGCATGACCCATTTTAGAAAATAAGGATAATGAGGTTTTCGCATCACCATGTTGTAAATAGCCGCACATCAGAGCCGTCCAAGAGACCACATTTCTCTCTGGCATTTGATCGAACACAGAACAAGCAAGGTTCATCCTGCGGCATTTCGCGTACATATGTATGAGATCATTGTTTACCACCATATCACGCCCAAATCCTAACATCTCTACTAACCCATGTACTTGCTTCCCCTGATCAAGCAAACAGTTCTTCGCACACCTCTTCAGGAGCCCGGTCAATAGTTGTCTGTCAATCATCAACGGCAGAAGATCACAAATTGCTTTATAGCAGAAGTTAATGGAATTTTCATCCACAAAATCACTGATGGGAAGGGCAACTAGAAATCATGTTCTTAGAGAAATGGAAAATCATTTCGTCCCAGCTCTGCGCAGTTGTATGAAAATAGCGCAGCTAAAAAAAATCCATGCTTGTATCGTCAAGCTATCGTTAACACAGAGCAACTTCTTGGTGACAAAAATGGTGGATGTATGCGACATTTGTGGCGATACAGATTACGCGACCCTGCTTTTCCAACAACTAATAGAACCAAACGCGTTTTCCTACAACGCAATCATCAGAACTTACTCCCACAACTACCTATATAGACTCGCAATCAGTACGTTTAAGCAAATGATGAGGCATCCACGGAAATTGGCAGAAAATCCGATTTCGCCAGACAGATTCACATTCCCATTTTTGATAAAGTCATGCGCAGGGCTTTTATGTTATCGTCTTGGCCAGCAAATTCACGCGCAACTATGTAAGTTTGGGACCCATTCCCTTTGTACAACGGAGAACGCGCTGATAGATATGTATGCAAAATGTGATGATTTGACCACTGCATACAAAGTTTTCCAGCTAATGACTAACCGAGATGCAATTTCTTGGAATAGCTTAATCTATGGACACGCGCGGTTGGGTCAGATGGAAAGTGCAAAAGCTCTGTTCGACGAAATGCCTTGCAGAACAATTGTTTCTTGGACAACAATGATTGCTGGGTATGCAAGAGTTGGCTGCTATTCTGATGCATTAAAAATTTTTCGCGAAATGCAAATGGTTGGTATCGAACCCGATGAGATTAGCATCGTCTCTGTTTTACCTGCCTGTGCACAGCTAGGAGCTCTTGAGGTTGGGAAATGGATTCACATGTACTCTGATAAGAATGGGTTTTCGAAGACGACTAGCATTTGCAACGCACTAATTGAAATGTACAACAAGTGTGGTTGCGTTGATCAAGCTCGGGACTTGTTTGATCAATTGGTCGAGCGGGATGTGATTTCTTGGAGTAGCGTGATTGGAGGATTGGCTAATAATGGTAAAGCTCATGAAGCACTCGAAGTCTTCAGAGATATGCAGAGAGCACAAGTAGCTCCAAATGCGATCACATTTCTCGGAGTTTTAACAGCCTGTACACATGCAGGATTATGGAAAGAGGGATTAGAATGTTTCGATTGTATGAGAGAGGATTATCATATAGAGCCAGAGATAGAGCACTATGGTTGCCTAGTTGATCTTCTGGGACGCTCGGGACGCCTTGAACAGGCTCTTGAGACGATAAGGAAGATGCCAATAAAGCCAGATTCAAGGATATGGAACTCTCTCTTAAGTTCTTGCAGGATTCATCACAATCTTGATATGGCTATTATTGCAATGGAGCATCTTCTGGAACTTGAACCAGATGATTCTGGGAGCTATGTTTTGCTTGCTAACATATATGCGGAGCTTGGAAAATGGGAAGGTGTATCTAGCATTAGGAAACTCATTAGAAATAAGAGAATTAAGAAAACTCCAGGGTGCAGCTTGATTGAGGTTGGCGATGTGGTTGAAGAGTTTGTGTCAGGCGACGATTCAAAGCCGTTCTCAGAAGAAATCTTCTGGATCCTAGACGGGTTGGCTTTGCATCGAAATGGAACCAATGAAGTGATGGAATTTGAACGGCATGCTGATCGAGCTTTGTGTTAGGTTGTAAGTTTCATTTTTAACCCTTATCAAAAAGTTTCATTTTGTTGAAAGGCGTCCCCTCTTCTGATTAATCATAAGATAGAAAGGAATTGTAAGATTTCAGAAGGAACTCTTACATATTTGATTTCTTGGAAAGCGCAACTTGTCCCTCCCGCCATAGCAGCCTTCCAAGCTACACCACATAGCCATTGTCATTTCTCAGGCCAATATTCTAAACACAAACAATTGCATATACCCTTTGCCATGAAAAACTTCGCACCTCATAAACTGTGCAAGTTATATGAACGCCACCAAATGGACCTCAATTTCATCAAGCACGCCTTCTTTGTGGATCATATATTATGCATCTTTCCCAATTTGGATGTTAAAAAGTTAGAGCCTTTCTATTCAACAAAATACCCATCTACTACTGTAAAACAAGTCAATTAACAGGACGTATTATGAATATCCAAACGCTTGCCAAACTACAAGTTATCTACACGTTGGTATTGTTTGTTGAACGATCCACATAATACAGAACTAACCGGAAAGGACAAGTAAATGGAAACGAAGGGCAGATCTTGAGGCAGACGCGAAAGAATTACTTGCCAAACAACTGCAGAAGGGAGAGGCCGCATATGACAATGATTGCATAAGAAGCACAATCCATAAACATAGCATCCATCACGTTCTGCATCACCAAACCCGCTTCCAATGATCGACTAAGATGATCAACCCAGTGATCTCGATCAGAAGAAATTTCATTTCGTCTTCCTGCAGCCCTTCTTTGTTTAACAGTAAAAAGTTGCACAACCACAACTGTTACATTTGCCACCAAAACCATGTATAGTGGCCTACAGCTTGGTATACTCTTTACATATTTGCTATCTAGCAGAGGAAATCCTAGATAAGATAATACAACTAGCAGGGCTACACCAATAGAACAACAAAGGCGGGTAATCTTTGATGCAGTGATGGCAGAACTTATTTCGCCAGGGGTGAACAATTTAGGGTCCCTAGATTGGAAACGTGACTGGTGCTCAGTTCCTGAAGTAAAAACAGATGAATCAAGCGGAGGTTGTACTCGATTAACTTCTGAGGTAACCACAGATGAACCTGGAAGCTGTTGCATTTGTTCCACTACAGAAGTAAGCAAGCTTGAAATTCCATTTTGATGCTCAAACTCATGCAACGGTCTCTGGTCGCTGCCGTTGTAGGCACCGGAGTGGTAGGGATCAGTAACAGGATCAGCATTTAGCAAAATAGGATCTGACTCCTCTGCCTCCCCTTGCGGAGAAACTGCCCATAAAAATAACTGATCAGTGAAAGTAGTGACATAAATTCCAATTTTTTAGTTGATAAGTGAGAGACAGAAAGCATTAACAGTTATGACAAGTGACAATGCTTTGCAAGGTTTCATGCCCCCGGACATTGTCGAGTTCAGATATAATGAGATATTTAACGAGTAGTAACTTGGGTACAAGATTAGAACCAAGGACCCTAGTTTGTCATCATCTAACATCTCATTTCCCCAACCGAGCAAAATTAGACGCAACTTCCATTCTACCTCAGTAGTTTGTCCACACATTGTACAGCTCAAAAAACTGTCTTACCTATGGTAAAGCTCAGCGTCTATGTAGGAAAAAAGAACCGCTGGAGGCTTTAATCATGAGTTATGACAATAGTATCTAAAGTGATATCAAATAGTGATTTTCCTTCTAAAGGAGATGCTTCTTATAGGTGCGCAAAAATTCATTGAATTATCAACGGACAGCTATATGTAGCAAAAGCCCATTACACAACATTCACATTCTTAGGCAAAGGCAATACAACCCAAAACAGCAACATCCTAATTCTGTTTCTCTGAAGCAGACTGAGTATGTATGTATATGGACAGGGACCCACCCTTCAGAATTTCTGAATAGTTTTTCTTTCTCGAGATTTAAACTCCAAAGTTCCAACTACACGCTATTTTTACCTTATCATGGATTGCAAACCTTTCTATCATCTTCCCATGGTGTTTTTTTCCCAATAAAAGGGAGACCAATGCACCCAGACGAGAAGTGAAACACTAAAACCTAAGTTTCAAGAACTAAGTCGATGTCACCACAATCTCGGGTGCATAGAACATTACCTAAGAAGTTAAATATCTCCTGTCATTGGATACTTCAGGTACTAGCATGTTTGAAATTAAAGAAAAAAAAAATTACACATCAATTATAATAATTGGTTGATACACGGCCAGTCTATTCGCATTTAACTTAAGAGGAGATTTGGCGCCAAAGAATATATTTTCACTGAAAGGAAATTTGGAGAAAGAATAAGTATACCAGTAGTGTTTGGATGGGAGACGAAAGATCGAATGGCTTGATCGTCTGCAATTAACGGCTGGGACAACGAATCGGCATCGCCACTGGAAGGGTGGACGCCACTGGAAGGGTGGACGTGGGATGAAGGCAGAGGAGGTTGAATAGTGTGGACCCGACCCGTTATCATGGCTAATCGGTCGGATCCCCGTTCCAAGATTTTCCTTCTTCGGGCTTCTTTGGCTGTCGCATCCATCACGTAAACCTTCTGACAGAATAACATAAATACTGACGCTCCTAAATATAAGACTTGAGTTTTTTATGTAACACCGGAGAAGTATTTTTTAATTATTCACCTATATATATATGTGCGCTTTTTTTTGTTTGTTTGCCAATATATATGTGCCTTTTATCATGGAGAAGTTTCACATAAAGGACTAATTATTCTATAATTTATTTAATTATCTATGATTAATTTTAATAATGTTATTATTTTTTAAAACATATATTTAGTGATAATATGATGATAACTTTTTTTTGGCCAGCAGATATATATAATTAACTACGCTATTAGTTTTGGCAAAAAAACTACACTTATTAATATCAATATCAATATTTAATATAAAAAACACGCCGATCGGTGATATTAAGCCTATTAATCAGCAATATCAATATTTAATATAATTAACTACACTATTAATCAGCAAATTCCAGAACAGATTGGATTTACTGAAAAAAAAAGAAAAAGAAAAGAACAATCAAGTAATCAACCAGTCACAAGTGAAGAGGAAACATAGGGATAGTGAAGAGACCACGTGCTTGACCTATCTATCAGCGAAATTCATGTAAGAAATTCTCCTCCTTTGATTCTTCTCTTTCTTTTCCCTCTCAACTTGTACTTAATTATATAAGCTGCTTTTCTTGCATCCTAAATATTCTAACAACTTCAGCCAATACGTACACTCTGAAAAAAATGAGCAAAGTCATCAAGTTCATATTATTAATTAAGTAACGGAGCTAATTAATCGCAGCCACTAATACTTTATTTTGAATTGCTTGATAAGTAGCATATATAATAACAAAGCACAGCAGAAGAGGGTCATTTTGGACTAGGGTTTCTTCTTGATTCTTGACGAATTCCTGTCAATTATTCGTCTATAAGCATCGACAGCTCGTCAAGGATTTATAGTTTAATTAAGATTTGATATGATTGTGCCCTAATAAAGATGTTGATCCTTTCATAACATGTCTAATCATAAAAATTGGCCAAAAACCCTCATTAACGTCTAGAAGAGAATATCCTATAAGTTTGAATTCAGGACTTAATTATTATCTCAAGCGTACACCAATTAATCAATTAACATCTTTTTTAAATATAGTTATAGAATAATCAAACCCTAGCATCAGAGTGATGTGTACATACATATACACCTACGTACTTACGTATGTCAGACCCAACGATTTCATAATAACTAATAATGGAGCCGATATCAAATTATGGGGATTACTGAAGGAATTGAGCACTGGCAGGGATTTATATATATATATATATATATATATCTCTTCATATTTAACTTTCTGGTAGAGGTTTGCAAAAATGAAGAAGGATCGATCACTGGTTATAGATATGAAAATCTACTTGATTTATAATTTAAACAAAAAACCAATTGTACATCACGTTTTTTCCGTTAAAGTAAAACAACCCGGTGTTCGTTAATCCAAATAACCAGCTATATATATAGCCTAATGACTTGTGTGTTTTATCTCTTTATATTGTGTGTGTGTGTGTGTGTGTGTGTGTGTGTGTGATCATATTGTTGTTGTTTTGGCCGAAATATATAATAAAATCATATTAGTTGCTTGCGTCAGTGTGTAATCATGAAATTAAAGTAGTTGTTGGGTTTATATAGCTACCTGGAGAACGATACATAGATAATCAAGCACTTTCCTGGGGACAGATGAAGCCTGCTTGTTCTGCACTTCAAGGATTAAAAACTTCATATATTAATTGACATACACATGCATATACTTATATTAATTAATATGTGCCTGCTTTAATTTATGTTCTCACCAGCAGCTTAATTATTGGGTTTTTAGCATAGTCCCTTTGTTTTTCGTTGATCCATCATCTTTAAACAGTTTTGTTTAACGTATTGACACTTCTGATTATTAATTATCTATATAGTCCACCGGTGATTAGTTTATTGCTAGCTGGTGCCTGCTGATCAAGGGACGCACACTGCAAGAGTTCAAGTTGTGGACATCCCATAAATTAGAGACCATAGCTACGAATTCGGACACGAAAGTGCTAGATTTTGAGTAGATCACAGTGACCTAAGTGAGATTTCTTCTAACTAGTTTTTCCATGTTGCTGGGTCATATTTATAATATATGTGTAAATTATTAACTAATCTTTGTCTTGCTCCTCTGGTCCTTAATATAGGACCTAATTCTTGAGTTGGTTTTAGTCCTAAATATAAGATCCTTTTCTCATATTTATTAGTTTTCTCTAAATTACCCCTATGAATACTCCCTCAACTACAATCAAGTAGAAGAGAGAGAGGGGGTTATTAAGAAAGATGATTATGGTGTTTTAGGAAAAATGTGTCACTTTTTTCATAATTAACTAACTTCCCTAACTTTCTTAATATAATCAAATTAGTTAAATAGGTCTTATATTAAGGACCGGAGGAGTATTAATTAATGTGCGACAGCTCTTGAATTATTATACCTATGTACGTGCTTTAGCATGTACTTACAGGTACCAGATTTGCAGGATAGATCAGAAGATCAGTGATGACGATCTTCTCATCAGAATTCCATTTCGTTTCATAATTAATTTAAATGACCAATGTGGTTAATTACCAACAACAAGAAACATACGAATTTAACAGCTTCAATAATGCAGGTAATAAAGATAGATTGAGGTGATGTTTTCAGAACAGGTGAACATGATCGAGACAGTTGAAATTTTGATATATGAAGTGTGTTATAAGAAAGCTTTGGATTGTCCTTAATTTGTCCTCAAACGCCAAAGGCATGCTTATTTTACTTCATAATTCAAATCCAAACCTATGAATCTTCCCCAAATCATAACTAACCTTTGACAATACAGATCAAAATTTTAAAGGGACTTCAAGTATATATAATTCATTATCCCGGCAATTACTTCAATTCAAACACGTAAATTCAGCTTTCACATTTGAAGACGATTACATCAGTTCTTCAAAATATCTCTGATCAGTTCGGTCATATATTGTATCGCACAAAAACACAGTACGTGTGTGTGTGTGTATACCGGCAACAACATCGTTCATTTGATGATAAATAAAAAGAACGCATGGTTTGGGCATCAGCATCGGCAGGCTAATAAATTATATCTGCTAGCTGTAATTGAACCGCACACAAATAAGTAAATAGGAATATGATTTGAAGGTCACAGGATATATATATTAATCCTCCGGTCTTAATTTTTCTGTCTCACTAATTAGAAGAAGCCAAGCATGATATATCTTGAACAAAAGAATCTCTCACACACACACGCACTTTTTTTTGGCAGCATAAGTATTCTCTTATTAAAGACAGTTCTGTTCAAAGCACTGTCGGGTACTAAATGTGAGCATATCTCTCAATGAGAATTCGAATATTGATTTATCATATTGTGAAAACTGACTCCTTCTATTAAACTCAATTCTCGTTGGCCACACACACATGCTTTTGATTGTATACCAGTGTTGAATAAACAAGGAGAAAAATCTGCACGGTGAATTGTGATGAAAGCCTTCAAGCCTCTCTGATATACTGCAGGATAAAACCTGGAGAAAAGCAAAGAAAAAGGCGCAAAATTGAGGCTAAGACTTCTCATGGTTTGAGACTAAAGTATAGCAATTACGTATGCTTTCTAGATATATATATTTACAACAGCATAGTATACATATAATTTGAATACATACACATATACGTATAATTTGCGAGGAAAATTAAAGTATTGCAATTAATAAATGAACGTCTGTGTAGACAAGAAGCCCTAGAAATCAAACCAAATTTCCCTATCCAGCAGGCGAAATGGAATGGAGCCAAAGACTTGACTTGAGTCAATGTATTGGCCCTATGGATACGCGCAAGAAGTGCGCAAGTATGGGTCTGTTTGTATACGTAACAAAGGTTGAATATTTTATATGAAGAACGTAGAGGAGTATTCCTTGTTAAAGTAATAATTAAGGTACAATTTTTCTAATTTGTCGTTGAAGGTTAAGGCATAGAGAAAGAAAAAACATTGAAAAATACTAACTCCGATCTTTAATACAAGAACTAGTTAATTAATTTGAGTAGATTAAGAAAGTTTGTTAAACTAGTTAACTGTAATAAATAAATATTATTTTTCCTAAAATACCCTTGCTAATCATGTGCATTAACTAGAACTACCGTTTGATGACACATTTAACATGTGCAACTACTACAAAGACTACTTTTAAAAAAAATAGATAAATATGACGCACAAAGTAGATTGAGGTATGATATTTAAGATCAAATTAAAAGTCAAATTAATTTTTATATTAAAAACCGGAAGTAGTACTATCATATATTTACTTCACACTCCCTCCGACTCGTGGAGATTGGTTCTGGATGGCCCTGGGCAGCCGTCAATTTTGATCATATAGTCTTCACAACTTTTTTTTTGGGGGGGGGGGGGACCAAAATCATAGTCTTCTTTTGCTACATTTATCTTCTGCACGCGCGAAATTAAAATAAGAAGAAGAAGAAGACGGAAACGATTCAAACGATATCGCCTCCAATGAATGGATTTATAGACATGATTCCTTCAATTTGTCTCACATTATTTTACACAACTTAATTAGGATTTTAAGTTATATAATAAAATGATGTAATGTAATTTAATTTGGATTAATCCTACCTTTTTCCTTAGCCATGTCTTCTCTATAATCGGAATAGAAAAGATTGTGCACAAAATTAAAAATTAACACCGGAATTAATTAAAGATTGTCCCAACATTATCTGTATTGTATAATATTATACATGCAATTAATAGTTATATGAAAAGATTCGAAATATAATAATTGAACGCGAGATTATCACACATAGTTGCCTAGTGCTGCCAAAACAGGATGAGATTGGAAAGACAGACGTTGCTTTAATTTGTAGAAGGTGTTACCACTAATTAAATTAAAAAAGACCCAAAACAAAAAGAGACAAGAATTCAAAAAAAAAATGAAGAGAGAAAACCGAATAATGGACAAAGGCCAAAAACATCCCGAGACTGCTATATTAGTAGATTCCGTGCTTTTCGCTTCCGCTTTGTCTGTCTTTTATCACAAGCAAATTATGACCATATTTCATCAATTTCATGCGATATGTGCGCTTTATTCATTTTTTGTTACTTATCCTTATCTTTAGATTAACTCTGATTAACTTAACCTTTGCATGCCTTGATCTTTTTCTCAGCCAAAGTCAATACGATCCGAAATCAACACGTTTCATTGAACTTTTAGCCATTCCATTTCTACTTTCAACTGATGTTACATGCACAGTACTTTTTTCTTAAGGGAAAAACACAATCTGTCAAGAATTATATACATGGGTATATACAAGGAAAGATGAAGGAGACAGGAAACAAGAACATAGAATCCTGACAACTAGTCAGTGAGAGATGAGAGGGTGTTTAGTGTCTTATTGATAATACTATCTCTAGTCTTTAATATAGTTTGGCTTTTATTTTGATCCTATACTTTTTCTCTCATTTTTATTTATTTATTTTCAAGATAATCATTGTAAGCCAATATACTTAATTAGTATGTATATTTTAGGAAAGATAACACAAATTTATTATAAATAACTAACTAAACTAGTTTTCTTAATCTAATTAAATTAATCAACTAGTTTTTATATTAAGCATATATTATTGTTTTATATTGAGAGTGGTTGCCTTCTGTTGGGGGACTTGTTGCATCCTTCTTCGCCTCTTTTGACTCTTCCATTGTCTTCACTCTCCATTACTGGTCCACATAGATCATGTCGCTTGATGACACGGCATCTCCTGATTGGTCATAGAAATCAAATAGCATTAGGTAAAAAGCGTGGTCCACCCTCTCACGTGCATTATTGGCTCGTTGGCATTGCCTGTTAAGTGTTACGTTGGCTCAGAAATTTCATCTTTGACGAGGTCATGACATGGTTATTTTGATTTGGGTTTTGCTGTATACGTTCAGACTATTAGTAATTAATCTCATCAGGATAGATACAGCTGGTATATATTTGCAACTTGAAGGTCAAGACCCACGTTTGGTGAAAGCTTCACAAACACTCTTTTTAAGTTTCCTAGCCTTCCTTCTCTTCTTCATTTGTCCCTGCACTTAAATTCCCTAACTTGTCGTGCATGGTGAGCACAGAGAAAGCTTCCTGGCTTCCTTTTTATCATACGTTTACATATATATATTGGTGCAGTATCTCTCAAGCCAGTGTTTCGTTTCCTAGCGAACGAGACAACATCCTCACATAATTAAACGTCGTCGAAACCCGAATCGAAGGAGAATTTGTCTCTCCATGCAAGTGAGTGTAACTGCTTAAGAAATTAATCAACCCTGCAGATCCTTCTCTTATTTGAGGGAAGTTAATTAATACATACAAGTCTCTCCGAAATGGTTTAGCTTAATTCTTTTTTGGCAGCTTAGAGAGACAAGTGTCGGAGCTGATTGATCTTTCTTTATATTATATGCATGATGTGTTAGTTTTTTTGTGTGTGGGTACAGAAGGAGAAGGAATCAAGCAAAGAGGGGAAGGGGAGGGAGAGGGAGATGGAGATGGAAAGGTGTGGAGAAAAAGAGGAAATCCTTCCACCGGGATTTCGATTCCATCCTTCAGATGAAGAGCTCATCACTCACTATCTCATAAACAAGATCTCTGATTCTAGCTTTACAGGAAGAGCAATTGGTGATGTGGATCTCAACAAATGCGAGCCTTGGGAGCTCCCAGGTATAATACTTGTCTTCATGCAGCTATTTATCTCTCATCATGTTCAATTCAAGATCCATTATGGTCAAATGAAAGCCATACTTACTTTCGATCATCTTTCACAGTCACACAACATCTAGGGTTTCTGCTCTCTCTAAGCCCTTATCCTTCCACAATTTTCTGTATTAAATAACTGTATGCTATTCTGATATAGATGATGTTGCTTTCTTGCTTTTGATGTGTGTGTATATATATAATTTTTATTAAGGAAAAGATTCGTCTATATCTATGACCCAGTAATAATTACTGTATAAAGCTTGTTCGTTGGATATGAAATAGGGAAGGCGAAGATGGGAGAGAAGGAATGGTACTTCTTCAGTCTGAGAGATCGGAAGTACCCGACTGGTGTGAGAACGAATCGAGCAACGAACACAGGCTACTGGAAAACCACAGGCAAAGACAAGGAAATCGTCAACGCCGCCACATCGGAGCTCCTGGGCATGAAGAAGACTTTGGTCTTCTACAAAGGCAGAGCCCCAAGAGGCGAGAAAACCAACTGGGTCATGCACGAATACCGCATTCACTCTAAAACCAACAAGGTAATCAAATTAAAACACAAAACACACACATGCCGATATATATATATATTTATATCAGTTATCTATCTGTATCCTATTATGTACAGCTGAGCTAGGGTTTCACTGCATGACCATTAATTATTTCGTCTTACGTGAAACAGCAAGATGAATGGGTGGTATGCCGAGTGTTTCAGAAGAGTGGGAGCGTGGTAAAGAAGTTCCCTTCGAACCATGCAAGAGGACTGAATCCTTATGGCCTGGACATAGCAGGTTTTACTGGTGGTCCTGGTGCGAGTATTAATATGCCACCATCGGTGATGAATATGATGCACCTTGGAGATCCAGCAGCTCATTTCCTTTACGGAAGGAACAATAATAATTACATGATGGGTAATTCTGTACCAAGCAATAATACTAGTCTGAACCTACCAATGCAATCCCATCAGTTCAACAACTATCCCGTTACAGCATCAGGAGGGTTCAGTATCTCAGGACTCAATTTGAATCTGGGAAACGCATCAGTAGTTGCAGAGGGAGGAACACCCACCTCACAACCCTTTTTGCGACCATTCAGTAACCAACACGATTTGTTGACTTCTAACAACGTTGTCACACCTGTCACTTCTGTCGCTGCAGACAACCTGGGGGGCTATGGTATGGACATGAACAACGTTAATCCTCAGACTCAGAGTACTAGGTATATGGGCATGGCAGATCACTGTGTGGATCTCGATGCTTACTGGCCTTCCTACTGATAAACCAGAAGGAGAACGAAGACAATAGCACACCACCTTCTTTTTAGGTTATTATTATATTTACTAGATATGGTAATATAATGCAGAGAGAATATAATTGAACTTTAGTTGGATCAGCTACCCTCATAAACGTACGCTTTGCTTACTCTAGTGTTCTGTTTAAGTTTCTTGTGTGGGTAATTTCAATATATCGCCCAGCAAGCCAAGTCTTGTATTCCTTCAGAATCAAGCAACTTCTCCAATAATGTTTTGCTTTATCAACCTTCTTTCCTGAATTCAGTATTACTACAGAATTACGATATTGCGTTTTCCTCATATGATCTGCGCAAGTAATTTTTATATATGTTTCATCGGTTTCTTGTGTAAACATATAGGTCGGAGCTCGCTCATATATATTATATCGCTTAGAATATATATATATATATATATATATTTAACTACTGTGCAGTCCGAGATCTTTTTACCTATTTACGAAGTCCCTTTCTCTTTCTCTTCTTAAAATTTATAAATATGTGTGTGTGGTGGATCCAGTATATTATGGATGTGAATGCAAAAGTACAAATGGTTTTATATATAATGCTCTTCTAATGCAGCTAATACTTTATATATGCACACAAACATGACCATTATTTAGTATATCTAACATTTGATTCTTGCAGCTATTTTTGATATTTTGAGTGTACTTGGATTTTAAATGAAAGGTAGCTCACTGAAAATAATATTTTAAAAATCAAACTATGATTTTAAAAATAATTTTACGATATATTAAGTAAATATGTGAGAAAAAATTCACGTTTAATGTTTTTTTGAAGAAGCCAAACACCCCTTGAATTTGAAACATTATTTAAAAAAGGAATTTGAAGAAGCCAAACACCCCTTGAATTTGAAACATTATTTAAAAAAAGGAACCAGTTCCAAAGAACACTGTTGATGATAGCATAATTTCGGTGCGTATTGCGGCAATGCTCGTCTTAATGAAGCAAGAGTTCCCTCACGTAAATCGGTCAAAGCTATGCATGATTTATGTACGAAGGAGTAAATCACATCCTCCAGGCTGTATGAAGGAGTAATAACATTTCTCCTTCTCTGGCAAAAAAAAAAGAAAAAATCCGCTTCAGCTCAAAAGTTGCGAATTATTCAACTGAAGGAAAGGTTAATTAGAATAAGATTAGTTATTACTACCTTTAATCCTTAATATAGGACATTGTTTGACTTTTATTTTGATCCTAAATATAAGGTATCAATCTTCTTTTTCTCTCATATTTATGTATCTTTTTTCAAGATAATCCTTCCCACAATAGTAATTCTAACTAATACATTTTATTAGTAAGAATATTTTAAAAAAGACGACACATATTTATTATAAATAACTAATTTAACTTCTTTTCTTATAATTAGAATAAGAGATAGTACTCTTCCGGTCCTTAATATAGGACCCAATTGTTGAGTTAGTTTTGGTTTTAAATATAAGACCCATTTCTCATATTTATCAATTTTTTCTAAAGTACCCCTATAGATGCTCTCTCAATCATAATCAAGTAGAAGAGGGAGAGGATGTATTAAAAAAGATGATTATGGTATTTTAGAAAAAACATGTCACATTTCTTATAATTAACTAACTTATCTAACTTCCTTAATCTAATCAAATTAGTTAAATGGGTCTTATATTAAGGACCGGAGGAGTATTTTGATTAGAGAACTTTTCTGACGTTTATTCTGATCTAATCCCTTAATTTTTCAAGTACCCTAATTCCTCAAGCCCATCTTGTTATTTTTTTTAGTACATAATTGGGTTGAATTAAAAAAAAAATAAAGTAACTCAATTTCCTTCAAATTTAAATCTCAAATAAAATTAAAAAAAAAAAACACATTGACAAAGATACCATAAATTGAATCCAACAAAGCTTCAATCTAACCCAATAATACTAAATATCATATGATTGTATAAAAAATATTTCTCAGTTTTTTCTAGTATAGATGAATTTTTAAGGGCGGATTCTAACACGAAAAAAGAAAAGAACATGGCCCACATTGAAAGTCAAAGGAATAAATTGAAATTAAAAAGATTAAATTGAAATAAATAAATTAAGAACGCATATATATATTGGTAAAAAGATCAACTTCATTTAAAACGAAATAGAAAGCAGACCATAGTTAAGTGGGTATAATTAAATTATATAAGACGGAGCGAAGGATAAACCAATACAATGTTCAGTAGCTAAAATTCTAATAAACGGCTTTCACCAAAAAAAAAAAAAATCTAGTAAACGGCGGCCATGATCCGTTGCCCAGCTTCACGGGCTAAAACTGCCCAGCACGTCCTGTCCTGTTCACCAAAAAATGGATAGAAGCCAAGGTGAAACGGCACAACCATCTGCAAGAAACAAAAACATTTTTATCACAACTCCGTTGAACTGTGCAGAAAGAATACACACACACACACAAAAATAAATTCCAACAGTAGTAATGAAAAGTAAGCCTCTTGATTCTTTTCATTTTTCCTTGTTAAAAGAAGAAAATGGTACATTATGTAGGTAGGCTGCTTTCAGGTTCCATCACTCACGAATCATTCTCAATATGAGATACATATGCCCAGCACTACCTCTTCCAGCTGCCATTCTCACACACTACATAGCGAGAAATTTGAGAAGATATGTTAGCTGGCAAAAGCAATAAGCCCCACTTTCTTAATAGTCGGTCAAATGAAATTGATTCTTCACCAATTTCGATCATGACATCATACAAAAGATCAGGAGAAAAAGTTACAGACATGCACCATTCTCAGATCATATTTACAGATAAAGACCAAGCTATGATTATTCTCAGTGAACAGAGAAATTTATTTGGATATCTATAACATTCGTTGGCCCTATATAATTTCAATCAACTGCAGAGAGATGGAATCATCGAGTAAAAATTGCTAGGATATCAACTTCTCCAATGAAGTATTTTCTTTGTGCATGGCACTATAATAACAGGCAACGAACCAGGCTTCAGACCAAAAATATATTCATAAATGCTATCCCAGAAAATATTAAAAAGGCATACCTAACTACTCTCAACAAAATAAATTAAGAAAATCCTCTGTCATCTACTGGTCACGACGTCCCCGCTTAACTTTCCGGCGTGGATGGTGTGAGTCTACATTTCGCAATGGTTTCTTTGCCTTTCTACTGCAGCGCAGCAGACAAGTGAGAAAAGTTGTGACTGACAGTTCACTACTTCTAAAATATATTAACATTCACAATTCATAAATGTAAATGGAAAGCGATTAACAGACAGCAGAATCAGAAAAAGAACTAAGAAAAAAGAAATTTCACACTGACCAGAAAATGGCAGAGAACACTCTAGCCAATAAAACAAAAGGTAAGACCAAAAGTGCTGATGCCTGCAAATTTACAGTGTTCATTAAACCACCCAAATGATTGATTATATCAATTTCACTAGTTATTTGTCGGGAAAGATAAAATCATTAGATACATACAGCAAACCATTCCAACTCCTTTGTAGCAAAAGGCCTAGTAAGTTCATGCTCCTTTAGCGTCTGCTGGACAGTAGCTTGCACCTTAACAGCAAAAGAAAATAAAAACACTCTATAGCAAGCAACAGAAGATTATCTTCCTGATCTCTCTTTAGCAGTACAAGTGTGCACAGAAACAAACTTAGAGTGAATAAAAGCACCCAGAATTAGAGTTTGACAAAAAAGTGATTACGGATCCTAGGTACACAATACAGTAAGAGCAGCAATTATACCAAAAAAAAAGGGTCTCCGCAAGATCATGATAACAGAATCATTTTGTGGCCACTAGAAGTAGGAAAGTATAAAGAAATAAAGAATCATGAAATGTGATAATGCACTAAGGCAGCAATACCAAGTTGGGTTCGAGAAAAATTTTCTTTCATTGGTCAGTCAAACAAGAACCAAACAGAAGGCAAATGACCATCAAGCAACATATAAAGCATTAACTAATTGCACTTTAATTAGATGAAGATGAGCCAAGGAAATACTAAGACTGACCGTAGGAATGAAGAGCTAAAACAATCAAAAGATAGAATTTTCAAGCAAATTTTACACTTTCACTGGGCATATATGCAGATAATTTAACAACAAAAATTACCCCAAATTTTCATTACGGGGAAAAATAGCAGAGTTAGAGCCTCCTACTCAATAACAATTCTAAACAAAGGAAGGCCAATTCTAAACAAAAGAACGTGACTAAAAGAACGCTTTATCAATTCTAGGAAATAAGCCATCAAGTCTAATAACAAGGAACTTCATGAACTGTTGAACAAGGAATTTAACGAAAATTAGATACCGTGGCAAGTTCTAGAATTGCATTCATACGGATGAATCATTGAAAGAGGGGGCAGGGGACTAATCCTTACAATCCATTTAGGGACCAAACAATTGTTATCCAGATATAAAATTTGCAAAATTTTAATAGCAATAGAAGAGCAGCAGCAAGATACCTGGCTATGATACGTAGTAGCTGATTCCAAGAACTTCCCATAAGCATGCATGGCCTTCATCGTGTAGGGCTCCAAAGCCACTAGTAATCTATCAACATGGGGTTTAGCTGCAACAGCAGCCTGATCGAGGTATGGCTTGCTTAACTTTTTAGCTTCCTGTAGCCCATTAGAAATCGGATCAAAATATACATCAACAGATCGAACTAACCATAAGGTTCAAGTAGCATAATATGTACCTGATAATAAGGATCTACAGCTTGTTGTACGCTGGTCAAGTGTGAGGTGACTACACTCTTCGAAACCTCATAAACTTCAACAATTTTTGTAGTCAACAATCGCATATGAGGTTCAGCATTTGTTTTCAGCACAGAACACTGTTCTCTCATAGCCGGGATCCATTTCTTCAAGTGATAAACAAGAAAGAATGAAAAGGAATGTAACCCAATTTGCACGAGTGTTAAACAAACCAGCTATTTCTTACATAAAAACCCAACGCCCAAATAACATGATTAGGCTATGAGCCTATCAAACAGAAACTTAAAAAGGAGCTTCATCTTCTAGCCACTGGGCATAGCTTCATCTTCTAGCCACTGGGCATAAGTATAGTAGGAAAAGCTACCATCCAAAACGTGATGCCTCTTAAATATACATATTATTTAATTATTTTATGCCATATAATCCTTAGAGATACACACATACATAGAAATTTCTCCAGACAGAATAGATCAAAATCTGAATTACATAAATACTAAAAGGAAGGCTTACAGTTTTAATTGTTTCCACGGGAGGTTCAGCCCACTTCCCAGCTTGTGCCTTTTTTTCTAGAAACTGGAACAACAACAACATTAAATACAGAAGTCAACAGGTCCCATTTTTAGTTATTAAGAGAAAAAAGGGTACCTTCTGTGTAATCACTTCCAAAGCAGGTTTCCCATGCTCATTCCAATGTGTCTGAAGAAAGGACTGGAAAATTCAAATAGTTTCAGAGCATTCATGAAGAAAGCTGTTCTCATCAACATTATTACAGTATATGAAAACAACTAACCTTACAGCGGACCCAGTGTAAAGCAAGCCAAGGTGGAAGCCAGGCAGCATAGACCTAATAATTAATATCAGCATTCATCACTCACATGCCAAATGCACATCATTAGGATTATTATAATTGCTAGTCATAACTCATAAAATGAAAACAAGACAATATTCAATCTATCATTAGTATAGTAGGTATAGACAGAAACTTCTATGAAAACCAAAACAAGACTTTAATAAAGCCACTCAGCGAAATATCATATCGTTAATGGCACATCAGATGTCTAGAGACCCTCCAACTGTGTTTGAGATAACCCTTAGTTATTTTGAATTATTTTTCAAAAACATATCCAGTAACTAGGACGGCTCAACAAAGTGAATCCTAGTCAACCTACCGCATATTGGGTCTAAAAGCAAACCAAGAAATGCCATTCAATCAACCTATAATTATTTATTTTTCCCTTCAATTAAGTGACATGATATTATCATTTCCAAAGATTCCCTTGACAGATACTTTTGCTGCAATAGGCAAAGTCATTGACACTAAAAAACACTTCCCTTTATTTTCAAGAAAAATTAAAATGATTTTCAATGCATCACACTGTCAATCATTAGCCTGGATTAATGGCTGTCTGGGATTACAAGTAAGTAGGAAAAATCATAGGGTACAAGCATTCATGTAAATAAGTACCTCCATTAACTCTTCTCTTCTGGAACTCTCCTCAAACTTTGCCCTCATCATTTCCTCCTTTATCAAAATATTGGGTGAAGAGACCAAGAAACTTTGTTAAAATTGTTACAAGGTATATTGCACAGGAAAGACAAGAACACAAGTACTTTAACATACCTCAGAAACTCTGAGAGCACGTTCAATTTTATGAATTTGCATCTTTTGTTCCTCATTTATCTTTCGAAGCTGTCAGGAAATCACTGCACAAGTCACCACATAACACTCGAACAAATATTGTTTAAGTGATGAGAAATTGAAGTTAAAAGTTGTACAAGTTGATGTCTACTTCCAATAGCCGACACCATTATAGTCTTGACTATATAATAAAAACTAGTTTTACAAATCCAGGTCTAACCTGAAGCACTGACTCCCTGCCCCATCAAAAGAGAAAGAAGATTGACAACTAAGGAGCATGCACTTAACAAAAGATGACATGTTGCTACCAACAACTTCCAGGACCTCAGATTCTAAGCCCTACTGAAAGATGGAAATATATGGGAGGAAGAACTCATCATGTCTATTTTGCCTAAATCGATGTTTCATCCATTTAGCAAAGGACTCATTTTACGGCTAGATTTTGTCACTTACTAAGGTCTACCACCTTCAAGCCCTGAAACCATATTGTAATGAAGTAAGAGCATAAACCCCCACACACAATCCAACCAAAGGGTTCCGAAGACACCATTACCACATCGGACATGACAAAAGCAAAATTTGAATGATCTAGCTGAACACAACTTACATTCTCTAATTTTGAGTTCAATCCATGGATCTGTTCCTCAGCTTCAATTACTCGCGTTTCCAGGGTCACTTTATCCCTATTTTGTGTTTCTATTTCCCTTTGAAGCTTGTCCGCCTGCAAAAAGAACCTCAGAGGAGGGGAAAAAGAATTCTACTCAATTAAATCCTCTAAGTGATTCCTACCAACCTGTTTTTCTAGTTCAATGGCACGGGCTTTGGCCTTTTCAACCTTCTCCTCAGAATCTAATGCACCTTTTTTCTAAGAGCGAAGTACAGAATTAGGAGAATTAATTTTATAATAATCATTAAGATACAATGTATACAGAAATTACAATAAAAACAAGATTCTGTGATCCCTCCTCTAATAGTGTTTCGAGATGCAGTAATAAGAGAAACGATTGTTTCACGAAAAAAAAAGAAAAGAAAAGAAAATGAAGCAAACTTTTACTTTGCATGCCGAGAGATGACATTTCGTTCTCACCTGCAGAGAAGCAATCTCATTCCGCAAGGACTCAATGCTATGTGACCTATCCTGAATAATTTTTTCCTTTTCTGCTACTAATTTATCCTTGTTCTTTAATTCTTGGGTTTTTCCACTTGCATGGGATTCTACATAAATTAAATAGAGAGTGTATTAGTTATTAAATAAAGTGCCAAAACCCATCATGTACACATGATTGACAACAACAATGAGAAAAGGGAATATAACGTCTTGGAATTTGCAAGGACCTATCGGCTAAGTAGGTCCCTCCAATCACGAACAAGCAGCTCTTCATAGGGATAGCGCAAAGGTTGCTAGTTAGGAGATTTATCAAAGAAAACCCGTGTCTGACTATAGTACCAACAATTCCAACATAAATTTTTCAGCAGAAGTTCTCAGACCGTCCTAACACTCGACTTGCTAATCGAGAATGAAAGAAGCCTTAAGCCGGAACTCTGAGTTCCCTCTGTTCTTTCTTTCTTTTTGCATTTTTCACTCATAAGATACATTACATAAAGATGGAGAATTTCAAAACCAATACCTATTAATTAAAGAATTTCACTTTGCACATTGTTCGGAAACATCCCTATATGCGGGTTTGCCAACAGAATCATTATGCTTGTCTTAAGCTCCATTCAACTACGGGTGCATCATGTAAATTCATTATGGCAAATTAAGGGAAAGAAAAGACTGATAAAAGAACATTCTAACTTCACCAAGTTTCAGCTTCCTGAGTCATGACAAAATAGGATCGAAGTCCAGGTAAAAAAGAATAGCATATGACATAAGGCATGAGCCATGACAGCGACCTCAGCGAAAGTTCACCGTCAAACCTCGAAGAATAGAAGGACGCTGGCATGGTTCACTTGCTACTTAGAGTTACTGTGCTAAAATCTAAACGCTGGACAAAAAAGAAAACTACTTTGCAACGAGAACCAACCGAGAGTTTGGATCTTTGAGTTGAGTTGATCAAGTTTAGTCTTGAGAGGCGCTGAATCAGAGCCGTCGACCACGTTTACACGCAGTGATTCATCTTCTGCAGCGCCTTGTGCAGCGAAAACGTTGGCCCCAACATGGAAGAAAATTAAGGACAGAAGAAATATGAACAGAACAAGGAGCTTTGGAGACGCCATGGAAATGCAGATTTGCCGCCAACAAAGCAGTTGAGAAGCAACAACTTAGAACATAGACTGCCTGATACTTTTCCAGCAATGGTCCTGCGCGTCAAATCGCAGCAGATTTTTCTTTACTGATATTGGGACCCGATCAAAATAAGGTGAATAATGCTGCGCTGCATCCGTCAGTTCGCCCGTAAGGGAATCTCGACGCGACGTGGAATCTCGGCACGTGGCGAGAATACGGGATCTACTCAATTGACACGGCACTGGTTGGTTATAATTTTTGTATTTATTTCAAAAATAAGATCCACCTACAAAAACTACAGATTAATTTAATGATTTAAAATTTAACAACAACTTAATAATAGACCATGCAAGGAACGGGGCAAAATAATAATTTTTTTTGTTTTATAGGATAATAAGATGTAAAAAGTACTTTCCTTAGACAAACTTGTATATCTTTCACACATCATTAGACATTAAGGCACATTTTAACCTATTGTCTCCAATAGAAGCCAAATTTTCACATGAATTCGGGTATTACCTTCCCACGTGCAGGGGCTTTTGCCCTGTATTTCACCCAAAAAAAAAAAGGTGGAAAAAGGATTCGAGAAAATGTGATTTAAAAAAAATAAATCAGTGACGAATCATCGGTTTTTGGGCCAGGAACAAAGCATTAGTTGAGGCAGATGTTATGTCGAGAAATTTCGCTTATTCAATTTTTTTCCCCCCAATATCATTCAAATTAATAAAAAAAAAAGGGGAAAAGCTAAAACGACATTGGAAGGCAACGCAGGGAAAAAGTTAACATCATATGTTTTAGGATGCGGACATATTGAAAATTTGAAATATATTTACAATTTAATCGATGCTAACACTTTAATTTTTTTTTTTCAAAATAAATGTTGCACAAACATGATGTCTAACTGGTCTGCATAATTAACGTTAAAAAAAACTGGTCTGTATAATTATAATTTGAGCACTTTCATCTTCCATGGAAAACCAATTAACAATTAACAATACCATAGAAATCGATTATTCAAAACATTGGCTTAATTAATCAAATTGAGACCAGTCTCCTTTCTTTTTTTCAAAAAAAAAGTCAAGGTCGTTGGTTTGCTACGAGTAACGCGGTTTTATGTGAGGAGAGCCCACAGGCCAAGAGATTCCAGAAGAACGAAGACTGGCTAGTGGCTACTGTAGAACCGAAAGAGCCAAGCCGCCACCTAACACCGCCTTTCCTTGGTTTCCCACCAACCTCGCTTGGTTCCAGCGCCCGCCTTTTTTTTTTGCCAATTTTATTTTTAATTGTCGACCACCCACTGGCCTGGTTTTCTAGATTTTATAGTATTTGTTTTCACGTTTACAAAATGAGTGCCAGAAAACATTACTCGTACACTGTAATAATAGTACCGCTTTGCTCGTACATTGTGATTTATCAATTATAATATAGATTTTTCTGGCATAATCTGAACTGCAGAAAATAACTGCATCTGATCGGTAAACTCTATAGAATATTATGAGTTTTAAATCTTTTCGGATCTGAGATATCAATTCCAGGCTGGACTAGATTAACGTCTGGTATTTGTATTTTTTTGGGGGTCAAAAACGGCGTTTGAAATAGAGTACTAGTGATTCATTGGGTGACGAATTAACAAGATTGCATGGATGAGGAGCTAACACGTGTCGAGATCTGGCGCGAGGGCCTGTCGGATTATCCCCCTCACGAAGTCGGTCCCATTCTCATTTCGCAGAAGTATAAACAGAAGAAATGTGCTTTGTTTGATTTTGGTTCGGTTTACCTGTTTGCTAAGCAAACCGGAAGATTCTAATTCCAGTAAATGACATCGACATTTCTTCGTTGAAACTTCTCCTTCCTCTCTCTCTTTACCTCTGGCGCTCTTTGTTTCTCCCGCTTTATCGTTCTCCGACTTACTCTAATTTCCTAGACTTCGGGTACACCCTCCTGATTTTCCGATTATAATTATAGTTGAATTTCGCTTTACTGATTCAGCTATGCAATTTTGAGCCCAGTTCTTCGAGAATGCGATCTACTTTTTATGAGTCTCTGAAGTACTGTTGAACCATTTTTCCCCTGTTCATTTTATTTATATTCTCCATTTATTGTCCCTTAGTATATAAGCCTTAAGGCGTCCAGGTCGCTCTGTAATTTGGTTAGTGATATATTCACGAGTTTCTTAAACACTAATTATCTCAATTTAGCTTAATTTTATTCTTCCTCTTGAATTTGGTTGATATTTAATTTACATTGCGAGGATTCACGATATTGATGTCAAATGTCCTATTCAGTGATATTTAATTTACCTTTAGGCTGTCCTTTCAAGTCGGGTTATGTTTCAAGGATTAGTGCATATTAAATTACGATCAATTTCATTACTGCTGTAATGAATAGCTTTTTATTTTCATTTTTTACCTCTAAGTTGATTAGTTGACAAGTGGTTATCATACTCTCTTCCGGAGTATGTAATCAACATTCTTACAGCTAGCATTTTTCTCCTTATTTCTATAAACTTGAAATTGAAATAGCTCATTACCAAAAGTGGTGATGTAGTGTTAAGAGCTAATTATGGGTCTTCAGTTTCACATTGGTATGCGACTGTAATGTGAAATTTTTTTCAGACCTTGGGATCTCCAACTTCAAGTGCTAGCTTTTGATGTGGTTTTTCCAAAGTTATCATAACTCAATATCTAACCCTTCCACTACATCCAAGTCCAAGGGGCAATTGTGCAGCGTAAGCAATGATGGTGATATGCAGTGTTATCCTATACGCTGCTTGGTAGAAATTCAAGAAATTGGGGCATCTTATGCATAGGTTTTACTTCCTTAGGAGGTAGGAATTAGATTATCTTCAGGGAGGCTTAAGGATTCTGGAAATAGAAATTTGAGCTAACTGGAGCAGGCTGTTTCTTCAATACAATCTGTCCCTATCTCATAGTTGTTTTGTTACTTATGCTTGCTTGTACTATTCCGCATCACTAGCTCAGTCAACTGGTTCTTTCTTAGCACTTTTCTAATCTGTGTTATTCTGTGGATTTTACAGTGGTTGTTTAATTGAAATTCTGCAGGATAGAGACTAGTCGCTCTGTCTTATTTGTCTCCCAAAAGTTCTTTAAATTTATAAGATATTGTGATTCCATTTTCTAGCTCTTCTGCGAGAATGGGGCGGGGAAACATTTACGGAAGACGTGCTAGAATATTCACAATGGCTGTATTAGTATACCTAGATTATAAGGTGAACTTCATTGGTTTCATTGATTGACTTATCTAATTTTTTTATATTTATTTCTATCTAGCATTTTTTTCACCTTGTTTCTCACACTTTGTTTAGTCTGTACAACAAAGAGAGAAATGGACTAGAAAATCTAAACAAGCTGCATTATGGGAGAAGGCTCATGAACGCAATGCTAAGCGAGTTCTGAATTTGATGATTGAGCTAGAAGGTTTATGGGTCAAACTTGGGCAATATTTGTCCACCCGTGCTGATGTGCTTCCAGCTGCATATATTCGCCTTTTGAAGCAGTTGCAGGACGCTCTTCCTCCTCGCCCCTTGGAAGAGGTTTTTCCCCCCTTTTAATTAAAGAAATATTTTGTTTAACTATTGAGAAAAAAGGGGCTAATCTTTACAGCCTAAAGTTTATTTTATGTGATGATATGAAATGAGAAAATAAATCCTAATATTTTCAATATATATAAACTTCGAAAATAAAATTATGTGGTTCATGAATTTTTGTACTTCAATATGTGCATGAATTTCTCATTTAATCTGATGAAACCAATATTGTTAGTTTGAGCTTCACAGGCTCATGACATGTTGTTTTTCCATCCATGAGCATGAATGATGGCCTATATGTGAAAATTCTCAAATTTTCTGTTGCTTGGGCAAAACTTTAAGACTACTCATTTCTGACATGAAGTTTATGTGTGTGTGCAAGATCTATGGCACAATTCAGAAAGAGCTGGGGAAATCAATGGATGAGCTATTTGCAAATTTTATCAATGAACCTTTGGCAACGGCATCTGTAAGACTTTGTGGATGTTATTACTAGTTGAGAATTATAGAATGATTTAGTATTTCGGTAGCTAATTCTTTGTCCTGGAGTGAGTTGATTCAATTCCATCTATGTGCCGTTGATTTATGCAGATAGCGCAAGTCCATCGTGCAACTCTTCTTAACGGGCAGGAAGTTGTTGTTAAAGTTCAACATGATGGTATTAAGACTGTCATACTGGAGGTTTGCTAGTTTTCTTCTCATTTTCCGTCTGGATAAAATGGTGAATCGGGGTTTTGCAAATGGTTTGGACTTGTATTGCTTTCAGGACTTAAAAAGTGCCAAGTCAATTGTTGACTGGATAGCTTGGGTTGAGCCGCAATATAACTTCAATCCTATGATAGATGAATGGTGCAGAGAAGCTCCCAAAGAACTTGATTTCAACCAGGAGGCTGGTATTCCAGATCTTTTCTAAAGTTTAACATTGTAGATTTAAATTTGTAATCAAACTTTATCTGGCATAATTGATGCTCCTAATGATCTGGTTGACTGATGGAATGCGATGCCAACTAACCTATAATATTTGATATCCTATCTTATGGGGTGTGCTTAGCTCACTATTGAATATCTATCAATGTGGCACCTATGCTATGGTTCTTCCCTCTTGTTTTCTTATTCTCATACTGTGTGGTGTCCTGGATGTAAAGGAATCATCTTTCCATTTCTATATACAACGTCTATAATGGTCTTTTAATTTCTTTCCTTTTCACTTTTTTTGAGTAGAGATCCAAGGATCACTTCGTATCATCAAAGTTGGTTTTTTTATTTTATCTTTTTTTTTTCCTTCCCTTCTATTTTATTTGCCAAGTGAGTATTATTGTTGCGTTTGCCCTTGTTATTTTGTGTTTTTAAATTCTCTGTATATATTCTTCCCAACTAGTTGGATTAATCTGGTTCCTTTCTTGAATTGCAAAATTTTCTCTTATTAATATTTTTTGCTGTAGAAAACACGAGAAAGGTGGCCAAAAATCTTGGTTGCAGAAATCAATATGATGGCAATATGAATGCTCATCGAGTTGATGTTTTGATTCCAGATGTAATTCAGGTATTTCAATGTGTCAAGTTTTGACCCTCTAATGTCATGAGCCTGGGCATGATTTTCTGGATTTAAAAGTTTTAGAGAGTTTTTGATACCTTTGATTTAAACATTTTAAGTTCGATGATTCCAATCTAAGTATAAATCATGTAACAGAAGACTAATGATTAGAATGCTGGTATTATTGGAATAAATATTGTAAAATTGATAATTTTGGGAATTATGACGATGTTAGACATGGGGCATTTAAAAAATATATGAAACAAGTGATTTCTTCTTGTTGAATATTTTATAGAAGTCCCATCTATAATAGTGTTGGGTAATGCCTTGTAGAATGTGCCCTGGAAAGACGTAATTTGCAGTAAATTTGAAGAAACTTGGTGAATAAATTCGATTTTATATATATATATAAATGAGAATAGGAGTGACCCTGGTTTTACATATTTGCCTCCCAATTTTCATTACCAATGCACTAAATTTTTTTCCCTATACTAGCATGCCTTCTATTATTGCCTTATTCATTAATATCAGTATCTCAAGTGAAAATTTTGTTTGGTGGAGCTCTTTCAATTAAATGCTTGCACCTTTTAGCAATGCATTTCAGTTGGTGTCTAGATTTTTTTTTTTTTTTTTTTGGTTTAAATGGAAATTTGCACACTTTCAATTCTTCTATTATCTTCTCTGGTGGACTTTATCCTGTATGATTCACTCTCGTTGCTTCCAATGACAGTCAACAGAAAAAGTCCTTGTTTTGGAGTACATGGATGGTATTCGACTGAATGATTCTGACGCGCTAGAAGCTTTTGGGGTAAATAAGCAAAAGATTGTTGAGGAGATAACCCGTGCTTATTCGCACCAAATATATGTTGATGGGTTTTTCAATGGTGACCCTCATCCTGGTACACTACTTCTCTCTCCATCTCTGCCTATGTTTGTGTATGATGTGAATACGCACAATAGTTATTGATTTTTTCCACTCTGATGACCTCTCTGTTTTTTTTTTTGCTCTTGAGAATATTACAGGAAATTTTCTTGTGAGCAAGGAATCTCCTCATCGTCCCATTTTACTAGACTTTGGGCTCACAAAGAAACTATCGACCACCATTAAGCAAGCTCTTGCAAAGATGTTTTTGGCATCTGCTGAGGTTTGTGCAGGCTTTCTTGCTGTTTTAGTAAGACGTATATGAATAAATTTGTCCAGTTTTAAACTGGTGTGATGGCGATTGTGGTTCATAACATCTTCATCTAGAGCTTAGGTTAAGGATGGGTAGTGGGATGCTGACTTGGGCAGCTAACGATTGAGGTTTATTCTTGACCATCAAAGTGCATCAGATCTTGTGCCAGAAGAAACTTGGTCTACTTATGATGATTTGAAGTTATAATGTTACTAGATATAGCTGTTTGTCTTTCACCCAATAGATACTGAAGCTACCCTTTTACTAGTTGGCCCGTATTAATCTTTGCCCTATTTTTCCCCATCCTTTTAACTGAAGATCGAACGGAACTTGGTTGTGGGCCTTTGATTTGTTCACCACCTGTAGAGAGTGAACTGGCTTCTGTCTATGGTTTGTGTTATGAGATGACATTGCCATTTTTTCAGTCCTCGTCACCCAAGAGATTATGCTTCAGGCTGGGTGATTTTAAACACTTATGTACTAATGGTCAGAAGTGAACAAAAGTGCGCATATCTATTGATCATGAAGAATCCAGGATTCAGGAACAAACTTCTGTTTGGATTACTAGTTTCAATTAATGATATGCTTTATTTGTTCTTTACACACAGGCATCAGTGTCTGTGTTTGGAATTGCTTTTAATTCCTTTTAAATTAATTTTTGTTTGGATCGTTCTTATTGGTACTTTTTATTTTTAACTTTCTACTTTTTATCATTTCACCAAATGATATTTCTTAATGTTGACTTACTTGTGCAATGCTTTTTATATAAGGGGGACCACGTGGCTCTTCTATCTGCCTTTGCTGAAATGGGGCTCAAGTTTCGGCTGGACTTTCCAGAGCAGGCCATGGAAGTAACAACTGTTTTCTTCCGTGCTACAACACCAGCAAATGAATCCCATGTAAGTATGCAGTAATCTCTCAAAATTATATTCGTCCTTGCTTTCAGTTTTCTATCTCCTATCTTATTGTGATTTATTTCTGTTGTTGCTTAGAAAACAATGAAAGAGATGACCGATCAAAGAGCCAAAAATATGAAAGCTATACAGGAGAAAATGAACCTGGACCAGAAGGAAATGAAACGCTTCAATCCTGTGAGTTCATATATAATATTGAATTTTAGTATTTTAAAACTCGTACTGTTGACTACGCTTTAAATACACCGTTAATGTTAATTTCTTTTTGTCTTTTCAGGTGGATGCATTTCCTGGCGATATTATTATATTTGGAAGGGTTCTTAATCTCCTAAGAGGTCTGCCCTCACCACCATGATGCCAGAGTAATATTTGATTATTTACTCATAACCTTTTCTTATCTATCTGGCCTTGTTTTAGGGCTTTCATCCACCATGAATGTACGCATTGTGTATATGGACATAATGAGGCCATTTGCGGAATCTGTGTTGAATGGGTGAGTCTTTTGAACTCATATGAATCTATCTTCAACTTCCTTGGTTTATTTTTTGGCTGAATTGAGGAGAAATTGGTCAGGTACATTAATCGGGGACCATCAGTAAATAGTAGGTGGATCTATGATACACCAGTTCATTCTGATGTAGAAGCCAAACTGAGGCAACTTCTAATTGAATTGGGGAGTAATGATAAAATACTTGGAATTCAGGTGCGTCCCACTGTTTCTTATTGGTAACTTGGTATGGTTTAGCTTAGAATGATACAACACCACACACACAGATAAAAAGTGTGAACGGGTTCTTTCTTAGCTATAGTACGTCTTTTTAGTATTTTTGTGTGCATATTATTTTCATTTGCTCCTTAATTTCCATTAGCTGTATCTTTCCTTCTGTTAGTTCATACATTGGCAGAGCAGCTTTACTTTAATTTCTGTAATTTGGTTTGGAATTTCCGTCATTTTGATATCAGCTCCCAGGCTTAAAAACCTGGTTCCCATATCACCCAAAAAAAGAGGGGAAAAGGGGGGGAAAAAAGCCTGGTTCCCACCAGATGCATATTAAAAGTCAATCAATTCATTCAAGTATGCATTCATTTAGTGCGATCAATTCTGGATTATCTTTTGTCAAGGTTTGTGCCTACAAAGATGGAGAGGTGATCGTTGACACTGCTGCTGGAGTGCTGGGTAAATATGATCCTCGTCCAGTTCAGCCTGATAGCCTTTTTTCGGTATTCTCTGTCACGAAGGGTATCACCGCAGGAATGTTACATTGGCTGGTGGACAACGGGTATGTTTTAAAGACATACTATAGCTGTGGAGCTTCAATATCGTTAGATTGGTTACTGTACATTGTTTCTTTGTTGGGCAAAACGGGGTTGCTGCTTCACATAGAAATTAGTATGCCACCAGGGCTGCACTGAGTTTCATGCCCTATAATACAGTATAATTTTTCATGTTCAGGAGAATTTTTAATATGTAAATTAAGTATCTCATTTTGATTCCATTGACCACTCAAATATACACTTTCCCCTGTCCATTGTAATGTTCATTATATTGCAGAAAACTAAAGCTTGATGAGAATGTTGCAAATATTTGGCCAGCATTTGGATCAAATGGAAAAGACGTCATAAAGGTCAAGTCTTGATTCCTTCTCTCCCTCTTTTCCCGAACTTAAGATTTGAAAATTACATTTGTGAGTATTTTAATTTTCTGTTTGTTTATGGCGTGAATTTTACTTGTGCGAAGATCAGTTCTGCTGGTATTTCCATGGACAGTCAATGTCTTAGTTATTTGGCTTGCTGGATGTCTGTTCTTGCAGTAGCCACGTGACTCTTAGGACATCCCCCTGACCAAGTAGTTCTGTAGATTTCTAAGACAGGTAGAAAGTAGGAGATGTTTAGCCTTCTTTTCTCTTAATGGTTGAATTTGTCTGGTTCAATATTTGTTTACTCAGTATCCTTCTGTTTTAATTTACTTCTTTTAGTGTCCTTGCTGGAGTTGCTCAAATGAGTGGAAAGATCATGAGCAAGTTTTTGGTCAGGAATGGGAGGGACCGAAATAGATCATTTAGAGGGTTGGGAAGATTGCTGCAGGCCTCAAAAGTAGAGAGTTGTGTTGGTGTCCGGAAGAATTGCTTTTGGCTAGTATGCGTTGAGAATTATGTTTGTTCTTCTATGCTGTTTTATGTGGCTTGTGATGTGTTTTGTGTGTGTTTTGCCTTCTTGTATTAAGTTGTCCTTTTAAGCATGTGTACCTATATGTTAATCATTAAGTGACGTGGAAGGCAGGTATCCTTATGAAGGATGAGAGAGAATAATTGGAAGGTGTGCAAAAGTAACGAACTCTGGGTGCACTGCCTTTCTGTAGATTTATGTTAGTGCAGGTTGATTTTGCGCGTCAATTTTTGGACCATTAAGACTATTGAGGAGGCCTTCAAATTATGACATGTTCCTCTAGAGAGAGCTTCTGTTTGGCATGAGAATCACACACGGGTTGTGCATGGCATGCACTGCATTACTGTTACATGGCCCCAAGGTTTCCAACAAAGCCCAAGAGGTAGCTACTAGGATGAATCACGGCACAGACACCCACACCTTGATCTCCTCTCAAGCTCTTTTCAGGACCTATTGGAACCTTGGCATATTTTGTTGAACATAATGGTGGATGAAATTTCTCTCTCTTAATAGATGCCTGGTTAACCATACTCATGATGGATAGCTTTCTCCAGATGTTAAGCTCTGAGGATTCAGGACAGCATAACAACATAACTTGTCATTTTCCAATACCCATATAGATTGAGCAGCAGTGTAATGCCCACTGCTATAGCTGAAGTTCTTGGTTAGGCATCATGCAGCCGGCTCTTTGATTCATGATGAAAGAATATGTGCAAAATTCTTGGAGTTAACAAGGCGCATCTAGATGTGGATAACCTTGTTAGTCCCACAGGCATGCAATTTAGTTGCTGCCTCCATTCACATTTGGGACACACATCTGAGACTCCCAATTCAGATAGCATATGCTGGTTTAGAGAAATTTTACTGCTTTCACAGAATTTGACGAGTGAAGAGGTCAAAATGTTATGCAAGTGTGCATTATTTATGTGTTTTTTTGGCATGTTTTGTTGGAGCATAATGTTCATGTTTTCAAGGATACTTCAATGGCTCTTGTTGTATGGCTTATAGTGTTCTTCCCATGATTTTCCTAGGGAAGTCTCTGTTAGTCCAGTGGGACCAGTGAGATCTTTGGCACCATATAAATGTTCTCGATATTGTATATTTTCTTTCTAGCTGTTTAGGAGGATAGCTTTACGGCCCTCTTATTGTAATCATTCTCTTGTCTAAGAACAAAATTATTCATTTTTTCCGTTTAATTATGAAAAATTTATTTCAGGTTCATCACATTCTTAACCATACATCGGGTCTGCACAATGCAATGGCCGATACGAGAGAAAACCCATTGCTGATGCTAGATTGGGATCAATGTTTAAATCGCATTTGCATGTCAGCACCTGAGACTGTACCTGGAAAGGAGCAGTTATATCATTATTTATCGTTTGGCTGGCTGTGTGGTGGACTTATCGAGGTATGACTGCGGTCTCTTGCGCATGAGAATATTTAGGATCTTATACCAGTTTAAACTGAACAGAAATAAATTTTCTGGCAAAAGATTCTAATTTATTTGGATAAAAACAGCATGCATCTGGCAAGAAATTTCAGGAGATCCTGGAAGAAGCAATAGTTCGCCCCCTCCACGTTGAAGGAGAGCTATACATAGGGATTCCCCCAGGCAAGTTATTATAAATTGTAAATTATAATATATATTTTTTTAGTAATATGTAGTTTTGTACATAACTAGAAATTTTTTCCTGTGCAAATTAGTAGTAATCAAATATAAGGTGATATTAATTCAGTAATCTTAGAAAGATTGATAGTGCAAACTGAATATACTCTTTATATGGTCATTAGGTGGAAGAGTAAAATCTTCAGATGACCTGATTTCTTTGTTACCGTCGTTCATTGCCTTCGTGTAGGGGTGGAATCACGCCTGGCGGCTCTCACTGTAGATACAGATGACCTAAGCAAGCTCTCAGGGATCACTGGTCGTGCTGACCTCCCCTCCACCTTCCAGCCGCAGCGAATTGTTCAAACTGCTACCAGTTTGACACCTTTTCTGAATGCGCTACAGGTCCGCCGTGCCATCATACCAGCAGCTAATGGACATATGTCTGCCAGGGCCCTTGCTCGTTATTATGCTGCCCTAGCAGGCGGTGGTAAGATTCCGCCACCTCATTCTTCAGCTTCTGAGCCTCCTCTTGGAAGTCATCCCCAGAAACCCAAATTTGCTTCTCCCAAGACCTCCGGAAATGGGAAAGGAAGCAGATGGAGGAAAATGTCCATACCTCTAATGAATAGAACTAACGATTGCCAGGACTTGGAGGTTAATGGGGGTAGAGATGCTAACAGGGATGGTTTTACAAGGATCCCTACTACTGACAGTAGCTGTAGTTATAGCAGCAGTAGCAACAGTAACGGAGACAGTGATTCGCCTGCCCATTCTTCTAGCCAGGTGTTTGAGAATCCTAGGATTATTGATCAATTCTTGGGTACAGGCGAATACAAGAATTTAGCTCTGCCTAGTGGCGGTTTTGGTCTTGGATTTAAGAGGTTTAGTTCCAAAGACGGCTCGACCGTTGTCTTTGGGCACTCGGGTATGGGTGGGTCCACAGGTTTTTGTGACGTGACCAACAACTTTTCCATTGCTGTGACTCTCAACAAAGTATCCATTGGAGCTGTCACTGCAAAAATTGTGCATCTTGTTTGTTCCGAGTTAAATATTCCTGTGCCAGCCGATTTCATGAGATTTGCAGCTGCGCCCAGCGGGCCCGATTCGGAATCCAACCATGCGGCACCCATAATTAATTGAGGATCAAAGCTTTTAGCTTTTCTTCCTATTTATATGTATTATAATTTTTTGTCGCCTGCATAATTTATCTGTATAAATGTCTAATGCATATGATTTTGATCCTCCCGCATGATCATGAACATTTTTTGTGGCTTCCTTAAGAAATTTTAAACCCCTATCATGGCCCAAAAGTGTAACATAGTTAATGAATAAAATTTTTTAATCTACACTCAAGTTGTGATTTATCGAGTGCGGTTTCATGCATTTGGGTTTGCCATGTTGCTTCAGTGCTTGATGTACAGATCAAGGACATAAAACAATCAGGTGAAACAAAATCAGTAAATGGGCCCATGATTTGGTTTGGTTCGGGTACTGAATCAATCAAGAATTGATTTGGTATCAAACTGGTTAAACCGGTAGGAACCAATGGAAAGTGATATGAATTTTGAATGATTATGTTGTTATTAGTCTTATTTTTTTAAACAATTCATAATATCTTAGTGACTACAAATTTGAATGAATTTTAATGATGTTTTTTGTATCAATAATTACTAATTTTAGTTATTGATAAATTGTAAAGATCAAAGTTTTCCATGTTATTGCACTTTGTCATTGTTACAGCTAAACTATTGTTATATTTTCTTGTATTTTATTGTTATATTTTCTTGTATTTTATTATTAGTGATTGTTAATGTTATTATATTTTATTATTTTCAATTAAATTATATCATTTTAATATGATTGTTTTGACTCTAATATAATTAACTGATTCTTGAACTACTACCTCAACTGATTTAGTATCCCATACAATTTTTTATTTCTTGGTATGGTTTGTGAAGAGAAGAAGAATATGGCTTTTTTGGCGATTGAATCCCCCCACAGTCAACCGTCAGTTGACCCATCCAGACATTATTTGATCGTGATTTACAAAGGATAATACATTAATACTATGGGGCAGCCAATGTGATGAACACTACCCAGCTGATGTAATGGTTTTGTGCACTCCAGCAAAATATACAATCCGTATTTTTGTTATTAAAAATAGAAATATATTGGGATTCAATTTCCTTCATCTTAATTATTAAATTATGATGTCGTAAGAAAATTTTTAAAGATATAACCGCATGATCTAAGTTATAGAGAATTTTACGCTGATCCATGTCTATATATTGTTAGTATACGTTGGTCATGCCTAATTGATAAGAATTTAAAAGCAAGAGGAATTATTACATACAACATTGTTTTCTTTTTCCTCCTATGATAAATTTTAAGAATATATGAAAATGTTTTAAATCAACCAGATAGCAGGATATTTTCCTCCCCTACAGTTCGATTTGAAAGAGGCGCAAGCTATTACTACTCTGCGTATTAACGGTAATATGGAAGGGTATTGGCTGGGGCATTGAATCTAGCATCGTTGCCAGCACATTGAATTCCCAACCTTACAAAATTTAGGAATATGAATATGAATTAATAAAACGTCCACGTGATGTGGGCAGCTCTGGAAGCAGGAAGAAACGCAGCGAATCAGCCATTAAAAAAAAAAAAAAAAAGGTACATACCCACATAATATAATATAATATAATAATCATTGGTACAACTACACAACGCGGTTTCTGGGCATGAGTGCTTCCCAAAATATAATCGAGAGCTCAAGTGATTTGATTTGATCCAGATCTCTTTGCTTTAAATATTTCCGACTATTCCTTTGTGCACTTTTAGTATGAAACATTACATTAGACCAGCAGTGTCTTCAATAAAGCTACTTGGACAGAGCCATATCCAAGCAACTTTCTGATCGTTTCACTTTCTCCTCCTTTTGGCGATGGATCTCTCGTATCTCTAAAAAAATTACTGCTTTTTTCTCGACCCTAAAAAGTATTCACTGGGTAGGGAACATGAGTATCTCATATTTGAAGGACAAGATTAATTCAGCATACCACTTGATTTCCACGACGCTAGAAATAAAGAGCAGAACACGGCACTGTCAATCAGTACGCTTAACGTGATGGGTCTCTGGAACTTCGCACTGACCTTAATTACAGTGAAATAAATAAAAAAGAAGTCTTGGAATATTTATATTTAATGCGTATTGCCCCGTTATTATATTCAATTTTTGGATGCCAGCTTTGGGGTCCATAATGTCAATCAGGCACACACAATTATTAGCATTATTTAATTGCTATGATTCTACCATACAATGGCATTCAGGATATTTTACAATGGTGCTATCTCACGGATCCAACTATAAAAAGCAGGCCACCTTGATGAAAATAATCACCATACTTGCTGCTTGCATCACACCGTAATTCGATTCTTGGCTTTCATTCCTTTCAGTTGAATTCTGTTCTTGGAGCACTGCCACAAATGGGGATAACAGAAGCATGCTCCAGGATCATTGGAGACTTTTTACAATCTTTTAGACGTTCACAACAAGGCTCAAATCCTCAAGCTGATCACAATAGTTCTCGCTGCTGCAAGCCCCAGAATGTGCTCAAACTTGATGACAAGATGGTCAGTGCTCTTATCACTGTCTTTGGCATGCAAAACGACGGAAGGATCAAGAAGGAAAACGCACGGCAAGTGGTAGAGAAGCTGGGTTTGCTATATGGTTCAGAGGAAGAGAAGCCATCTGGGTTTGAGCTTCCTTGCCATGGAGGCTTAGAAGATGAAGAGGTTCCTGTAGAAGAAGTGCTCAATGGATTGGAAGATATGTCGAAGCGTAGCGAGCTATTACACGAGGCCTTCAAAATCTTTGATGAAGATGGAGATGGATACATAGATGCAATGGAGTTGAAGAGGGTTCTGGATTGCTTGGGTTTGGATAAAGGTTGGGACATGAGTGCCATTGAGAAAATGGTGAATGTTGTAGATTTGAACTTTGATGGTAAGGTTGATTTCGGTGAGTTTGAGTTAATGATGGGGTAGTAGCAGTTTATTCATTTTGCTTCTAGGAATAAAATTATTAATCATCAGCCAATTGTATATTACTTCTTTCACGGTTCTCTGAATGAAAATCTGGAGATGGATTGATTATTACTTTCCTGTTGATTGATCTGTTCACTTATGGCCTGCCAGAAAACCCCATTTTGTTCATTCATCATTTATAGTTTCTTATTCCCTAGAATTCCCACATTTAAGCTGTACAAGAAGGGGGGTAATTATGAAACGCAAAGTAAGTACTTTCAATTTATACAGAATAAAATACAGCATTAACCATACTATTTCAATGGACATAGAGATTGGGGGGGGGGGGAGAGAAGAAAACATAAGACAAAACAGCACCTACTAATCTAACTAGACTAGACGACATATAAATTGGATCTAATTGGGTAAAGTGAAACATTCAACGATATATTCCGTTGATACAGCTCATAGCATCACTAATAACTCCAGAGTTATAATTGCCATTGCTGTTACTGATATGTAAGTTCCCAAGACCAAGAGATGAATTGTGATCATCAACTGCAATAGAAGCATATGAGGCATCACTACCTTGGACAGTGATGGTGGGCGAGACATGCGCCATACGCAGGGTAGTGTTGTTGAGTTGTGGTGGTGCGTTTAGCTGACTCTGATTCTGAACAAGCGAGTTGTTTAAGGTGGAGAAGGAACCCCTAGTCAACATATCTTCAGCTAACTTCACCTAAAAGTACACAGAATTTTCTTTACCAGTTCATATTTACTTACATGGGTTAGTCATGAATCTGATTTAACAAATTTGCTTCCCACAAGTATATTTTCTGGGAGATTTTTTTCCCACCTATTGTAATATAATAGCTTCGGTCTGTAAATTTAACTCTATCCAATAGGATCAGAGACGTTTTGGCCCCAAAAAAAGGAAAAAAAAAGGATCAGAGACGTAACTAGAGCCATGATCAAGAAAGAACCTATCTATATATACCTTGGCTCTCAAAGCTTCGACATCCGATTTGAGCACTCGGTTATTTGTATTGGCATCGCGAAATTGCTGACTGGCATCTGTAAGCTGCTTGTACAGAGCTGCATTCTCCAATCTCAGTTGCTCAACCTGAGGAACACAAATTCAAATTTCATGGTTGAATCTCACATGTATGACAACATTCCTCTCATTCCCCTGTTTCCGAAGAGCAATGGCATGTTGGCTTGCTTCAAGCAAGACTGACTAATCAATCACATGCCCTTGCACTGCCAAAACACTAGTTCTCCCTCACCTGCGTCTCAAGATCAGCCAGATGTGCTTGTTTTCTTCTTCTGGATCTCCTGGCAGATTCCCTATTAGAAACCTTCCTGAAACAATGATTATGAAGACCGTGTGAATTAAAGCATGAAGGATGATGAAGATTGAAGACCAGTAGTGTTTAAGTTTATAGTTCCATGAAAACTTAACATACCTTCTGAGACGCTTCATATCAATGGGGTTTGTGCTCTGATCACAAGGACCTGCTACGTCATCTTCATCAGATTGCTCACGAGACGAAGCACTTGTGGTTCCTTTGGCTTGATTATCACCGACGGCTGGTTGATTAGCTGACACAGGGCTGCAAACTGCCCAGTTTGCAATTGATCCAAATATGTTAAGCTACATCAACTAAACCAAGTTTCTTATGAGCTACATCAGTGCAGGCCCCATAGATGGGTGCGTGACATGCAAAAGTGTGTACCATAAATCACAAAAAATATATATACACGTTTAACCATAGACTATATGTTTACCACTGGTACCACAAATAGATGACTGAGATTCAATCGGTGCACAGAGAGGTGAATCCTTGGGAGTGGCATCCGGAGACCATAAAAGTGAATCTGGTAGTCCCTTGCAAGTTGAAAACGCAGTCACCGCATCCTGCAATTGTACATAAGCTGGAAATTTTAAGGATCAAACTCAGTTTAGTTATATATAGCAGCACAAGGTCCTCTTGGACGCCATAATTGAGTCACGAAGAAAAGTCTACAAACCTTTTTTTTCTTTTCTTTTGTATTTTTTATTATTAGACCTCTTCTCTTAACAGGTTATCTTCTTTCTTTTTCCAAATAGCACTAGAGGAAGAAAAAGCACAAGAAGATAGGCCATAGAGGGAAGCAACAAAAAATACCCCTTAGATTGTGGGCACACCACAGTGCATGAATGATTCCATGTCTTCAAATGGGTAAATAAGAGATATCTTATCAACTACAAGTCGGCGGTGAAGAAGGGAGAAGTTAGGATTTTACTTTGGAATAAAGGAGGATGGGTAAAAACAAAAACAAGAAAAGAAGAGTATGCCTGCCAGGTAATAAAGTCATTCTAAACAATGTCCAAGAGGGTATTTATAATTCGATATTATTCGCTTTTTTGTTATAAATCAGGAACGGAATCCAATTTCTTTTCCTTCCTGTTCCTCATCAATCGAATTCATTCCCATAGTTTCACATGAGTTAGTGTGAGCAATTACTGTGGGCTTCATGATGTATAATCCACCCCAAGACAAACTCTGTCCTTGTTTTATAAACAGTAGCACAAAATCATTTTAAAATAACTGAAAGGAACAATTATATTTAATTAATATAAAGAATTTTCACGCTGTTGATCGTATTTGAAGGAAATCTTGCACGCAAGCAATAGTCTTCCTTTAATAGCCAATGGGGAAAAATGACCAAAAAAGATCAAAAACAAGAAAAGAACATGTTCATTTGGTGCACGCTTTCTGTAAAAATATCCGTCGAACAATTGATGTGTGAACATCAAAAGCGTTCAGTGACTGGCGGGTTAAGTCTATATTCCGATGAGATGGTCTTGCTCGTGAAGACGTGTCTTTTCTCTAATCGTCTTTTCTTTGGTTCTATCCAAACTTCCACCATACTTTCCACCTTGTACAGGACACTGTCTTCAAGATTTTAATTGTTTTTTTATTTTTAACAACATTAAATTAGATTAAATTAAATTCTGTGGTAATACACGTCAATGGAAGGAAATTTCGAGGCAAGTTTCGCCATAAACAAAAGCCTCCAGCTTCATTGACCCAACGAAGATTAAAAAACAAAAAAAAATTTGTTGCAGTTGTATAGCCAAGAAAAATGAAATCTGAGATTTAGTGATGCCACTTTTTTTCCTACTATTTTTTTGCGTTAAATTTGCTATTTTTTTCCCTTGAAAAAATCCCTTGCCTTGTACTGATAATCTCTCAAAAAGACATGTTTTCTAAAGTAACAGCATAATTAATTATTATTTATATATAGTGATAATGAAAATAATGACTCTTAATCATTGCGGTTTTAGAAATCAGCAGTTGGTGGAGTAGCTGAGGGTGATGCCACTTCATTCACAAGGCGTGAAACAATGAGACTGACCACGTCATCAAGCCGCCGAACCGCGAGATGACGTGGCAAAAGATCGTTCTCGAACGTACTTATATTTTTCTGATACATCGAGAGGGCGTTCGTAACGTTAAGTGAAAGAGAGCACTAACCGAGTTTCGAAAAGCGTGATCGAAATCGTCGGAGCCGACGCCGGCGAGAAATGTGTCCGGGTGGGGGAAGCTTTTGTGTGCGAGCTCCCAAACTTCGCACGGTTTCACGTCGTCGTCGTCGTCGTCGGTCGATGGTGGCACCGCCTTATTCAGGAACTCTTCCAGGGCCAACTCGGACGGTGTCCGTTTCATGTTGCAGACGGTGGAGAGAACCGACGAAGCGTGCAGAGATTGGGATTGAGTGGCGCTGCAGGCAGGCAAGACGGCGGCCGGCTTCGTCTCCATCATGCCGGAGAGAAAATAGAGGAAGAAAGAAGGAAAGAAAGGGAAAAGGGAGCGGAGGAAGCAAGTGAAGGGGTATAAATAGGAAAAGTGAAAACGAAGTACGTAAAAATTAAAATAATTGTTTTTGTTTTTTATAAATAGTTCAAAGGAAAAAGATTGGGCGGCACATGAAGTTAAAACTTTAGTAGAAAGTCGCTGACAGATTGGAATTACGAAAATGACATCGGAAGTTACCCGTAATTACGTGTTGGACCCGTGAGGCTCACTTCATGCCAATAATTGTGAGCTTGGCTTGCTGATTATATAAAGATGGACAGTTTCATTAAATATAAAGGCAATATTTTTTTTGGGCCAAAAACATAAAAGCAATATGAGTCATTATTTTAAATTAATTATATATATATATATATATATATCATGTTTGTATTTTTTTATTTTATATACTGATGCCTGGAAATTTGGTACACCTCTCCGAGGCAAGGAGGACATTCCAAGAAAGCAGAACTAATATTGCGAATCTGACCTGTTTGCCTCCGAATCTGGGAAGCATCATCAAATCGCCACGTGTTAAAAAGAAAAAATCCTCCCTGGGAATCTTTTTGGAATCTGCCCATCTTGTGATTGAATTGAGAAAATCGATTTGATTTTTTTAAGTAAAATCAATCTGAAAATTTTAAATGAACTGATGAGACTAATTTTAATTAATGTCTTGATTGAAGTGGGTGTTGATTAGTTTGGAGCAGAGGTCAATACTGTATGGGGATTCTGGTTAATTATACTTATGACCAATTAAGATCCAAAAATAAATAGTAATAATATAGAGTATTAATTATGGCCACTTAGACATTTATTGGGGCAGTGGTGAGGTGAGGGCGAATCATCTCTTCATTTTCACTCTCAACGTTACGCTGATATAATCGTCTAACATGAGATGAGAGGAGAATTCCCACATTCTTAAACTTAATAATAAATATTTTAACGAATAAATTATAAAAAGGAATTTTGACTAACTTTTGTGACCAGCACGAAAGAAAAATAAATAATTTCATGGTATACATCAGAGTTACTTCCTGACCAAGAGAACAATATAATAAAAATCAAAACTTTAATAGAATTAATAACTGGGCAACACATAATGAATGCCAATGAAAAAGAATAAAGGGAAGCAGACCAAAAGAGAAAAGAGGGACGCCACAACTTTGATTCTTTGGCCTGTTATGTGTGGTTAAGTAAAAAGAAGAATAAGAGCAAAGCATTTGGTGGCGAAACGTTTGAAGCCACATTGGCCACAATTAGGAATACATCACCACCACAAATCATGCAAGACAAAAAAGTTCAGCACCTCTGATTCAAGAAGTGGATGGAGAAAAGTAGCACATCACAAATAATGGGGTGACATATAAAGGAGCACAGTTACCCCTATAAAATATAACAAGGCATTATCAGTTCTAATGAAAAATGTTATGACTGTTTTTAAGTACGAGATCTCATGTTTGAATTCGTGTAATTGCAAAATACGCTTTTAAGACATGTGGTAACGTTTCAATCTAACAGAATAGTGCTATACTGTATTGAAAAAAAAGAGAGAGATTAAAAGGCATGGCTTGGGTGTGAAACAAAATTAGAACTTTGTGATGCACGCCCCCACACATAGGAAGAGGACCAACCAATGAAGAGGAGAGTGAGAGTGAAATAGGAAAGGGGCAAAGTGGGGGAGGATGAGAGGAGCTAAAATACTTTATTGCTTTGGGAAAAGCAGCAAAGGCAATAGATTTGGAAGGAAGAGGAAAGGCACAGTGACCAGAGAAAAGAAGAAAAAGAAAAAGTAACAAGTGGGCTTCTTAAAGGAATCCGGGGGAATTGATGGGGACAAGCACCGCCCCTAACACAAAAGCTGATACTTGTAAAATAAAAAACGAGAGGATGTTTTTATGGGGGTGGTGTTAAAAGAGCAGGTTAGCGCTCGCTTTCTGGGTAGGGTTGTTTTAAAGGTGTGCGCATTATTAGTTTATTGGCATCATCACTTTCCTAGCATAATGCAATAATACCTAACTTTGTAAGTAGGGATTGCCCAGTGGCGTTGAAAAGGTGAAGCCACCATTCCAAATTTTAAGAGTGGGGACGACACCAGTCAAGAAATGACTTGTTGTGGCATGCATTACAATTGTTTTTTTGCTGCCTCTTGTTCATTCCAGACCTTCATATCACATCATATGCTCCATCATTTCATTTATTATTTTTTTAAAAAAAAATCTCTTACTGCTTTCTAAATACTACATTAGATTAGAGTTTAGACTAGTCTATCATGCATCTACATTACTTACCTTCATCCTCGGTGTTCAATTCCACTTCTTCTTCCTCCTCCTTTTTCTTTTGTTGCCTTTGCCATCTCCAAATCCAACGTGCGCTAAGCTGCCATTTGTATTATGAACCCAACGACTCATCACAACTCAGTATGCGCGAGTGTGCGTGATGATATTCATAGAAAGCCAAATTTCTGGAAAACCCGCCACTCGAGCTTTATTTATTTATTTTTCGAACGGTTGGCTAAGAGTAGCGTACCATGGAAGGAAACAGAACCGCGGAAAAGTGGCACACCTCCTTTGTCTGAGCAACCTTTGTGTTGCTTCACTCGGAAATCGGAACAGGGAAGTAAACAGGAGGCTTGACGCTTTGTTGTTTTTCCAGCTTATATTTGATGGCTCCTTTGAAACGTGAAGTAAACATGACAATAATGATCGAGACATGGCGGCCCTTAAAAATGATTAAAACTATCAATAATCAATTTTTTATTTCAATAATCCACTGATTGCTAGGATAAATATCATTTTTCTTCTAGAAAGGTACTTAAACCGCAGCCTCTCTCTCTCTTTTTGAAAATGTATAATTTTGTTTTGAATTTGAAAAAGACAAAAATATACTGGCGAACAACACTTATTCCAAGTTTTTATTAAAGCTAAGAAAATATATACTATGTGCTTGAGCGCATAACGCACGGATATATAATAAAAGGCATATCCACCTGCCACGAACTAGGCCTCAATCATCATATGATAGCAACGCAATGCAATTCGACATGCATCCAAGTGCGCACCCTAGTGCGCACCCTTGAAGGTGGTGGTTACCACCAACCCCTTTGAAGTTTAAACACGATCCAATGCCATCCGGAAGAGATTTAGCTATATATGATTAGAACAATCTATAGTATCACAATTTAAGAAACCAAACAAACAATACGAAGCTCATCATCAAGAAGCAATAACAAAGTTATGTCGCCAGAACATTAACAACACAGTTTATGCCATGATTTTGGCGGACCTAACATAAAGACTGTCCACAACCTTCCCTACGTTGGAAATGGTTTCCAAGGTTGCAGGATATATGGCGTCGCTCTTGGGATCATCAAATATGATGAGGCATCCAGCACCTTGATCCAATGTCCCAGCAAACTTCTTGTCCAAAATCATCTGGGACAACTTCCGCTCCACTTTATCAATGGGAAGTTCAATTAGCTCAGCAATATGCGCAATCTCAACCCTTGAGAATGGCTCGATTAATCTGCACAGGTTCTGCTCCAGAAGGGTATCATAAAGGGATGACAGGTGCCTGTGTACAATTGGGTCTTCCTCCAACTGTGCCTTGTAGTCCCGCAAAGCAATTTCAAACAACTTAAGGGAACGCTTAGAATGAGCATCTGCAACAGCTTTCATGGCATCCAGGTCAGGACCAACATATTGGAGGCCTGCTTTAGAAGATATAATGCCCGCCACATCATCAGCTTGACTAACCATAATCTTACACAACAACATGTATTTTAGGCTAAAAACAGCCTTGGGGTCTTCAAGTGCATTGAAGGACTCAAAAGCTTCAAAGAAATAACTGTATGCAGTTTTATAATCCTTCTCCTCTGCGTGAAGAATCCCACTTTGCAAATCAATGGCACCTTGCTGAGCAGGGGGCACATAGATAGCATTAGCAGCTGTTCTTGCTGCTGTGAGGGCAGCTTTTGCCTTTGGAAGATTCCTCAAGGAGAAGTGTAGCTTGCTTTCCAGCAAGTCTATGTCCACAAGAAGAAGCTTGTCATCCAATCTTCTAACCTCTTTGACCAGGCCAGTAAGGAGAGTCAAGGCTTCTGCATACTCCTTACTTTCCATAAGAAGAGCTGCGAGCCTTGCCTCAACCCTCTGCCTTAGAAAAGTCCGCTTTTCAGCTCGAGTCCACTGCACCATTTCTTTGCAGAGTGCAATTTGTAGATCAGATGTCCCCGGTATTTTAGCAACAGAATCAATTATTCCCCTCACTATTTTTGCAGTTTTTGCCTTAGGGATTAAAGAAAAAAATGGCCTCAACTGAGTGAGAAGGCTGCGCAGATCCTCTGCCCTATTCTCTTGCCTAAGAAGATCAGAGAGATTTGTGATGGCTTGCTCTTTAATGCGAAGAGCTTCTGGAGATGCAGAGGGATTCTCAAGTACACGATAAAGAATAGAGATAGCCTCAGATGGGTTTTTGGCCTCCAGTGCCTGTGCGATAGTTTCTGTTGTTGCGGGGAGATATGAGGAAGACATTTTAACCGCTTCCACAAACTTCTGAAAGAACAATGTTATTAATTAAGAGAAAAATGCAAAACTACACAGCTTTGAATTACTATAGATTTGAGTGGGAAGTATTATATCACTGCCTTAGCTATCTCTTCCTTTCAAGCAAAACGTAAATGTCTTCACTTTTTTCAAATGGTTATATAGCATTTGCCAAGACCACAGGACATATAGAAAGGAAAATTTAGACTTATGAGCAATCTTTACAGACAAATATCTCATTTGTGACTATCATATGACTCGCTCCTAAGAAAACACAAAACTAAAAGAACTCCCTCATTTAAGGTCACCATAGCCTACTATATGGAGGGTGTGGTCACAAAATATATGCATCTTAAAGAAGATACAAGCAAAGGCAACATTCAGCATAGAAATGTAGAAAACTAACATGAGGCATGATCAGCTACATGTATTGTAACTATCCTTCGAAACTGAATGCAATAAGAATTACAAACACAAGGCGGAGCAATTGCCTTGAAAAAGGATAATTGATTGATTCCAAATTGGACAACTCCTTTAATGTGCCTCTTTTGATTTAGAAGCAACATTTCTCATTGATTACCTTCAAGCCCACAAACGCTGTGACGAGAAAAAACACATGAACTTGGGGACCGAGGAAGAACAAAGATCATTCGTTTCTCAGATCTAACAAGGGGTGATTTCTGAGCTGTCAAACTTCGCTCATTGGTGTTTGTTCTCCACATGCCCGATATTCTCTCTTTTGCTACTGGTTAGTCTTCTATTGTTTCTGCCTTCGCTCTTCAAATAACTTAAACCCGCTAATTTATAACTTATGTTTACAAGTTTATTACATTATTGCTTAATCTATTAGTTGCTTTTCAAATCTTTTTTAAACCCTTAAAATAAGAAACCCTGGCATCTTGTTCTCTAATGTGAAGTTCACTCTGCCAACCACCACCCACACCCTAAGAGTGGGTTATGCATTTTTCAATGGGATATTTTCTCGTAGGCTATGGTGCTTGTTGCTTATTGAGGATAATAGCTGTTTTATCGATGAAATATTTTGAAGTTTGAGTGCTCCTTAAGCGTTTTAGTTCAGAGGAATGCGATGAATTAATTATTACTTTGGACCAGTTATTGGGGAGTTTATAAAGGATGAGTTGCGAGTTGGGTGGGACGTGATGTACGTAATACGTTGTAAAATTTTGGAGTTTTGAAGGTCATGAGGGGTACAATGGATTGGAACTCAATAAACTCATACCCCATTGTTCCGATCTCTCCAAATTGCGGGGTTTAGGATGGCTTGGGTTACTTATAATTTCTCATTTCCTCGTCTAACCCGAGCCAGGTCTCTTTTCTACCGTTTTCATTTTCCAATTTGCCTCACAACTCAGAATTCTGATAACAGAAGCACGGAGTGAGTTTGTGTGAGTGAGACTTCGAAGTAACAAACAATCCCAACAAAACAGGATCTGAATCATATACATTCAAGCAAAGTAAGAACCAGAATCCAAAAAGCGCATGCAAAATAGGAGTCGAATCATTCAAAGTAGGGGATTTAGGTATTTAGGAAGGACAGGGCGGTAAAACGCCGATAAGTGTGGAAGGTGGAGAGAGGAATTGATGCTTACCTCGACGATGGTGAGCAGCGAAAGGAGAGTAGCGAGGGAACGCGGCGGCGGGCAACCTTGGAAAGGGAGGACTGAAGGAGTAGCGTCGACCTGAGGGCGAGGACGCGAGCAAGGCCGAGAGCTGGATGGGAGCCGTGAGTCGTGATTGTAAAAGGAGATGGGGAGAGAACTCGGGCAAGGTGGCTTTTAGTTTGGGATTAAAACGCAGCGTACCAACACAAGTATATGGGATTAACCAGAAAAATCCGAGGGCCCATTCCTCGTTTCTTTTCTTGTTGCTCAATTCACCTATTGGGCCGATGGAATGGGCTTCTTGTTTTGTAAATGGGCCACCTTGATCGGTTTACTTTGTTTGGAAACGCGATTTCAAGGTAAAGCCCAATTTTTCCAAGACCAAAGCCTATTATATTTTGTTCACAGTGAAAGTCCAATAATGACCGATGAGAATTGGGTCTAGTGAAAAAAAGCTAATTCCTCATAACATGATAAATTAATATTTAAATTCCTGTTCAAAAAAGTACTTTAGCAAAAAAAAAAAAAGTCCAATATCGTAAATTGTTGCTGCTTCTTCTCCTCCTCCTCCTCTTTTTTCCTCTTCCCAGCATGAATAATTGCTTCTTACCTATTGAAAACTCAATTTATTTCTTCAATATTAGTACAGGGAAGCGTGAAATTTTCAAGGATTATATTAATTAGTTGTTAATATAACTTTAAACTCCTGGCATTTATCGCTAAAACGGACAGTTGTTCACCGGATCCATGTCATTAGACTTCTGATTCAGCAAATTGAGACGTCGAGTTTGACTGGTAGGTTGGTAAGGGAATCGAAGCCAACAGAGTGTAATTTAAATTAAATATAAAATTAGAAATTTAAGTAAGTGTGTGAATCCTAGCTAGAAGTGAGACATTTGGATTGTGACATGCGTTCTTCCCTCTTACCAAAAAGGCCATGTACCTACGTACTAACTCAATAATCATCAAACTTAATTAATTCTTCACTTAGCTGGCAGAATAATTCCTCTTAATAATGCACCAAAGTAGAATCATTCTCGTGTTATGCCAAAAAGAAAATCTTACATGCATTGAATGATCACACATAATATAAAAATCATAATAATTCAAATTATTCATGAAATATAAATAATGTCACTAATCCCTTAAAATCCAGAGCACGAAATTCATATTAGTACAATTTTGAAAATATACATCGAAGTGCTAATTAATGCTCCGTTTGGCTGGAGGTATGTTTACCGCATGAGGAGAAAAGATGAAGATTCCACGGCATATTGCGTTTGGTTCATGTTTTGGCTCATCCATTCCATTAGGTGAAGGGAAATCTAATTGTGGGAGCATCCTGCTCAATTACACTTTCTTTTCTTTTTAAATGTTCTTTAACAATAGTTAGCGAGACCAACTTTTCGATAACGACAATTGCAATCAAGGGAATTACAGATCATAGAATCAATCAGGTGGTTATGCAATGATTGTTTAGGAAGGAGGAGACTGGCTCAGTTCCTTTTCACCCGTCGTGACTTCCAATAAGAAATTATACTCTTTTTGTTGATTAATATCGGAGCAACTCCTCGTTATAAGACACTGTCTGTGGACTATAAATAATGTCTTATAATTAAAACTGAAAATAGTACTTAATTACTCTGTTGAGTTAAAAAAATTAAGAATATTAGTTACTTATTAATGTGGTGTGATCTTTTTAAAATATCCTTAAATAACAACAAATTATATATCGGTTTACAAGTTAGATAAACTGATTTGAAAAAAAAAAAGATAAAATGAATTAATATATTATATTTATAATTAAATTTTAATCTCAACTGGTTCTTATATTAAGAAATATCTGAATATTGATGTATGATAGGCTAATTATGCATCTTAGTCTAATTTTCACAACGTCACCTCACTTAGAAATCATGATTAAACTTGAGGAGAAGCCTCGTGTTTTTGGGACAACATACTCTTTGTAGTGTAATTTTGAGAGGCTCGTGCTAGCCACCACTATTTCCTGAAGATCAAATAATTTAATTGTGGATCAAGGAACATTTCATCAAATTATTTAAGCAACATAAAACAAGCACCCACCAATGAAATATATGATTACCGGCTACTTTTAAAATCAAAAGGCACGGCCGATTCTCTCTTAATTGGTGCAATGGAATGCGGATCATGTTAGGAACACCTTCCATTATCTCCCAGTCATCATTTAAGTATGGAGCCAAGTCAAACACACACACACACACACACATATATATAATCTACATGCAAGCACTTTTGTGTTCTCTCTCTTTCACCACTGGATTAGGCTCTGGTGAGGACAAAACTTGCAATCTTCTCACAACTCAAAAGCATGGTAGATAACTCTACCGAGCTCTCTGACTCGAAACTACGCGTTATCTCTGGGTTGTCATGTGAATGAGTCGATGACTTATTTAAGTAATATTTTTTTCCTTTTCCCAACGTTCCTGTACATTTATCTACTTAGATTCAATTTATCTAACCGTCTTGCACGAAACTCTCTCTCAACAAGAAAAAGTCTCGTTTCTTTCGTTTTTACTTTTCCTTATTTTTATCTACAGTACATTGAATTGAAAACTTTATGTTCATAACGGTGCACAAAATTGCAGCTTAACTCTGGGGAATTAGAATTTCAACAGCGCCCATATCTGTCTGCGACTTTTGATGCTGCATCACATGGGTCTCCTGGAAATTCTAAAATAAATTTGCTTCAGGTCCTCAATATATAGTTGAAATTAAAATTACAATTATAAATGAAAAAAGAGTAATGAAATAAGCCTGAGGTATGAATGGTACAATTGTAGTGTACGTAAGAGGGTACCTAGCCTTTGACTGATAGGATGGTTTGCCTTGGAAACCAAAGCTGCCAGAACTTAGCAGTTAGCACAGACTTTAAACGACCTAAAGCTGTTTAATAACTGATAATTAACTCAGAGAATCTCAGTCCTAGTCATCCCCTGACTAAAATAAAACCAAGCACACATGGATTTCAACCATCAAAACCAGGAACTATGAGAGGGAGAGAGATCAGAATTACAAAAATCACTCACGTCTGAAACCTGGAAGACATCAACTTTTAAGTCTTTAGCTACTCATCCTAACCAAGAAAACTTCTCTTGTTGGCTTCCCCATGTGATAGAAAATGCAAGTGCCTTTGTAATCTTCTTCACCTAAATGGAAAAAATAAAAAAATAAAAAAGAACGAAAGGAAGAGACAAGAAGAGAGGTGTAGAAGTTTCAGAATCCACAAGGCCTCAGACTTCTATAAATTGCAAGCATACACCAATGAACCCCATCTAGCCTGAGCAGAGAAATATTCAAGATAGGAGAGAGCCAAGGGCCAAGCCTCGCAACCCCGGAGACTAAAGAGAGACACCGTATCATTTCCATGGATCCAAAGAAATCTAACAAGATCAGAGATATTGTTAGGCTTCAACAGATCCTCAAGAAATGGAGAAAGCAAGCCAACTCTCCCAAAACCAGTGACAGTAACAACAGCGGCAGTAGCAATAAAAGTATCAAGTTTCTGAAGAGGACACTTTCTATATCTGAACGCGAAGGGGGATCAAGCAACGCTGTTCCGAAAGGCTGTCTCGCTGTTTGCGTCGGGGAAGAGATGAAGAGGTTCATTATACCTACTGAATATCTCAGCCATCATGCATTTCATGTGTTACTGAGAGAAGCAGAAGAAGAATTCGGGTTTCAACAGACTGGTGTTCTGAGATTCCCTTGTCAAGTGCCAGTTTTTGAGAGTATCTTAAAGATGGTGCAGGGAAGGAACGACCAATCTAGCACTCAAGAATGCAGACTTAAAGTTGAAGAGATATTGGGACACTGCTCATTAGAACGCCAGCTTGCTTACTCTCCCCATCCCCAGAGTCCAATGTGCAGATAGTCTAGGATTTTGAAAGGCTTACACTTATGTTTTCCCCTTCTTTTTCCCCTCATGGAGGCCAATCAACGTATGAAATTGTAAGAGAGATTTAGATTATGTAAGAACCTATTTGGGAATTTATGAATAGATTTTCCGTTGTCTAAATCTATTTTTATTTTCTAATGCGCATGAATTGTCTTCAATCCGTGAGACTTACGAAGCACATCTAGCAACTCCGTTGTTTGAATCTATAGTTCTAAGGCTGAAACTTCGGCATTATGTTCTGTTGTTCAAATCATAAGCTCTCCTCATCAGGAACAACTCACATCAGCGAACGAACACGATACTTTTTCCAGTATACGAAACTAGTGATCGTGCAGGGTTGTAAACATAATGTTTTTGGGAGCTTGTCTCTCCGAAGCGTCAAAATTCAAGACTAACACACACACACACACAGAGTATAACTGGAAACTAAGCATTCAATTCAGTTCAATTGATTCAAATCTTCGAGCAATAGGTCAAACGCCAAGAGCAGAGCATGCACTAGGTCAGTGGCCTTGGGTTCCAATGACATGCAGAGCTTCACAGAAGTATAATACTATAAAAGAGAAGAAAATATTGAAAGATATTAATAAATTGTTCCTTTTTGGAAGAAAAAAAATCGGAACCGACAAAATTTTTTTGGAGAAAGGGGTAAAGCCATGCGTAGTTCCAAAACAGAAATAATTACGATGCACATCCTGAAGTTCAAGCTTCATAGTACATGGGGAAAAAGTGAAGAGTTTGCAAGTTCACATGGACCAGTTGTCACAAGTACGGTCCATTAAGTGTAAGGACGTACAAAGACTCGTCCCTCCCACCTCCCTACACCCTCGTGAGAAGCTTCCCTCTTGGGCCAAAGACGAGCATCCATCGGCCTCACTGCGATCAATCATAAGTGCCAGGTTGAATTTTTTAGATTTCAGAATGGCCCCCCACGATCGAGGTTTACAAGGTGACAGTTAGATGCCACCAGATACGAGCAATCCACGATGTTGTCCTATACTGTCATTATTTCCCTTTGATAATTGAAGTTCCCCACGAACCATTCTCTAGAAAAACTGTTAAAATTACGATGGGCAAGACCAGTCAATATATATCTCGAGCACAAGGCAAACCCATATTTCGACGTTATGGTTAAACAATTTTTATATTATACAGTCCCTTACCATCAAGTCATGGTGATCTTAAAATTTCTCGGTGGCATATTCTCAAACATCTATTATGCAGCTCACGTGCAAGCATTCATTTCAGTCATTTCCAGGACATGAATAAAATACACGTCAACAAGAAGCATTGAGAAATTAACCCTCGTTATCTGCGGTATGATAATTTTTTTTTATAAACTTAAACCGAAAGCAAGTGAGAACATGGAATCTTGTATCAATTCTAGAACACACCTTTTCACTGAAATGCGCCACAAATCCCAAAAATAAAAAAGAAAGAAAGAAAAGGAAAAAAAAAAATCAATCACATGACAAGTATTCTAAGTTCGTGAATTAGCGGCAAAACCGGTTTTTTTTGTTTTTTGGAGTTTCTCGAGAAACTGTGCATCGCCACCACAAAGCAAAATCTAAAAATTGTACAAATGCTGAAGACTGCATACAGGATATAGTAGAAGAGAAGTACCTTCAGATCCAATTTAAAGCACAAGCACCCATATGGCATCTGTCGCAGGGGCCATGTGTTATCAGCTCAGCATTAACCGAATTCGCAGTGCTTGAAGGACGGAAGCAACAGTCGGATTGTCAAGAACATGTGCGGCCTCTGATATTAACCCCTTGCTTGAATTGAGAAAAACCAGAGAGGAGAGAATAGTAGAGAGGAAAATACGAGAAAAAACAAAATTTCTCTTGCTTAGATAAGGGAGAAAATGTGAGAGGAAGGAAAACAAAAAATAATAAGATGACTTCCATGCCTAATTTTTTCTCCAAATTCTCTCTCTATATATGGAGAGATTTGGAAAAAAAAAAACTAGATTTTTATGACTACCCCTCCTCTTCTTCTCTGTATTTATTTTCTTCTATTATATTTAAAAAGTTATTCATTTTTTATCTTAAAAACAATATTTTTATTAAATAATTTGGTTTTAAAACATAATAAACTGAAAATATATATAAACCAAATAACTTAATTTTAAATTATTTGATGATGCTAATGTTAATACTCTTCCGATCCTAAATATAAGATCTATTTAACTAATTTGATTAGATTAAGGAAGTTAGGTAAGTTAGTTAATTACAAAAAATATAACATATTCTTTCTAAAACATCACAATTATCTTCCTTAATATCTTTTCTCACTCTTCTACTTGATCATAGGATTCATAGCTAAAGAAGTATCCGTAGGGGTAATTTAGAAAAAATTGATAAAGTGATCTTATATTTAGGATCAAAATCAAGTCAATAATTAGGTCATATATTAAAGATTGGAGGAGTATAATTTTTCTATTGCAATATTTAATTTAATTTACTTTTAAATATGATATATTTTGACAAAGACATTTTAGTCATTTAGATATTTGTTAATTTTCTTTCCTCACTATCTTCTCTCATTCATCCAAGCAAGATGGATGATAACAACTTCCCTCTACTTTTTTCTTCTCTCTATTTTTTCTCTTCTTATTTTTTTTCCTCTCAACTTTTCTTCTTATCCAAGCAGAGCTTAAAAGAGCCGAACGTCATGAGAGGAGGATGAGACCATAAGCTGTGTAAATTCTGCAGTGTACAGCCCATGTTGCATGAAAGAGAATCAGGCCCAAGGTGAAGTAGGCCTAAAAATCAGCCCATGGCTGAGCCCATCACTGGGCCAATGGCCCTCGATTGTGACAGCTCGAATCTCCAAAATCGAATTGAGGCAGACATTATGGGCTTCGGACTCCACAGGTGATTCCATATTTTTATCAGTTACACTTACAAGGGAAAACTTCATTCCAATCCATACGTGATTATTAAAAAATTTAAATTACGGCTATGTGTGTATTAAAAACCAAATAATATTTCCTTCATATTCTTAATATAAGAGCTAATTAACTAATTTGAGTAGATTAAAGAAGTTTTTAAAGTTAATTATTTGTAATAAATAAGTATTGTCTTCTCAAAAATATCTTTACTAATCATGTGTATTAATTAAAACTGTCATTTGATAAAATATTTAACATGTGTAACTACTATAAGTATTACTTTAAAAAAAATAGATAAATATGAAAAACATTGTGGATTTAAAATCAAATTGAAAGTCAAACTATTTCTTATAATAAGGATGTGAGGTAGTATTCTAATTTTCTAGTGCACACGCTGAATTGAATGAGAAGCAGCCACCACAGAACAGATCAAACAGAAGTAGAAAACCCAATCTCACTGTTGCAACCCAAAGCTAATTACACCGTTGCTGCTAATACTGACATAGACAGAGAGGAGAGTGTTCATTCACAAAAAAAGAGGAGAAACAGATTGACCTATTTTTATTTTCCTAATTCCATGTTTTATGGCCGCAATAGTAGGTGGATCGCAAAACATAAAACTAATCCTCAACTTGGACACGCGCGAGTCTCTCTCTCCAAAATTAAAGCTCTTCATGTGTCAGTGCCGTACATTATATCTTTATTTCCATAACTAAAACATGAGCATCGTCTTTATTACTGCGCTACAGTAGTAACCATTTTTAATGAGCACCCGACTGCTACTCTGCCCTGGGGACAAAACTGCCATATGCAGGAAGACAAACAAAGCAACGTTCATTTCTGCAGATGGCTGAAGTTGGCTCACTGTCATCGTAATTCTTTAATAAAGACAACGGCCAGGCCAAAAAGGAATAAGATCGTTCGGCAATAAATAATCTTCTGGATTGAATTTCATGAGAATCTCTGTCTCAGCCCTTGTTAATTTACTCGAATCAGTATCTATATTGTGATCTGTATGTCATGGAGCTGAATTTCATGAACATCTATTTTATTTGATGACCCTTCGTTTCATTTCTCGCTTCTCTTCCACCCACCAGGCACGGTGTTCAGCTAACTGACCCGCTGCCAGTTAACACATGTTGGTGTCCTTTCCATTGTCCATTGAAACCCAAAAAAAAAAAAAAAAAGTCGCATCCCTTTATTTGCCACGTGGCATATATTGTCTTACGTGTCTGAGCTGACGTGCCCCACGCTCCTCGCCTTCCCTTTTAAAAACGATCTACTACTTTTGCTTCCGCCTGTTTTCTTTAAGAATCAAGCCCACCCACACTTTCCCCACTTGAAAATAAAAGCTGAACTAACCCCCCACTAACGTATACACTCTCTCAAAATACTACTCTCCTTGGATTCTCTCTTAAAACTTCCTTTATCATACAGCACTGCTCCTCGGGTTCTCTTTGTTATCATTCCCAATCTCTCGTAAGATCATTACTCAGAAGCTTAAAGCTTATCACATCAATGACGGAGACCTCTGGTAGAAAGCTCGTAGTTGAGGTCTGCAATGCCAAGAATCTGATGCCAAAAGACGGCCAAGGAACCGCAAGCGCTTATGCGATTGTGGATTTCGACGGCCAGAGGCGGCGAACCAAGACCAAGTCCAGAGATCTAAATCCCCAGTGGGACGAGAGGCTCGAGTTTATTGTTCACGACACAGAGACTATGGCATCCGAAGTCTTAGAGATCAATCTGTATAACGATAAAAAGACAGGGAAGCGAAGCACTTTTCTGGGCAAGGTTAAAATATCAGGAGGCACTTTTGTGAAGTCCGGTTCTGAAGTGCTTGTGTATTATCCTCTGGAGAAGAGGAGCGTCTTCTCTCAGATTAAAGGCGAGCTTGGGGTCAAGGTTTATTATATTGATGAAGATCCGCCGGCTGCCGATGCCGCAGCTGCAGAGCAAAAGACTGAAGCGGCGGCGCCGGCGGCTGAGGAAAAGCCACTGGAGAATTCAGCGAAAGAGGAAGAGAAGAAGGAAGACAAAGCTGAAGAGAAAAAAGAAGATGAGAAGCCGGCAGCTAAAGAATCTAAGGAAGAGGAAAAGCCAAAGCCAGCAGAACCTGATCAAGCGAAACCAGAGGAAGCTCCGGCTGAACCTGCTCCGGTCCCACCACCGCCTGAGGTGGACCAGCCGATAGCTCATACGGAGAAACCGAAGCAGCAACAGCAGAAGGAGAAGCAAGGCGAGATACAAAAGCGTCCTGATCTCGGCGTGAATGACATTGAACTCCGATCTCTGAGCAGCGATCGAAGCCGTAGCACTTATGATCTCGTGGATCGAATGCCATTTCTCTATGTACGGGTTTTAAAGGCCAAACTAACCAAACCAGGGCCTGGAACCTCGGTTTATGCTAAGCTCGTGATTGGAACCCACAGTATCAAGACCAGAAACGAAACTGACAAAGATTGGGATCAAGTCTTCGCATTTGACAAAGAAGGTCTTAATTCGACGTCATTGGAAGTGTCTGTGTGGTCGGAGGAGAAGAAAGAAGATAATCAGTGCACAGAAAGTTGTCTGGGAACTGTCTCCTTTGATTTGCAGGAAGTTCCAAAGAGAGTACCCCCAGACAGTCCTCTGGCTCCACAATGGTACACTCTGGAATCAGAAAATTCTCCGGGAAATGACGTCATGGTCGCTGTGTGGATTGGAACCCAGGCAGATGAGGCGTTCCAGGAAGCGTGGCAATCAGACTCGGGCGGGTTGATACCAGAGACCCGATCAAAGGTTTACCTGTCTCCAAAGCTCTGGTACCTAAGGCTAACGGTCATCCAGACCCAGGATTTGCAAATAGCTTCGGGAACCGAGCCTAAGGTTCGGAGGAACCCAGAGCTTTACGTGAAGGCTCAGTTGGGGGCCCAAGTGTTCAAGACGGGAAAGACATCGGTGGGCCCGTCATCATCCAGCTCAGCTAATCCGACTTGGAATGATGACCTCATTTTTGTGGCCGCCGAGCCTTTCGAGCCGTTTCTGCTGGTGACCGTAGAGGATGTGTCTCATTCCCAAACAGTGGGGCAAGCCAAAATACACGTGTCTTCCATCGAGAGGCGAACAGATGATCGAACGGAGGCAAAATCAAGATGGTTTAATCTGGTTGGGGACGAGAACCGCCCATACGCCGGAAGAATCCACGTTCGAGTGTGCTTGGAAGGGGGCTATCACGTGATAGACGAGGCTGCTCACGTGACCAGTGATGTTCGGGCCGCAGCCAAGCAACTAGTTAAGGCTCCGATAGGCATGCTGGAGGTCGGGATTCGCGGGGCCACTAATTTGCTGCCCGTGAAGACCAAAGACGGAACTCGGGGCACCACCGATGCCTACGTGGTAACCAAATATGGGCCAAAGTGGGTCCGAACTCGCACCATCTTAGACAGATTCAATCCACGTTGGAATGAGCAGTACACTTGGGACGTGTATGACCCCTGCACGGTGCTCACAATAGGCGTGTTTGATAATGGGAGGTACCAGCATGATGAATCAGGGAAGCCCAACAAAGACGTGCGAATTGGGAAAATCCGAATACGTCTATCCACGCTGGACACAAACCGAGTGTACATGAATAGTTACTCCCTCGTTACAATCTTGCCAAGTGGTGCCAAGAAAATGGGAGAGATCGAGATTGCAGTAAGGTTTTCGTGTTCCTCCTGGTTAAGCTTGATGCAGGCCTATGCAAGCCCGATTCTTCCAAGAATGCACTATGTGAAGCCATTCGGCCCCGCCCAACAAGATATCCTACGTCACATGGCTATGCGCATCGTCACCGCTCGGCTTGCGCGATCCGAACCGCCTTTGGGTCAAGAAGTGGTTCAGTTTATGTTGGACTCAGACAACCACGTGTGGAGCATGAGGCGGAGCAAGGCTAATTGGTTCCGGGTCGTGGGTTGTTTGTCGCGGGTAGCAACGGTGGCGCGGTGGCTTGACGGGATTCGCACGTGGGTGCATCCCCCCACCACAATTCTGGTGCACGTTTTGTTGTTGGCAATTGTGCTGTGTCCCCATTTGGTGCTCCCCACAGTATTCATGTACGCCTTCTTGGTCTTGATCTCCAGATTCCGTAACCGACGGAGGGTCCCGCAGAACATGGACCTAAGGATATCTTACGTGGACGGGGTGAGCTTGGACGAGCTTGACGAAGAGTTTGATGGGTTCCCCAGCACGAGATCTGCGGAGCAAGTTCGGATCCGGTACGATAGGCTGAGGGCATTGGCGGGTCGGGCGCAGACATTGATGGGTGACTTGGCAGCACAAGGGGAGCGTTTGGAGGCACTGTTTAATTGGCGGGACCCAAGAGCTACGGGGATATTTGTGGTGTTTTGTTTAATGGCATCGATGGTGTTCTATGTGGTGCCATTTAAGGGGTTTGCATTAGGTGCCGGGTTTTATTACTTGAGACACCCAAGGTTTAGAGGTGATATGCCGTCGGCTCCTGCAAACTTTTTCCGGCGGCTTCCCTCATTTGCTGACCAAATTATGTAAGGACGATGATATGTTAGGTGGCACGGTTTTTTTGGGGCGGCTACTATTTTTGTTCTCAGTATTAATATTAATTATTATATTCATTTGTTTGTTTCATTTGTTCGTTTGTCTTTTTTTTGTGGTCCGTTTGTGTCGACTGCATTTTCATTTTTCATATGAAGGAAGCGACAAGTCGTTGGCAGTATGCGCCAAAAGCCTAAAAGTGGATAAAAGTGACCGTTGATAGTGCACAAAGAAAGCGCTCTAGAGCCATGAGATCCATTATATAACGCGAATGGTGATTACCAAAGGGAAGGGCACTAGGGCAGCAGGCCGTTGGTGCAATATGCTTTGGCGTCAAGGAAAACGCTGCTTTTAAGGAAGGTCGGTCGCTGGAGGGTACCTGCAAGAGGGATTTGAAAATTGGGACCACATATGATAAACTGCCTATGCATTTATGAGTCGGCCATAACATTTCCTTTCACCTTTAACTAGCTGGGAATCTAAATAATGTAACTTGATTTCACTTTGGCAATGAGGATGGTGAAGAAACGAAACGAGCTTTTAACTTTCCACGGTCTCGATATGATGCCTGGGTTGATGCTGAAGAAAGGAAGAACAAAATGACGATCTCAGTTTTATTATTGCTGGATCACTGGTATTGGGAGAGTCCTTCTCCTCACTGTCACCACTCATTCATTCTGGTCCCCGGGGAAAAAAAGAAGAAAACGACCTAAAACGCATCAGTTTCCACTCTGCAGAGAAATACTAACTATATGCTTCTCGCTGAACATGGCTGCACTTTTTGCAGATGTGTCAACAGCTTGCATTTTTTTTTTCGAACTTCCCGATGGAGTAATAATAACGCGTAATATTTGTTATTAGAGTTATTTGTTTTATTATTGCCATTGTCATGCACAACAGTTTTTGAAATGCTTCTATTTTATTTTTTGGGTGGCCAGATGATATGCTTTCGTCTGTGTATATTTATTAAGGGAAAATTCAGGTTATTAGATTCAACTCTCCAATCAAATTTTGCAATATTTATTTTTTTAATAATATAAAATTCAATGTTGATAAATTTTCAAAATTCTTTTAAATTATTATTAGTAAATAAAAATACTCCCGGCAAAATTTAATTGGAGAATTTGATATTCGATACAAGTAAATCGCCAACGTAGGAATTTATTATATTATTATTATTCTGGAAATCTCGACGCGAACGCGGGGGCGGACGTTATATAAATGTTTGACGCGCGAACAAGAGGGACCGAAATTATTCAGCACAATGAAGCGGAAGGAGGTCGATGAGTTTTACGACGACAGCTCTCCAACTTGCCTCTCCAATTCGTCAAGAAAATTTCGGAGACTGGTACCTTTCTTCCGCAAAATTTCCTCTCAGCGATTTAATTCCTGTTCATTAGTCTGAAACTATGAAATCTGAATTGCTTTTTACTAGTTGACGTTCGTAGCTTGATGCATATGGTTATAATCTCACTATATACTGTTTTCCTATACTTGTCGTTCTGGGTAAATGCAAGGATGCCGAGTTTGTTTCGGTCATGGAAGAAGACCCAAACGTTAATGCTCCCCAATTTGTTCAACGAGGGCTATCACCGGAGCTATCTTGGACGAGCACTGCCATGGTGCATACAGACGTAGTATCAGTTGCAAAAGTGCCAACGAGTAATGCGATGGAAGAGAGAGCCTTCATGCTCTATGATCCAGCTAAAACCCCTTTTGCTATGCATCCGAGCCTTCAGAAATTCCCAATCGTTGTGCAATCTGACTTGATTCCTGGCTTAAAGGGTAATTATGCATATTCTAAGTCAGAGCTCTTTACAGCTTTTGGATTGACCCTAATTTCTGTTGTTATCATTTGCTTTTGGATCTAAGGGTTGTGATTTTTCCCCTCCCCTTAGCAATAACTTGTTATTGACTGCTGAAAGTAGTTTGATGCTTTTAATTGGTTTATGTTGCTAGCCAGGAGTATTTTGAACCATAATATGTTAGTTCCAATCGAAAGACATTAATCTCTGGGCAATTACATGAGATGATATGGGAAGGATTTTGAGAAAGAAAGTAAGAAATCAAATCCCAATATTTAGCGATACAGACTTCAGAAGTTTGATTGCATAATACATATATACTAGTCACGCCCAATTAAAATGAAAGAACTATCTTCGTAATAAGATTCTTTAAAGCTCTTGCACGTTTCTATCAGTTTCTCAGAGTGAACCTAGAATCTTCAAGTGGTCAGTCGGATGAAATGTGTGAATTCACCGGGAGGTCAAAGTATAATAACATGGTTGCTTCGTTCTTGTTGTGAGTTTTTTGGCTTGACGCCTTCCCTTTTGCCTATGTTTAATTTTCCTTCTCTGTCAATTTGCTCATAGGGATGCCAACACCTGTTCTTCAGGTAAACTTGAAATTCTCTGCATTGAAAGGAATCTGTAGGCTTAAACATTTATCCGTCAAAGACTACTGATAACATTCTCTAACATGATGAATAAGTTGTATCTGACATGATGACATGAATATCATGATATTCATGATCTTTTGCTACTTTGTTTCAAAGCCTGACTAGCAGAACCTTTTGCATAGATAATGTGATTGGAGTCCTGCGCAGTCATCTGGGGTCTTGGAATTTGAAGAGCATGATAACTTTAGAATGAGATCGAATCCTTCAGAAGTTTTACAACTGTAAGAAGATTAAGTCCAATAATGAGAGGTTACTGATGAGAGCTTCCTGAAATATACAGTAGCATGAAGTTCTGCTGTAACTGAATCTGATGAGTTCCGAACATTTTATAGAAAAATTTCCTATCAAATTGCGATGGGCAATTGTATTTTGCTGATAGAAAAATTTTCTATGGAAAATATTGCTGGGAACTCATTAGAGCAAGGTTCAACATAGATGCTATTTCATAAGTTCATGAACTTTTTGAAAGAGTCTAGTGTGAAAATTTAGATTATGTATTACTTAGAAATGATTTTTACATGCTGCTACACTTGAGGAATGAAATGAGGCTGCTCATAATAATTCTAGCGTTAGAATACATGGTAATCGGGGTATAGCATAAAATATTCTGCGTAAATTTATAGCTATAGGTGTTTTGGATCTGCTTGAAGATATCTTGAACCATTGTTTCCATTATTTCTAGATTACCTATCATCGTGGGGTACTGCGAAGTTAGGAAAATCTGAGGAAGATAGGACGAGCAAGGAAAAGAGCTCTGAAGCATCAAGAGACAGTTTGGTGGCTGTTCCGTGTGTTAAACCCCGTTGGCCAGTGGTGTGTGAGGAAAGACTTTCAGTGGCTTGTGACGCTTTGGAGGCAGAAGGTCAAATGATGGACGTGGATGAACCCAACGTGAGTCGCAGGGAAGAGAGAGATATGGACATTGGTGAAAAGATTGAAGCAGTTGGGGTTATGCCCCCATGCCAGCAACAACATCATATGATGCTTAGTCTCTCGCAGAACACTCACTCGCGAATGAGTTGGTGATAGTTGAGTTCATAGTTTGTATTCTCCTGATGGCGCCGCTATTCACTAACCAGCCTCTTTTTGGCCATCTACTAACCGGCCTTCTACTGGCACTTGATCTGTATATAATGAAGGCAAAAGTTTTGTATAACTTTTAATCAATTAGAATTAGTAGATGACTAATCTGAAGGTTTACGCCATTCCCGAAATTCCAACAATTACATCTTTTATCATGGCTTTGTTAGAGCACCAGCAATTGGAGTTTGGATAATTTGATTAAATCGAATTCTGTTGCTCCATTTGCTGGCATACATTGTCATTGTGTACACGCAGGGGAAGCATTAAGGGAGCGGATACTTCTTTTCAAGGGTTCAGTACAATTTTGTTGTTTCTATATTTTTAATGTTTTTACATTGCCATTTTTGGCTTAATATTTTCTTGAAATATGTCCATGATCATATAAAACCATTGTAAGTATGTTTGACTCCGATCCACACGTTTGAGGAAATTTCAACTTCAATTTACAAGAGCATTCCACAGCTCAAGACTGGATCTTCAATCTTCAGTTTAGGTCTCAAATCTAGAGTCTTTTGTGAATGAATTAAGGGCTTCCTAAATCCTCAAGGGCTAACATGTGTTTCATGCGCTTAAACCCTAGAGGTGGATTATATTACGAGTTCATACTTTTATTTCACTTCAATATTTTTGAAAAAATATATTCCGAGTTACACAGGGGAAGCTGACTTGGCGTTTGAAAAATACATTTTAGATCAAAAAACTTGACGTTGAGAAATTAAGCAGTTCTCAATCTTTTCGAACACTGAAATGATTGGAAGCAATGCACTTCAAAGCATGTACTTGAGCTTACTAGACCAGCTTCAGAGATAATCTCAGCAAGTCTGAAGAGCAAAAGCATTCAATTTACGAGCAGTTTAACACCTCGCCTGCCATTTAATCGTGGCAAGGAGGCTGCCTGAATTACCACTCGATATATGGACTCCCTCCCAACGAACATTCAAAAGACAAAGCTTTCACCATCAGATCCTTCTCTTCCTTCTTAAAAGAAGAAATGACGAAAGAACTTGAAGCAGTGCCACATCGCGGATACCGCGAATCGATGAATTGTATCAATCTTACCCATAAAGAATCGCTAGATTCTCGACAAAATCAAGAAGGAGGGGAAAATTGATTAGTTTGCTATAGGGTGCTGCATTCATCTCTAAGGCACGGCATTTATCAGCCAAAGAGCCAAACTCCAGCCCCTTCATCTATCAATTACGCATTTAGATGCTGAAAACAAACAAGACAAATCGTCTTTTAAGCTGTCTCCCGACTCAAACCCTAACCCTGGCTCAATTGATGAGTTGAGGGACGAGTTGTCCTTATATAGAAAGAGAAGAGGACGAGGAAAGGAGCGAACCCTATTTCCCTTCCTTTATGTTTTCGTTTGGGCCGGACCTATTATAGCCCACGAAGCTGAATTTGCCCGTGATGCGATCATGTACGGATCAACGGTGACCAGTGGCGCCTGATGCCAGGTAAAAAAATGACTTGGCGCCAATTTGTTGTCCTTTTTTTTTTTTTCCGGTTTAGTAAAAGTCTGTTAATTAATTTATTAATTGGTCATGTCAGTTGGTAATTTATTGATTGTCAATTAATCCTTTCTGTTAATAAATTTTTTATTAATCATGACTTTCCTTGACGATATAGATGTACATTTTTTCTAGTGAAAGTAAAATGATTTAACACGTATGATGATAAAAATAGTGACGCCATATAGGGATGAGTCACTATTTAAAATATTTATATAATATGTCAAAATATTTTTCTGAAAAAATGTGTTAGGTGTGCGTATTTGAAAATGTTGAAGCATTATTGACTGCAGACAAAATAAATAAATTGGAAAATGTTTACAAGGAAACAAGATCGAAAGTTCAAAACGGAAGTAACAGCTTCCAAGATGACAAGTGATTTCACTTTAAAATTAAGAATAAAATATAAAAGGAAAAATGAGATATTATTCGTTTTGTTATTATTTTCCCCACAATTTGCCAGCATCATCATATATATCCCAATCGCCGATCGCTGAAAGAAAAGGGATAGATAGCTCAATCATTGAATGTGATAGGAGGGCTATAAAGATGGGCGAGGCAGCAATATTTTGGATTTAACGGCCGTCTTAGTAGTTGCCACATTAAGGCAGCATTTCAGCAGAGAAAGCAAATCCTTTTATTTGCTAATCCTTTTTTTAACCATCTCTTATGTAATTATACAATTTATATGAATTTATTATGGTCTGTTTGTATTCTATTCCCATTTTTAGCAACACTGTTAACTGTCAACTCTTAATATAAAACTCATTTAACTAATTTGATTAGGTTAAGGAAATTAGGTAAGTTAGTTAATTACAAGAAAAGTGATACATTTTTCTTAAAACACCTAGTCATCTTTCTTAATACCTCATCTCCTTCTTCTACTTGATTATAGTGAAGGAGTATCCATAGGGGTAATTTAAAGAAAATTGATAAAATAAGAAATGGGTCTTATATTTAGGATTAAAACCAACCCAAGAATTGAGTCCTATATTAAGTAAAGGAGGAGTAACTTTATGGAATTATTATACTTAAAGTAAGGCAATCTCAATCTAAAATGTTGACTCTAATCTCATCTTAATCCATCTAAATCCTCTGCGGGAGAAAAATCCGCACCAATCCGCCCGTATTTAGCTCAATATAGTACATTGCCGGGCGCATTCGAACAGAATCTTTTTGTACACGGAACTGGTTTGCCTCGTCATCCCTATCCAATTTTTTCGGTATCCGAATCGCAATCTTTTCCTCCTTCTGCTCGCATATATATACTTTGAATTTCTCATTCTTTGTGTGATCATCACAAATTGTCCTACCTTCGAGTTGATTGATTTCAGATCAGATAGAATTCATTTTAGAGAGAGACAATGAGGATCGAACGAGATAGTGATGCAGTCTCGGCTTCCAGGGAGCACCTGGTCTTCGCTTACTATGTTACCGGCCATGGTTTTGGCCATGCCACTCGTGTTGCTGAGGTCTCATTTCCGATTCTCTGCTCCTTTTTCTGTTTTCCTGTCACTTTTAGCTCAATTGGCGCCTTTTCACTGTCACATTATCGGAACTCGTTTTCTTCCTCTGTCTTTGCGATTCCGCTTTTGAGCAATGGAGTTCTTTTGGAAAAGGATATTCACTTTTTTATTTTCCTTTTTATAACATTTTTGCTTTGAGTGTGTTACCGAGGCTTTCATGCGATCTGGTTTTTAAACTTTCCACTCTGGAATGCGCAGGTGGTGCGGCATCTAATTCTTGCCGGGCATGATGTCCACGTGGTCACTGGTGCTCCTGAGTTCGTGTTTACCTCTGATATTCAATCTCCTCGTCTCTTCATCCGCAAGGTGAGCATGATCTATACAAAGGCACTCCAAAAACGAGAAGGGAGAGCCGTAAATGATTAAACTGTGGATATTATAGTTTCGGAAGCAATCACAGTTAATTGCGTAAGCCTTGTCGAATGTAGCCTGAATAAAATGTAGCCATATCAAACCAAACCGGAAGCAGCTCGAATGGCAGAGTTCGCATGTTCTTTTGGATGCATATTCTATGAATTCATCTTATGTCTGCGAAATTTTGTGTGTGGGTTGTAATTATACTTTTTAAACAACTTTGTAAAATGTAAAATTAGGTGCTTTTGGACTGTGGAGCTGTTCAGGCCGATGCATTGACCGTTGATCGCCTTGCATCTTTGGAGATGGTACAGAAGCATCATTTCTCATTACATGGTTATCATATATTCTTCCAGTTCAGTATTTTTTTTTTTAATGAATTTCTTGTTTTCTATTATGCTACGTCAGTACTCCGAAACAGCCGTCAAGCCCCGTGCTTCTATCTTGGAAAAGGAAACTGAGTGGCTAAACTCCATCAAAGCTGACTTAGTGGTACTCCAATATTTTCTGTGTTTTCCCCCTAATTTTCTGGTAACAAATATTCTTACCTTATGGATTGACAGCAAAACGGAAAAGATAATTGAAAGATAATGTTTTGCAAGGATCACACTGTCATGAGATCTAATTGGAGGAAAGCTGCTTTAAATACGATGATGTTCTAACAAATAGAACCAAAAGAAAAGATTTTACAAATTTAATTCCTGTTTAGAATATCCTTCAATAGGTTTGGTTGGTCTTTGTGGCGCTAACATGGGGGGAAAACAGGTCTCTGATGTGGTCCCAGTTGCATGTCGCGCAGCAGCTGATGCTGGAATTCGTTCTGTTTGTGTGACCAATTTCAGGTAAATTTTGCTGACTGCAAGTTAATTAAATGTTCGGTATTTGCATTTACTTTGTGTTTTAAATTCAAGTAGATGCCCAAGAGGAATTGTCTCTACCAATGAGTTAAATATTTTTTATTATTTAATTTTTTTCTGAACTGTGAATGATTAACCTCATTGCATGTGTTTGTAATATCAGCTGGGACTTTATCTATGCGGAATATGTCATGGCTGCTGGGTATCATCATCGTTCAATAGTTTGGCAGGTTATAACACTCTCCTTGATTGGAAGTTTAGATTGTCCGTTGTGTTCTGAATAGAAGTTTTCATCAAATTTGAAATATAAAGGACCAAAAGTATAATCTGAATACGGTAATGTCAATATTTTACCTGTATTGTAAGTTTGTATACTGATGTGGTTATGATAGAGCATAAACTGATCAGATGGATGAAGTGACAAGTTGTTAGATAAAATGAATACAAGCAAAACTTTTAAACTGGGAATTGGTCTTGCATTACCTTTTCACCATAATTGTGTTTCAAACATGTTAATATTAGTTGCATAAAATCTGAGACAGATAGCAGAGGACTATTCTCATTGCGAATTCCTAATCCGCCTTCCAGGATATTGCCCAAGTATGTTGGCTCATAATTTCACACAATTGCCTAACATTTTGTTAATTTTTTATTAGTTTATTCTTGGAAAAACTTTAGCCAATCTATGGAATCTCTGATACTGCAGTGCCAGCTTTTCGTGATGTTATTGATGTGCCTCTGGTTGTGAGAAGGTTGCATAAATCCCGAAAAGAGGTATGACCTCATAAATCGTAGTGCAGCTCTTCTATAGGATTATGCAATTCCAAGTTTTCACAATCTTTTAATTATGCTATTGAAGGTGAGGAAAGAACTCGGTGTAGCAGATGATGCGAAGGTAGTCATCCTCAACTTCGGTGGCCAGGTGATTACTTGAGTTTCCTCTGACGACAAGAGCTTAATTATTTTCTGTTGGTGATAAAATATGCTTCTACTGTATATTTCTACTCTCTCCTTTTGTTCTCCTGTACGTATGTGCTAGATTTCTGCTTGATGCGTTGGTCAATGAGTTATTCGTGGGTAGTTGGTGTGAGTTGCATATGTGATATTCATCTGAAGAGTGAAAAGGTCAAATGTAAACCATATGATGCTAGAATTCCTAAGCATCTTCGTTCTGTTTGCTATTATTTGTTTATCATCATCACAGTGCCATGATTTTTGTTCTAATAAAAATCTCCTGATATAAAATTTCACTATTTTGGATGCTGAATTCTGGTGTAGTTGTCTTCAAAGAACTCTTATTTCTAGAGTTCTTTATCCTCTCTCTGCTTAATTACTCTCTCTAAACATCCAAGAATAAACTGATGGCACGTCCTCATGTGTGTTTTTGTGTGTGTCTCTCTCTTTGACGTCTTCTGTCTTTGTGATTGTTCCAGCCATCAGGATGGAAGTTGAAGGAAGAGTTCTTACCTTCTGGCTGGTTATGCCTGGTACATATGAAACTATTTTGCTTCATATACTTGTCTATTTAAATTTTCTATGGCCATTGTGCTCTTATGTATTATTTAGTGATGGTTTGCTGTTGTGAGCCAGGTTTGTGGTGCTTCTGACAGCCAGGACCTTCCACCAAATTTCAAAAAACTTGCCAAAAATGCATATACACCTGACATTATTGCAGCATCTGACTGTATGCTTGGTTCGTCTGAAACTTCCATTAACCTTTTAGAACCTTTTAACATCTGACTGAGGACACTTGTTGCTTGTCATTTCAGGAAAAATTGGATATGGCACTGTTAGTGAAGCCCTGGCGTACAAGTGTCCTTTTGTCTTTGTTCGGAGAGACTATTTCAATGAAGAACCCTTTTTGAGAAATATGCTTGAGGTACTTTTGATTTCCCAGGCTGGTTTGCATTAACTTTTGGTTCTCTCCGTCATGTCAAAAGCCTTGCAAGTGACTATTTGTTTTGGACATCTTAGCATTATCAAAGTGGTGTTGAAATGATTCGAAGGGATTTACTCACTGGTCATTGGAAACCATATCTTGAACGTGCAATGACTTTGAAACCATGCTATGAAGGTGGCATAAATGGTGGAGAGGTACATACTTTCTCTTGCATTTTTGACTCTTTGAAAAATCTTGAATACAGCAGCATGAAGAAATACGTGGTTTAAACACATTATCAGAAGCTTGAATTGTTTTCAAGATTCTTCTTTTAATCTCCCTGTAATACACTAACACCAAGCTTTAGGTGCCTATTGTTGTAACTTCTGAAGACCTACTCCATGAGATGAATTTTCTGGACTTGCCATCTGCATCGCACAATTTAACCGAGACCCTCAAGTGTTTCACTTTCAATTTCATTGTCACTGTTTTTTCATGACAATTATTGATGGTTTGTTCGTAAATGTCCTAAAAATACAGGTTGCAGCCCACATTCTGCAGGAAACAGCTTTTGGGAAAAATTATGCATCAGACAAGGTAAAGGAAAAATCCTGAAGGAACTATTTTTTCAAGCTGTGGCCACATTTTTATTTTTTTTGTTCCTTGAAATTTTGGAGAAAGAAATGGAAGTTACATATTAACTATGCAAAATATAGCTTAGTGGTGCAAGAAGATTACGTGATGCTATAGTTCTTGGCTATCAACTACAAAGGGCCCCTGGACGAGATATTGCAATCCCAGATTGGTATGCAACTGCTGAGAATCAACTTGGACACTCATCCCCACCTTCCTTAGCGGATGATGAAAGCTCCATATTCAGCTCGTGAGTATCACTTCTATTTTTGCGCCTTGATAATCGTATTCATGGTTATAGGTAACGTAGGTAACATTATCCCAACTAAATATATTTTTTAGGCACAGTGAGCATTTTGAGATTCTTCATGGAGATGTACAAGGTCTTCCAGATACCGGGGCTTTCTTAAAGACCTTATCTGAACTGGATGAGAAACTCACAACACGTGAGCGCAAGGCTGCTGCTAGCCTCTTCAACTTGGAGGTGCTTATTTCATCTGGAAAATTAGTTTTTTGATAGATCTCCTTTTCCTTTGAAATTGATTTGCCTCAGTAGCTACAAGCAACCTTCTAAAAGCAGCATTACGGAATAAATCATTTATTTTCATGATATGAAATAAATTATCAGGTTCAATTACCTTTGTATGTTGGAATTTATTTCTCTTCCTTTCATGTATAGGAAGAAATTTTTGTGACGAGAGCTCCTGGAAGGTTAGATGTCATGGGAGGAATTGCTGACTACTCTGGAAGCCTTGTCCTGCAGGTTTTGTGTTTTATTTGCTTAGAATTTTAATTATCAGTTGCATTTGATTGCAATATATTAATCTGACTGTCAACTGAACCATGTGCTTTTGTAGCTTATTGAAATGTTAATTATATAAACTTCACGCTATTTTAGTCAAAAAGAAAAAATCATGCTATGAAGTTAGTTTCAGTAAATTCAACTGTTGCATCCCGTAGGAGATAAGAGTGTTTTGGTAGTCGTGTCAATTAAAGAAGAATTACGTCACCCTTTGTTTGGTGAAATTACTCCATCTTCTGAGTCAGATTTTCATTTTTCGTTATGGAGGCTATATTAAATGAGAAACAGCATGTACAGATGAAGTGGCATTTTCAGAATAAATGTGCAGACTAACAAAGGACACTAAGCTGAGAAGCTTCCCTACACATTTGTAATAAATTTGATGTTCTTAAATATTGCAAAAGTAAAGGAGAATTTGTTGACATTTATAGCATTTAAAGACAAGCAATGAAGTCAAAAGGAGACAGATACATTTTCTTTTAGGAAAAAAGACACTTCATAATGAAAGGAGAAACGACATAAATAAAAAATGAGAGACGAAACATATAAGATTAGTAGAGAGTAATATCATAACAAATCTAGCATACCAATGCTCAGTTCTTATCTATCTATTAGGAATAGCATGATAGAAGCATAAAAAAGAATATCATAAACTTTTATTTTCAATTAATAATGGTCAATTCTGAGAATGCAATTGAGGTATGAAATTTACTTCGGGACAGGTTCTCGCTCTCCTCTTACATCCGTTTTTCTTGCATTTCGTTTTACTGTAGATGCCAATAAGAGAAGCCTGTCATGTTGCTCTGCAAAGAATCCATCCAAGTAAGCATAGGCTGTGGAAGCATGCTCAGGCTCGACAGAATGCCAGAGGGGATAAACCAACTGCTGTTTTGCAAATTGTATGTTCAAAATTATGTGAAACTACTTCTTGTTCTTTCAAGAATAGGCTGTGGAAGGATGCATGATACGTCATATGAACATTTACGAGAAAATGTTATCTACTGAAGCAGAAATATTGTTTTAGCTTTTTCTTTGAATCTTGGAAATAAGAATTGATCCTTTTAGTCGATCAATTTCCTAAAATTATGCTGTCTCAGGTATCATTTGGCTCAGAATTAAGCAATCGAGGCCCAACCTTTGACATGGATTTGTCTGATTTTATGGATGGAGAGAAGCCAATCTCATATGAAAAAGCAAGGAAATTCTTTGCTCAAGATCCTTCCCAAAAGTATGTAGCACTTACGCTTGACTTGGTGTGCATTTTTGGCATTCTGCTATACTAATATGAGTTCTGCAACAGGTGGGCAGCATATATTGCTGGAGCAATTGTGGTCTTGATGAATGAATTGGGCATACGTTTTGAAGATAGTATCAGCATGCTGGTAGCTATCATTCTCTACCTTAGTAGCTTATAATTACATTTACCGCAGCAAACAGATTATCATATTGACGGCAGAGACAATTTCCTTTCATTGTTCATAGTATAATTGTGATGATTTTCAAGTAATTTCTCGTGATGTAGTAATATTTGGTGGGTTTATTCATAATATTATTCATATTATGCATTTTGAGGAATGATATGAAGTTGGCACGCCTCATACTTCCAAAAAAGGCATTTAGATGAACTATTACTGCCATTCTATCTTCATCTACTTTGCTGACATCTCAAGATTTGAACGAAATTGAACAGGTTTCTTCTGCTGTCCCAGAAGGAAAAGGTGTCTCGTCGTCTGCATCTGTGGAGGTTGCTAGCATGCATGCCATAGCAGTTGCTCATGGTAATCAATTGTGTTTCTCCTGAGAACATTTTGTAGGTTTAATTTACCTTTCCTTTTTTTTTTTTTTGTTTGGGGTGCTCAACTAAACATAAACTGCATGAATTTATTACTGTTATATAGGATTGAATATCAGCCCAAGGGATCTGGCGTTGCTCTGCCAGAAGGTTTGACATTTTCTGCAGTCTAATTCACTTTCAATTTGGTGCTGTAAATTTCCTCTAGCATCCTTTGTCCCTGCGATGAACCTTCTTTTTTTAATCTAAACATTTCATTAGGTGGAAAATCACATTGTTGGAGCTCCATGTGGTGTCATGGATCAGATGGCTTCTGCATGTGGTGAGGCCAACAAGCTTCTTGCAATGATTTGCCAGGTGGACATCTGTTCAAGCCAAACAAAATTCATTTTTTGTTAACCTTTGCAAAGGTTGTAATGTTAACTGCTTGTTATTGGTGCAGCCTGCAGAAATAGTTGGCCTAGTAGAAATTCCCAATCACATCCGGGTCTGGGGAATCGATTCTGGAATAAAACACAGGTAGGGTGTATTATCTTAATGTCATATTTCAAGAGATCAGCTGGCGGCAATAGAATTAGACCTTTGAAGCAATGTTCTAATCTGAGTTTCATGAGTGCAAAGAAGTTAGGAACAACAAGATATTTTGGATCTGTAATTAGCTGGTGCTAGCAAGACTAGATTTTAAGTGCCTTCCCAGGATAATTCAAGTAAAATGCCACTAGTGTCTGGTATTCGAGATTGGACAGAGTTGGTAGGATTTAGCACTTGAAGAAGAGAGGATAAACCTAGGCAGCACAAATTCAAACCGAGAGCAAATGAGATTATTTCTGATATTCATGGGAGCAACCAGGAAATTGGCAGCTGAATTCTCCATGAATTGTTCTCTATTCGATGATCTATTATGATTAAGGATATCCACAGAACAATGGGAGCTATTGACATACTTACATGGTGAAAAGGATGTTATACAACTTATAGGGCTCTGCAAGGGTAGAAATATTTGTTTCGTTGACTTTTTTGGAGTTTCAGGCTTGCAGCTTTTATATGGATCTGTTTTACTTTTCTTCTTTTTTGGCTAATCATCACTGACCTCAAATGATAACAGCCACTTTTTCCTTCTTACTCTAATTTTGCTGACCTATCTTTATGGCCATCTATGTTAGTGTTGGAGGCGCAGACTATGGGTCAGTCAGAATTGGTACCTTTATGGGTCGGAAAATGATAAAATCCAGAGCCCGTGAGATATTGGCTGAGACACTTCCGGATGGGTCGAACCATGATGAAGTGGAGAATGATGATATAGAACTGATGAGCAAAGAAGCCTCTTTAGATTACTTATGCAATTTGTCACCTCATCGGTAAAGTTCCCCCTTCTCTTTCTTGTCTTGACTCTGTAGATTCTTGGAGGAGATTAATTTCTCAAATGATCTATGCCTGAGGTTCAGTTTCACTCTTGTTTCCTTTTCTTTTTTGGCATTATTTTTCGTTTGTTCCTTGCCTTATCAATTTCATGTATCAACCCCACTACATGAAGTTGCCTCTTCATTCCAAGCTTTGAAATTGCATACCACATCACCTGAGGTGGCTACCATGTTGCTGTTGCAATGGTTACAAGCACTTTATGGTGCAATTGTGAGATGTTAAAATTCATGGAGTTTCATTGCAATAAAACCTTATTTGCAATTGCAATGAGGCGTGGTTGTGTTGTGTGAATTTGTGGAAAAGGTTAAAATAATGGTCATAGGTTGTTATTCCTTGCAGCCGCAATAGTGTTACCCGCAACCTAAGCCCCCCCCCCCTTTTGGGTGATAACCTGCAACCTAAGTTTTAAACAATGCTTTATGCATTCTTATTTACAGGTATGAGGCTCTTTATGCTAAGAATATTCCCGAGCACATTGTTGGTGGGACATTTTTGGAGAAATTTGCTGATCATAATGATCTTGTCACAGTTATTGATGAAAAGCGTACTTATGCAGTGAAAGCTCCTACCATACACCCCATCTATGAAAATTTCCGTGTCAAGGTTTGCACTTCATTATCAATTTTTTTACTTATGAAGTCTAATACAATTTTTTTTTTTTTGGATTATGCATTATTATTTGCGAAATTAGAAGGGTTCATTACAATTGTTCTGTTTGACCCTGCTGTATAGTGATTTTTGGAACTCGGTAAATCTGCTACCACGAAAATTTTATTTGACTATATATTTCAAAGTCATTTTGTAGCCAGGCCAGTAATAGCTTTACAACTGACTCACAAAAGATATTAAACACTGAAGACTCCAATAAACCAGACGAGAATATCTAAATACATAAAACAATGAATTCTGATTTGTCTGTTTCTGCATTTATATTGCTATTTATGTTTTTCAAAATGATATTATATCATGCAGACATTCAAAGCACTGTTGACCTCGGCAACTTCGGCTGATCAACTCTCAGCCCTGGGAGAATTGTTATATCAGGTATGAAAATGTGCAGTTCCAATCGAAGCCCTCAGTTTTGCTAATGACCCCTGCTAATGACCCTCCATATTGGATTCTTAGTATCTGCATGTTTGGTCTCGAGTCTCACACTGTTTTAAACAAGTGCCTTGTTACATGGCAAAGAACTCGCTTTTAACCCCTTCACAGGAAAGTGGTTGCCCCTAGCCTAAAGAAAAATATTTCTAATAGCTTTGATTCGCATTTGCAGTGCCACTACAGCTACAGTGCTTGCGGACTTGGATCTGATGGGACAGATAGGCTTGTGCAATTGGTTCAAGACTTGCAGCATAGTGCAACCTCCATAATCGAAGGTGGCACCTTATGCGGAGCCAAGATCACTGGTGGGGGTTCCGGCGGGACGGTCTGCGTAATTGGTAGGAATTGTCTGAAGAGCAACCAACAAATTTTTGAGGTAATTATATTTTATTATGAATATGAATTAAACATATTGTTAAACTCAGACAAGCTATCATAAAGGGGCAAGTGTGGGAGGCTAATGGCATATTGTGTGCTTGTATTCTTTGATTTTCAGATTCAGCAAAGATACAAAAAAGCCACCGGTTACTTGCCCTATATTTTTGAGGGTTCATCACCAGGTGCCTGTAAGTTTGGCTACTTGAAAATACGTCGCCGGGCTCCTTTAAATCATTGCTGATCAGAGTTCTGCTCCCCAAAAAGTCAATTCATCAGAGGAGAACTTTGAGGCTATACTTAAATTTCATAGAAGTTATATTAAATATTTATGTCTTTCAATTAATATGGTGGCGGATGCCTTTGAATTATACTCTAATAAACATCCCTATTATTTTTAATGCGAACATTTTTCCTTATTTAATCTTTCTGCCGTCTAAGAGGAACGGATGTCCACAACTTGCATTTCATGGCACCCGTTTCGGGTCGTCTCATGGCTAGAACTAGTATTGCTGGCGTTCTCCAACGTGATACTTCATAGTTAGAATGTCTTCCTACGGCTATATCAGCCTTTTCTTGCAGCTAAACTGACACAAAACTCTCCTCATATTTACCTTGCATTTTGCAAATCGCAATTAAAAAGCTTCTTTTGAAGGATCTAGTCACAATTCCAAACAATCCTGTACGAATCAACCAAACTCAAATAACAAATAATCAAACTTGCCGCGTGTCAAATTGAGACCCTACATGAATCACAACAATAAATGCGCTACTTCGTCTAAATAATGTAACCACACAATCTTAGATCATTGAAGATGGTGCATCAAAGAGCAGCGAGTTCTTCAGATGCTCATCGGCTCAGGGGCACCAAGGGTGTCCAGCAGAGAGTTCTGCGGCTCCAGTTCCTCTTGCCACAGAGGAAGTTGGTCCCCAGGATAAAACTTCCTAGTGACTCCCTCTGAATTTATCTAAAGGGGAACAAAATGATGAAAGATTGAATTCAATGAATAAAACTCCATTTGTTGATCAACGAGTATAAGCCAGAGATGAAGAATCTTACAGTAACTGTTCGGACAACGCCCCCACTAGCACCGTCACGTGCAATGGCAAGTGAAACCGCCTTTTTAACCAAGTCCTGCCATTAGACATCAAAAACACTCAGCAATATGGACCTAAAATATTTCACATAAAAGAAATCCTGTTCAAATTTCCAAATAGCTTCTTGACTGCAGGGCATTATCAATATCCGTAAAATAATATTTTCCACAATATTACCCCTCTAACCAAGGCCCCAAATAAATACTGCCAATTCCTTGCTTACTTTTCAGTTTACTGTTTCGAGCAGGCATAGCCACAAATCAAAATCCATACCTCAGCTTCATCTTTGGTCATTCCTTCTTTCCAGGCTTGGTCAAAGAATCCATACAAGTAACTAGAGCCAGATCCTGTGAAGCAGATGAGGTTACCTCAACAAACAAAAGGCATGCATTCCAAGGAAAAACAAACAGGCCAAAAAACGAAGGTTCTTAAAATTAGACAACATAAATACGTGCAAACATGCGTATCTCAACCATGTTATTCTAGATCAAATTATACTACCTCTGGCCCTTAATATAAGAACTCGTTTGACTTTTATTTTGATTCTAAATATAAGACCCCAATCCACTTTGTCTCTAATATTTGTGCATTTTTTTTCCAAGATAGTCCTTCTAGCCAACACACTTGATTAGGAAGGATATTTTAGGAAAAACAACACCTATTTATTACAAATAACTAACTTAACTTATTTTCTTAATCTCTTCAAATGAGTTAGCTAGCTCTTATAATTAGGATTGGAGGTAGTACCACCCAAAAAGTGACAAACGCATCATCAAATGAAAATGGTTTCAAGATTATCAATCCCCAGTGGAAAAAATACTATGACAGGAGATTCAGCAATGCCATGAAGTATACATATTAAGAAGATACATTACCAGAATTCCATGACTCCATAGTAAATTATAAACTACAATAGATATATTTCAGATCTATTTTTCATATCTTCATGACACAAATCATTCCATATGCAAACCAGAGGACAAAAGCAGCCAGTTGGCTATGCTTGGGCCTTCCATTTCCACCAGTAGTCACAGACGATTGAGATTCGTTTTAGAAATGAACACATTCTGCATAGATTATTCTAAGGAGTTTTTGGGTAGAGAAAAAGAAAATTCCAAAGGAATCAAACATATCAACAATTCAGTGACAAAGGAATAAGATTTGTATTTTTTTAAAATTTTTTATGCCAATGTAAGTGCTTATTTTCATTAATACGTTTATTTGACTATAAATTTATACAGCTCTAACACTGCCGAGCATTGCAGGGGTATAATGCCAGTCGGCACATACAAAAATATGCACACATGTATATCTGGTCTTGCATGCACACATCATGATAGAAAATATACTCAAACCGAATTTGTAAATTACCTCCAATTGCAAAAGGTTGTTGAACTATAGTTCCACCAAGAGGAACGCCATAGATTTGACCACCTTCATATTTGTCCCATCCACCAATAATTAAACCAGTCTCTAAGAAATTCTGCCAATAAGAATAATTACAATAAAGTCAAAAGATAAAATAGCAGAGTACTCCACTAATTAAAACAGAAGGTATATCAGTAAAAAGAGAGACAGAAAGAGAAGGTAAGGCAAAGCATTCAGTAGACGGTTAATTCTTTTCATCATACTTAATTGCCCAAATGCCTTCCTTTGGTAATTGTAGCAATGCTTGACAGCATTCAAGCCAATAACCAGCCCAAAAGGAAGAATGATTCAGTTATATGAATTCTTGTCTGAGATCTTGGAAAGGCTTCTCCACTTTCAACACTGACAAGGAAAAATCTATCATCCAAATAGGATATATTGTTCTAAGGCATGCATCAGCTGCGAGAGAATGACATTGTAACACGCATTTTATCTTCCTTAGAGGGGGCTACCTAAAGTCCTTGAACAAAAACGGTCACAACACGCACAAGATGATTCTGAATGATATCTAAATCAAGATAGAAACTCGATTACACGCATTCAATGTGCAAATGAATTTTTAAAGCTTGCACCTTGTTGTTATAGGAGAGAAGTCTGACAAGGTTTGCGGCAACTTTGACTGTTGCAGGTTGTCCCAGTTGTATGCTGGAAAAATAGAAAACTTATTGAAGTTAAAGCCTTGTAAAATTAATAGGACAAAGAAAGTAAGAATAATGACTCCTTTATCTTTGGCCTCAAAACAAAAGGTACTAGCCACCAGTCAACCTTGATAACAGACTCAGAGAGCATGCTCTTCAACTAGAATCCCTTAAAAAAAGAAAAATAGCCTATCACAAAGGTGAAATTACGATAAGACAGGTTTAACTGGGGGTTTGGAAACTTCCGCTAATTCAGGCCCTTGCTTCTCTCCACTATTCCATTAATTCTTACAGGAAAGACTGAAGAACTGCACACGGAACCTGTTAGCCATCTGAAATATCAAGGGAAATCTCGCTAAGCTACCTATCAAGATTCTTATAAAAACCTACGTTGGAACAAGACATAAGGTTTAGCTAACAAAGATCAGAACATCTAGCAGTGAAAGCCTGGGCAACAATGACTTTATAGGTGATGGATAAAACCTTGGGGAATTTGAGGGTACTGGAAGGTAATTATCTAACTCAGAACAGAAAGAGTGCACCAGAACAAACTCCATTAAACCGTAAAGAACTTTCAATGCAACAAACTCAAATTATTGTAACCCATTTCATACAAGTTTCAACTTTACCTTACATTTCAGAATATCCAACTTATTGTAAATAGGAGTAACAACACTTACGTGTGTTGATGAAGGAAGTAGCGCACATAATCAGATACAATCTGAGAATCAGCAGCCTGCAGAGAAGAATCTATCTCATCATTATAAGAACCTAAGGTATCCGAAAGTTATGAGAGAAGGGGGGGAGATCAAATCAACTGCTAAAGCGATCAACGCATGAATTTAACTAAGATCGTGGCCTGCAGAAAACCATATCCGCAAAGCCAAGATAGTGCGCTACATATCTAAACTAAGAGAATAGCATTTACACTCGATGAGGCAGGTAAGTATCCAAAATACAAACGAGGCAAACAACGAAAACAAAACGACTTAAAAATTGTAAAAAGCAAGACAAATCAAAACCAAGAATTATGGCGCATTATAACCACACTGGATATTCACCTAACTCCTAACTTGCTAATGTAGAAAGAGTAGTACCGATCCAGAGCGACAAACATAGACATTATCAGTCAACTGCGTAATTTTGTCTGAAGCTCGGTTTGCAACATATACTCCTGCAAATGTAATAGCAAAAGAGATCATTCATCAATCACAGTAGTGGCCAAAATGAACAAATTAACTTTCCAACTAAAATCACCAAACCACTGGTGAATTAAAAGAGAACAAAATGAAATATCCATTTGAAAACCCAAAGAGGGCGGTGAATCAGAAAGGAAAATAGATATTGAGCAAGGAAGGAGAACAAGCATAGAACAACACGAAGTTCTCGTCGGATGAAAGAACTTGTTCACGAGCCAACAGGTTTCAGAATAACTCATCAAGACGACCCGCAGCCACAAGCCTAAATTCTACTTACACCTATAAATTTTCTCCCAAAATCTCCAAGTCCAAACAAATAGATAGAATGCGCAGACTATATAACGGAAAAGTTGAAGTGAATAAGGGTACCGGTGCTAGTTCGAGAGTCAGCTCCGAGAACGACACCGCCATTGTAAGTAACGCCAATAATGGTGGTTCCCATGGAATGAGGGGCGCTAATATCGGTGTTATGATCCATAATGATCCGAAGAGAGGCGAAATGGTTCAATACTCTTTGGCCTAATACCACCACGGGGATCGATCCAGTGGAGCAGACGCTCAAGATGCCGGGAAATGAATCGCGAGGGAAACCTGCTGTTATAAGAGAGTCACTGCCTCGCTGGGTTCTAACTTCCCGCACAAGTTTTTTCTCTTTCTTTTTTTTGTTTAAAAAAAAACTAAAATATTATTCGAAACTAAAATTTGTTGCTCAGGGCTTACGCCCGATCCCTTGGTCCGTTAAGCATTACCAGGAAATAAAATTTATTTTTTGTCCGGACTAAAGATAAACAATTGTTATCAAACTCAAATCATGTGGTCATTTGAGATAATTTAATTGAGTTGAATGCCATTATTTTGCTAATAGGACCCTTTTTTGAATCACTGAATGAATGAACCGGGATACCAATGTGGCAAAAATAATGTACTCATACAAGTATAAAATAATAAACTCTAGCCCACTATTTTTAAGTAAATTATCAATATCAATACTACTCATTTCATTTGAAATCTTACGTAATGCACGAGAAATTATATCCTGTTAATATAGAATTAATCATATTAAATCGAATGAATTATTTAACTATAACAACTTCGGTGGACGCACAATTAACATTTAGGAGGTGATCCCATATTCTTGTGAGACATGATATAGTAAATCATATTATATCACCTTTGCTGCGAGGGAGAAATGTTGATCATCCGGAATATAAATATCGTGCAAAAGTGATAGGAAAAAAATGGATAGCTAATTAGATACTCCTCTGATTGATTTTGATCTCTATTATCAAGTTTTTTTTTTTTTAAAAAAAAATAAGCCTATTGGCATTTCTTAACGACAATTAAATAAAGAAAAAGTTAAAAAAAAACACTTAGGATGTTATAAAAAAATATATCACATTAACTATTTTAACTAACATTTTAATTTAATTTAATTAATTAATTAGATCTTTCACTAGGAATTGGGAGGAATATTTGCCAACCAACAGCTTATTTTTCCGAGTTAATGGAAAGATGAACTAACTGGCGAAAGACGTCATAATTTGTGTGGAAGAAAGAGTAGAAAATAAGATTTTCAGTAAGCGGCATTGAAGTACAGACTCATCTCTCAATTTATGATCAGAACCCAACGATAATCGATTCCAGTAGCAGCGTGTTTGCTTGTAACCTACTCAAATCTCGAGCCAATGGCTACAACTTCTTGTTGAAGGAACGTATGAATTAATAGTGGAAAAGCTCTACGTCATTTCTATGCCAAGAGGTAATACAAAAGACAGACTAGCCTAAGCAATGGGTTAGCAAGATGCGCAACGTGTCAAGTTTCTTTTCCTGGCGAAATTCAGTCAGCTCATCAGGTCTCTGTCGAGCCAATTAGCCAAAGTAGCATTAGTCCCCTACGCAATTGGTTCTGGAAGTGGGTGCAGCTGGAGAGGCGGATAGGGACGTGAGAAGTTTGTGCAAGTTGAGCTGCTCCAACTGCAGACACATTCCCCACGACCCCAAGTACCTTCCTCACTTCATTAGCAAGCTCTATCACCAAGTCATCCTCATGTCCTGCAGATTATCCATAAGCCTCTTATCACTCATCAACATGCATCCATAACCCTCACAATGACATTTACATCAGACAGATGACTCACCCATATCGTGCATGGCCTTTTCTAAACGGAAGAGATAATCTCTATTGTTACCACAAGGGCCAAAGGCTGTGGCTATTTGCCTGAATATATAAACAGAAATTAGATAAGAACCACAGGAAAGGATTCCATTTGATCCTGGAAGGGAAAAAGCAAAATATAATACCTAGCCATGTCTTCCAAAGGAGCAGGTCCCAGGTAATATTTGTTTGCTTTGTCTGCGGTAGATGTGAATCTGCATAGACCAAAAAGGGTTCCTTTAGCAATTTCGCTATACAACATACCACGTGTCATGTTGTAGCCGGATCAGGGGTCGATAGAAACCAAAGCAATAAGGCGCAACGCTAACTTACACTATAACTCCAGTTAAAGCAGGGTTCACTGAATCTCCTTCCTAAAGATTAAAGAAAGTAAGGATCAATAAAACAGATTAAAACATGACGAAAGCTGACAAGTTAAAAAAAAATAAAACTAAAGGGCAATTAAATGGTAATCTCACCTTGTAAAAGTCTACAAGGGTCTTTTGATCATATTCACATTCCCTCCGCTCCAAATACTACATAATAATAAAAGAATGGAGAGGAAAATGTTGAGTGCTCTGCTAGAATTACTAACTGAAACGGGAATGGACAGCATGGTGCAAGTCATATAGGACAGTTCATCAGGCTTTAAAAGCTTTTAAAGCTAATAGAGTGATTACCTGCATAGCCAGTCTCTCCTTTTCCGGCCCTCCACGAACACAATAAGCAGTGCCCCACTGAAAAATTATTGAACAAGTTATAAAAAAAGGGCGAAACACGTAAAGAATTGCAAGGCATAGGCAGGCACGGCCATGGTTTCAAGAGCAATCATCATAACAAAAATCGGCAGTCCACTTTTATCAATTAATAATTAATTTCATTTTTATGCACTGATACGTGACCATTAGAGACAAACCACAGCCATGATAAATCAAATGGGTCCTTACGCAAACTGCCCCTTCTTTTGGCTCCAACGTGCAAGTTCTTGCAGGGTTTTCAGGTGTACCCCTGTGATCAATACATGCTGCAAAAAACAAAATGACATGTCTAAGCAATCGTATAAATTCAGCACAAAACCAAGATGGTAGGCACATAAATGCCTGCATGATAAGAATGAGCTTACCTAAATCAAAGACGCGTCTATAGTCCTTTATGAATCCAACCATTTTCTCATCGTAATCGAATCCTGGGTTCCACACCAGTGAACCATAGCCAAAAACCCAAAAGACCATGGTCGATTGATTTCTGGGAAAGAAAAAACCGTTAGAAAGAACGATTTCATCAAATTAAACGAAGTTTGAGATGGTAATAACAGAATATGTCCTTTTCCCATAAAGGGAGTCAAATTTTCCCATGAACTTCAAATAACATAAGATCCGGAAATTTGGATTTACGTTTTTTCATTCGCTTTGAGAGCTAATGAGGGTAAACTTGTTATGTTAAAATAGAATTACGTTTTAATTCAAATAACTTGGATATTTATAAAAACTTCCATGAAAAAGTCCCTGTTTCCTCGTCATTTTTCTCAGCCACATATATAAAAACCAAGGCATACAAGACACTACACGACAACTCAAAGTGCAAAGCAAGTTGACTGGTATTTATCATGAAAGCAAACAAAATGCTAATATCACACTCTAATCCTTACCACCAAACAGAGAAGAGGAAAAGAAGGTAAACAAAGATTTAGGGAAAAAGAAGAAAAAATCATTTTCTATAGAGAATCGTCACAATCAAACTACGTCAATTATGTAGTATGTTTTTGGAGCAGCTACCAGATAAGAATAAACAAATATGGAACATCTACACCATCGACATCAACAAATAGCAATGAGCAATCATGGATCAAGGAAACAAATAGACAGAGAAAAAGGAAGTCATGAACACTTACAATTAATCAAAAATATTCCCGAGAAAACGAGAAGGAGAGTTCGAAAACAATATCCTCTAACACTCGAGGGCAAATGGAGATGCTTCGAATAATTTGGGCGAGAATAGCACAGGAGACTAGGAGAGAAACAATGGCAGGAAAGCTAAACGAATAGGGCTTAGCTTAGGGATTAGGGCTGCGATTGTCCCTCTCCGTGAGCCTTTCTCTCAACTCTTCTTCTCTTTCTGTCTCCTGTGCCAGGAAGCAGGTGAGGGCTCCAGGCAAACAAACTTCATATTTATAGTTGAACGAGGCAAGGCACCAGGTCAAAAAAAAAAATCTAGCTGCACAGCACACCTCATGCCAGCCATGTGCCTTTTACGGATGTCCGTGCCTATATGTTCCCCATTTCCCATTATTACAATTAATTAAATCCGAATTAATTCAAGGTCAAAAAAAAAATCACCGAATTAACTGGGGAAAAAAAAAAGGAGAGGATAACTAGATTTTCTTTAATACAAAACCTGATTTCTATTAGCCAAAGGGATAACGGGAAGAATAATAAAATTCAACGAATGTGGACAAAATACAACTAGCCTGGAGCTGTGGAGCACACTGGCATCGTTTTGCGCGTGGGAATCTTTTTAGGAGGATGTGGGAAAGAGTCGCTGTAAACCGTGTGATTGAAGTGAGTGCAAGAAGACCACAGACCGGACCAAACAGTTGAAGCCTTGATTGAGGTTCATTGAACCTGGACGCCATCAAAAGTAAAACCGGCGATTTCCTCCTTTTAGGGCCGAACTGAATTTCCCAGCACGTTCAAAGTAGTCCAGCTTCGTTGGAATGGTCATTCAAATTGCAAGTTCCACGTTCAAAACTGTTGTTTTGACCGCACGTTGAAAACTTCTAACTTCAAAACTCACCTAATATACCCAGTAAAAGGAGTAATCAAATCATTAAAAAAAGAAAAAGTTGAACATCCTGATAAAATACCACCTCCGATCTTAAATATAAGAATTACTTGACTAATTTAAATAAATTAAAAAAACAAATTATATTAGTTATTTGTAATAAATAGATGTTATTTTTTTTAAAATATCTTTATTAATCAAGTGTATAATAATACTAAAGTCATTTGCTTCCAGGGCCATCATTATTTTACGGTTATACTTAGCTTACATCATCGTGCGCACTCTGGTCTGGGCATGCAGTTCTATCAATATTTATTTTGCATACATGGCGACGTCGGCTGGGGGTTGACTACAAGAGGAGGAGGCAACTATGTTGAAATATTCATATTAAGAAACACACCTGCTAAGTTTACTTATTTGACTTTGTATACATAAATAAAAAAATAACCCATAAAAATTTCAGTTATAAGTCTATTTGCCTAATTTTTAAGGTTAAGCAGTGACCATTGATTAAGTCTTGATCAGCTCTGCTTTTTCTTACTCAGGCAGAATATAAGCTCTCACCTATTGGGGAAAAGTAAACCTACGACTTCACTGGGGATTTTTTTTTTTTTAATATTTGTCATACAAGGAAAAAATAGAATATAACTTGTCATCTATGGGGGGAAGTATTTTTTTTAATATTTTGTTACATATTGGAAAAATAAGATATAATTTGTCATCCATGGGAGAGGAAAAGTTATTAAATCAAAGAATATAATTTATCGGGAAAATAGAAAACAAGTTACTCCTCCGGTCCTTAATATAAGACCCATTTAACTAATTTGATTAGATTAAGAAAATTAGGTAAGTTAGTTAATTATAAGAAAAGTGACACATTTTTCCTAAAACACTATAATCATCTTTCTTAATACCTTCTCTCCCTCTTCTACTTGATTATAGTTGAGGGAGTATCCATAGGGGTAATTTAGAGAAAATTGATAAATATGAAGAATGAGTCTTATATTTAGGACCAAAATCAACTCAAAAATTGGATCCTATATTAAGGACTGGAGGAGTATTATTTATTGAAAAAAAAAAAGCCCAAAAAATAACGACTCCACTGGGGATCGAACCCAGAATCTCTGGTTCCGTAGACCAGCGCCTTATCCATTGGGCCATGGAGTCTTATACAACGGGTCGCATTCTGATTAGAAAAATTATACTGGCCCATGGGATTACGCCACCTTCCCAGGAGAGTTGCGGGGAAATTGGCTAATTGCCAATGCAAAGCCGAGGCAGAATTTTAAAAATTAGTTCAAACTCCTATGTCCCTTGGGAAACATCCTAAGCTCCTCGATTTAGCCTTACACGGATATAGCCTTGGAGGCAACATGCCAGAATTTAGATGAAACAATTTTAGACTGTCGAGTACTGAATTTATTGAACAACGAAGTGGATGGTCCAAAACCAGAAAGCTTGAGCAACTATGATCCCAGCTCATACGATGATGGCTAAACTGGCTTTAATCTATGTTAATTTTCGTCCAGCTTTTTAAAAGTTCTTTGAATGTTTCTTCTTCTCCTTCACGCTTTGCTAATTTCTGGCAACAGACTACAAAGGCCCTTGTAGACAACCTTTAATTGCTTGCAAGAGTTCTTCCTCAGGTGACAACCCCACCTTTCACATCAACAAGGAAGAAAGAAAAGCCCTTTGCTTGTTATTGCTATGGTAGTGGTAGTGGTGGCTGCGGTTGCTTTACCTTCAGTGGTAGCAGTTCTTTCCATTCCATTGATGAACTTCATTGAACAATGAAGGTCAAGAAAGAATGGAGAGTTGAACTTCATTAAGAAGGATAACAGAGAAATTTTACTAGAATAGGTGATAATTGAGAGTTGAGATTCCATAGAAGGACAACACAAAGGAATTTGACAACTCACAAGACCTACTTAGGGTCTTAGCTGAGGTTCTAGGTAGTGGTAGCTTCGGATCAGCATATAAGGCTATTGTTCTTTAACGGATAACCAGTAGTGGTTAAGAGATTTAAGTAAATGAACAATGTCAGGAAGGAAGAGTTCTCAAAGCGCACGAAAGGACCTGGGAGATTGACAAATCCTTATCTAATTTCTCTTATTGCATTCTACTACAGAGAATAGTAGTTTTTGGTTTATGACTTGTTCGAATTGGCAAACTTAGCTAGTCACCTCCATGGTAAGCATTAATCGCCCAAATTTCAGCCAAAGCCCACATTCTTCAATCTTCACCGCTTGAATTTAACTTTATCTTGTCATGTTTAGAGCTAATAAATCACTGGCTTTCCGTTAAATTAGTTTAGTAATTATGCAGCATTGTAACCGCAAGTATTCGCCTATAAAGAACACTACATTATTCTCTAATCAATCTATAATAGAACTACATCTCTCCTGCTCGCTTCTCTAAACATGGCTCAGCCTTTTGGTTTCCCGGAAGGGTTGATTCTCATTTGGACTGGCCAACTCGATTGAACATAATAAAAGGAGTAGCAAGGGGGTTAGCATACCTGAACAAAGAATTTCCAGGGCATAGCCTTCTCACGGCCATCTGGAATCCTCTAATGTTTTGCTCGAACAGTATTCCGAATCCTATCCAACAGAGAACGATATCATCCCACTGATAAATGAAAGCCCTGCTCAGCAGTTCATAGCTACCTACAAGGCACCTGAGGTGAACCAACTAGAGCAATCCAATAAGAGGGCAGACGGGTGGTGCTTGGGGATACTGTTTCTCGAACTACCTCTAGGACAATTTCCAACAAATTATTTAAGACGAAGAAAAGGGAATATCGGAATGAAGGTTTGGGAACGTGGATGACGTCGACGTTGAAAGATAAATAGACAGGGACTGGGAGGGTGAGCGTATTGAAATCGTTGAAGATTGGGATGTGCAGCGGCCAATGTAGCGTGGGGAATAAGTGGAATTGGAAACGAGTAATGGTCACGATTGAAGAGTTGAAAGGGAGGGATACGGAACTGAAGCCACCTCGCTGCAAATAAAACAGGAGCTCCAAAACAACGGTAATGAAAAAGCGATCTAGAGTCGATTCTTTGCACTTCTGAAGTTGTAAATTCGGTGCTAACATCTCACAAATCTAAATGCATACCTAACAGGATCACACGGTCGTTATAATGGCGCCACGGAAACTCTCTTTCGCGCCCTTTCTTGAAGATCTCTAACTGCCACCACGGCTCACAACTACTCACCGTCGTCGTCACCGTCGCTGTCGTCTCTAACCATTCCGATCATCTACAGCCTGTACACAGCAAGCAATCTGTCCGGTCCTCTGAAAAGACGGCTAAGGCGAAGACGGAATCGTCCACGTGTTGGAAGAGATGAAATTCGCAGGGCTTTTTCAGTTAAATAAAGATGAGCACAAGATTAGCTCGAGTACGATCTTTCGTTTTCTTTGTGTTTGGTCGAAAGAGAGCCGGATCTGAGAATCTACAACAACGTCCATTTTACTTTGGGAATTATATTTATCTTAATATTTATATTAACCAGATCAGCATCAATATATCGCCAATCACTAATTAACTTGGGTCGTCAACTTTTTGAGGCCTCATCTACCATGCATCTTTTTCTTTTGAATGGCATTCATTTGTCTTCTTTCAAAGGAGAGGTCTTAAAGCTGTAAAGAGCGGGGAAGTAAAATATGGGGCTCGATAGATCAGAATGAAGTTATTTATTTTTGAGAATATGCTTTTATATAAGAAAGTGACCCCTTGAAAGTAACTGCTACAATATTTAGCAAAATTATTGATGTCAATATCAAAGTCATTTAGTAAAGATTAGTGCTTTTTATTGATCATTTTAAAAAGATAATAAAATAAAACACCCCTCTCTAGAAGAAGCATAATGACTTTTAATAATCCAAAGTTAAATTGAATCATAGTGCATGCGCATACTTTTATATGTTGGCAAAAAAATATATATAATTTTACATTTTTTTGTTTGAATATTCTATGTGCAATTTATTTAAAATTTATAAAGATATTTTTTTCTAGATTATGAACCATCTTAATCATCTTAAACTTGTGCAAGTACAAAATTCATATTCTAGTTTATATCTCAATTTTAGTGTTCTGTTGAAAGTATCATTATCATTATTTGTATCTAAATCTTGGCTTTTATGTTTAATAGGTACTTTTGGATGCTTTCAATGTTTTTTGTTCTCATACTGATTTTGATTGGTAATAAAAAATAGCTTTTGTTTTTGCATTGGACCGCCGTGGAGGAGATAAACATCTCTCCATCTAGGCTTAAAGTCAGCATATCCAATCCCAAAAGTAAACTGCCTCACCCTCACAGAACCCAGGGAAGATGCCTCAAGCTACCAAATGTCACCTCCCATTTCCGGACGAAATGAACAAAATCACAAGAGAAAAATAATAATAATAAAAAAATAGAAGCGCTCTCTATTTCCCTTCTTCTTCCTCCTCCTTCTCATCCACGGTAGCACTTCAAGGTACTTCCTTCAAACTGGGTCTATATATCTATTGTGAATTTGAACGTCTCAGAATCAAGCCATGAATCCTTGACCCCATTTGCATAATGGATGAATAGTTTTCCTAATCGATCAAGCTCTGATGAGCTCCATGCAATTAGATATTTCTTTTTCACTTGTCTACTGAACTTTCTGCGCGGAAATTGCTGTTTTCTGAAGTCTTAGTTAATAAAAAGGTTGCTTTTGTTCTTCTTCCCCCCCCCCCTCTCTACTTTCTTATGACGGACTGATTTTTCTGATGTTATAAAGCAAGGGTGGTTCAAAACTATTGAAAAGTATTTTGTGTATGCTGGTATGGAACAACCCTGTTGCAGTGATGGAGGTTAGAGAAAGGGTTTCTAGAATCTAAAATTGGTCACAAATGAAAACATGGCCACCTCTGCACCAATCTGAATTCTGAACATCATTTGCCTTCTGGTTCTTTCCAAACTAGGGGCACAATAGCAACTTATGTGAGAGATAAAGAAATAATTGGCAACGGCATTGATGCTATTTTGTGTAAGTTACTTCCAAAACTCATGTATTTCTCTTGATCAATTAGGTTTCAAGAAAAGAAAAGGAACATCCAGGGATAGAGTGAGGAGATCATCTCTCACTTTCTGCAGTTCCAATGGCGGGCCCGTTCTATGAAGCTAAATTCGTTGACCGTCATGATATCATGAAGATTTTTGCAGCTGAAGGCGTTGAATTCCTTTTATCATGTGATGGAAAGGTGGCTTAGTTTATGCTCAGTTTTCTCTGCCCCTTCTCTCTGTTTATGTGTTTCAGCTGACAATAGGCTAAATGATTTAATAACTTCTAGATAAGTCATCAGCTCTAGTAAAGTAAACCATCCAGGAAAAGTTCTAATTTTTCCTTCCCAGTGAATAATCAGAACGTTGAGCGCATATTTTCCTGATTTATGGTCATGATAATCTTGAACGTAGGTACCTCTGTCATCATGCAACGGGAAGACCATCTTCCTATTTTTCTCTGCAAACTGGTGCAGGCCTTGTAAAACAATAGTTCCTCTTCTGGTTGAACTTTATGATGCACTGAAAAAGAAAGGCAAGAGTCTAGAGATCATTTTCATCTCCTTTGATCACGATGAGAGTGGTTTTGATCAACATTTCAAGAGCATGCCATGGCTTGCTGTCCCGTTTGATGCAAATTTGCACAGAAGGTTGATCAACAGGTATCAAGTCCATCGAATCCCATCATTCGTCCCATTATGTTCAGATGGCATAACCAATGAAGAAGATATGATTGGCTGCATCGAGGACTATGGTGCTGAAGCATTCCCTTTCACAAACAAGAGACTGCAAGAACTGAAAGCCATAGATCAAAGAAAGCGAGAAGAAGCCAATTTGGAAGAACTTTTGGCTCATGCGGGACGCAATTTTCTCATCTCTGGGGATGATGGGAAGGTTGTACTGTGCTTCTTCGTTTCTTCTTCCATAACTTCATGGAACATAAATAACATCCTATGTTTTGCAGGTACCGATATCTGAACTTACGGGCAAAACCATAGGCCTATATTTTTGTGCTGACTGGTCTCCCCCTTGCCGTGCCTTCACCGTCCAACTTACAGACGTATACAACAACCTAAACGCTGGAAAAGATCACTGCTTTGAAGTTGTTCTGATCTCAACAGATAGAGACCTCGGGGAATTCAATGTGAACAGAAGTAGCATGCCATGGCTGGCTGTACCATACTTGGACAGAACAAGGCATGATCTTTGTAGAATCTTCGCTATAAAAGGAATTCCCGTTTTGGTTCTTCTTGGGCCAGAGGGCAAAGTCATAAGCATGAATGGGAAGTTTGTGGTGTCCTCATATGGTGCTGAGGCTTTCCCTTTCACTGATGCACGTATAAGGGACCTTGAAGCTGCTCTGAGAAAGGAAGGAGAGGCTTTGCCTCGGGAGGTTGAGGATTTGAAACATGAGCATGTTCTGAAATTGGAAATGGCCAAAGCTTATGTGTGTGATTTCTGTAAAAAACAAGGCAAGTTCTGGGCGTTCTCCTGTGATGTCTGTGATTATGATCTTCACCCAAGTTGTGTGGAAAAGGTCAGCAAAGATGAAAGCTTGTAGAAAATACAGTAATGGCCTTGACATTTGTGGGGATTGCTTAAGAACCAAACTAAAACTTCTCCTGCCTCAATACTACGTTGATGAAAGCTCTTTTTTTTTTTTTTTTTTTTAATGAATGTTGTGAAAGTTAATCTATCTCTGCTATCTATGTTTGCAAGGCTTTCGCTACTAATTCTCAAGAACACAACGTCTTGTGCATGAAACAAATTTTCAAGATTTTCATAGTAAAATTTTATTTAAAAGTATCAAAATTTTCAGATTAAAGCCAATGCTTGAAATGTATATAACATATTCACCAAATAATCTTATTAAGATTTTTTTTATGATTTAATTAAAATTTTCCAGTAAAATCAAAATAGGTAAAATTGAAACTCATTTTTTAAAGTTTTGAACTTACTTAACAGAATACTTTTCTGGGCTAAGGTAGTACCCTGAACTATTTACCCAGATGTGTCCAGTGACCTAAAGTAATTTTGCGTCCAGTATCCTAAACTAATTAAAATGATGCGTCCATATCCCAGGCTAACAGAAATGTTATGTTTAACTGTTACTTTCCTAACTCATCTTAAAGTTGACCCCAGATATTCTAAATGGTAGACATATGGACATTTGATATGTATTATTCTTACTCAAAATTGAATTTATTTCCTTCCTCTAAATAAATTGACTTTTGATTAAGAATATACACATTGGGTATGTGTCACTATGTAGAATATTTGGGGTCAACTTTAAGTTGAGTCAGGAAAGTAACAGTTAAACATAACATTTCTGTTAGCATGGGATATGGACTCACCATTTTAATTAGTTTAGGACACTGGATGCACTCAAAATTACTTTAAGCCATTAGACGCACCTAGATAAATAGTTCGGGATGCTGGGTGCATCTTAATCCTAGTTTTCTCCAAATAAAAGTTGTAAATTGTAATTGGCCAATTGCCAGTCTCTTAACAAATGAAAAATAGAAATTAAAAAGATAATAATAAATCCACGACAGTCAATCGTACAGCGGCGCGGTTTGAATTATTCTGCGAGGAGGGAGAGAAGAGGGACCAGTCATCCGTGGTTCTCTCGTAGGCAAAGGCTCAAAATAATTCCAAGAGAACCCGAAAATGGCTGCTAATTCAAGAAGGAAGAGAGTGTGTTATTGCTATACATCTGTTGCCCAAACACCAGAAGAAGCACGGGATATGCCTCAAGTCCGATTGCTCAAAATAGTCAAATGCAAAAACGCAAACATGGCTACTAATTTCAGAGACAAGATGATTAATCGGTTGCCATTATCTTCTTGTTCTGACACCAAAAGAAACAAGAGGAGTAAATCAAACTCGTTCCTCAAAGCCCTCTTGTCTTTCTTTGCCGTCGAGGGACGGGGGACGGAGGAGCTTCCTGAAGAGAAAACTTGGGTCTTTATCTCCGGAGGAAACAAAAATACAAATTCAGTGCTTAGGGTACTTGGATTTATTTTGTTTTTGTTTCCTCCCATTGATAGAGCCCAAGGAAAAGAGGTTGAGGAATGAAGAATCTGAAGGATCATTCAGAGAAGCATGAGAAAAAGAGTGCGAATGGAATAGTGGCAGTGGGAATAGACAAAGACAAGGGGAGTCAATATGCACTCAAATGGGCAACTGAACATCTCCTCGCGAGAGGCTCAACCCTAGTTCTCATCCATGTCAATGTTAGGTTAAATCAAGCTTCATGTCAGTACACCTTGTTCTCTGCATACAATGCTTAAAAGTACCCCCAAGAAACTTTATATTATAGCATAGTAATAGAAGAAGCGCCTCCTGACTTGGCACCCAGTGGCCACGAGATTAATTGACCTCTCACTTTTGTTGAGTGCAGGGTCATGGAATAGTAACGTGGACAAGGGATCATTGCCAAACAAAAACTCTGATAGTCACACTGAGGAAATTTTTCATCCATGCCATGTCTTTTGTGCACGGAAAGGCGTAGGTTTTACCTTCCCCCCCCCCCCCCCCGCTTCCCTTGGAAAATAATCTGAAAATTTTTCTCTAGCAAAATGACCCAAGTTTAAATAATTCACAATGACTTCCATCGACAGCTGTTAGTTGTAACTTCTAATCATTTTAATATAACTTTTTATCTTTTCACCCCACAACCCCTTTCTATGGCGGGGGATTGGATGATGGACTACAGATACATTGCAAGGATGTCATACTAGAAGATACAGATGTAGCGAGAGCTTTGATTGAATATGCTTTTCGCACAGCTACTGAGCATTTAGTTATTGGCTCTTCAAGTAGAACTGGCTTATTCAGGTATCTATCTCTCTTGCTGAGTCACATGGTCGTACCTTAACATCTTTGCAAATCATCAACGAACTAAATACTGAATAGCCTTAGATGAACTCAACCAAACTTGATCAACAATGAAGCTTCAAATGAGAAAAGGAAAGAAAACTTGCCATATAGTTTATGTCATATTCTATATAATTCCATATTATCATTTCGACTTGATATGGTTTATAACATTAAGAAATGTTAACATTAATTTGACCCCACCTGCTTCCATTTTAAGTTGAAAATGTGGTTTAGGATTCAATAGTGTAAATGGCTTTTTACTTTTCTGGCTTGCCTATACGAATGGATGCATATTAATTCCCAACGATTTTTTTTTTTTTAATTGTCATCAGAAGATTCAAGTTAGTTGATATTCCAGGAACGGTGACAAAAGGAGCACCGGATTTCTGTTCTGTCTATGTTGTTGCGAAAGAAAAGATTCAAACAATGCGATCAGCTTCTCGTCCTGCTCCAGCCACTTACCTTCCCAGCAAGCATATTCAAGGAAGCATCAAGCCGAAACTAGCAGAGACAAATATGCCATTAAATAATCATGGTATGAGATATTGGATTCATTTCTTCATGAATCACTCGCGCACACATAAGCCCATATTGCATGTATTTCGTTCACTGAGTAATGTGGTTTCTATCAGCACATGAAAAACGATCCACTGGTGGACAAAGTACATTAAAGGATGAAACTGAATCCTTCAGGTCAGTGGCAGCGCATACTCCTCAGCAAATTCCTTCAAGTTTGTTCATTTTGGTCTATGGATTTGTTCTTGGCATGGTCAAATAGCATGAGCTTGTCAGCTGAAAGGTGAAAACTATTTGTTACTGATATCAGGTCACCATTAACCAGGAAAAATTTGGATGGCAAGTCACATGGGGAAAATTCCCTTCCAGGTACTGACATATCCTTTGTAAGCTCTGAAACACCGAGTGCAGACCACATATTCTGTTATTATATGATAGCTCTATTCAGGAATGTCGAATAGCTCAGAGATAGACGGGAACTATAGCTTTGAGTCATTGCAGCATCAAAAGGGGTCAATGGATATTAGCTCTCATCTGGAATCCTTCTCATCAGATGGTGATGGACTTTTAACGTCACATGGCACGGTATGAAAGATTGGGCAACATACATTCTACTTCCGGTACTGCCCATGCAGTGTGCATTTATCAGTAGTTCTTGCACTTATAAGGGGCCTTAAGGAACTTTGCAATTCACTAATTTTGATACAGTTTTCATTAGAAGGTTGATTTTTAATATGCTATTTTAAGATCAAGGTATGAACGAATGCGGCGGGGCTACTCATCTTGCAATCTTTATGAATATTATATGATAATACCATTAAATTTCCTTTTCACTTCCTTTCCCTGATTGCTGTATGGGTATGTATTGTGATAAAATCATAGGACGATATAGAGGCTGAAATGAGGAGACTAAAATTGGAGCTTAAGAGAACAATGGAAATGTATAGCACCGCCTGTAAAGAAGCACTCGTGGCACAGCAGAAGGTTTTTTTTTTTTTTTTGGGGATTAAAATCAGTTTTTTTTTCTTTTACATGTTGACGTTTTGCATCACAGACAATAGAGCTCCAACGTTGGAAAAGGGAGGAAGAAAGGAGATTGGAAGAGGCAAGGCTTGCTGGGGAAGCTGCATCTGTGGTTGCAGAAAAGGAGATGGCCAGAAGTAAAGCAGCCAAGGAGGCTGCTGAAGCACAAAAGAGGATTGCAGAACTGGAAGCACAAAGGAGGGTTGTTGCAGAAGGGAAAGCAGTGAAAGAATCAGAGGAGAAAACAAAAGCACTTGGTGCTTTAACAAACATAGACATCAGTTATAGAAAGTATTCAATCGAGGAGATTGAAGCTGCAACGGAGCTCTTTGCAGATTCTTTAAAGATTGGAGAAGGGGGTTATGGTCCTGTATATAGGTGCCATTTAGACCATACCCCTGTAGCAGTAAAGGTTCTACGTTCTGATGCAACACAAGGGAGGTCACAGTTTCAACGAGAGGTAATCAGTGAAACAAGTGAAACAAAACTGGGTCTATTGGCAATATAGTTGACTTGCTAATATATCATTACAGGTTGAGGTACTGAGCTGCATAAGGCATCCAAACATGGTTCTCCTCCTGGGAGCATGTCCAGAGTATGGCTGCCTTGTCTATGATTTCATGGCCAACGGAAGCTTAGAAGATCGCCTCTTTCGTCGAGGAAAAACTCCCTCTCTTCCTTGGCAGCTTAGGTTCAAAATTGCAGCCGAAATATGCACTGGCTTGTTGTTTCTGCACCAGAGAAAACCAGAGCCTCTGGTGCATAGGGACTTGAAACCAGCTAACATCCTGCTTGACAGCAACTATGTGGCCAAGATCAGTGATGTAGGCTTAGCCAAACTAATTCCACCATCTTTGGCTGACAGTGTGACACAATATCAAATGACGTCTGCTGCTGGAACTTTCTGCTATATAGATCCAGAGTACCAACAGACAGGAATGCTTGGGGTGAAATCTGATATATACTCCCTTGGGATCATTTTCCTGCAGATTTTAACAGCTAGGCCACCCATGGGTTTGACTCATCAGGTTGAGAGAGCTATTGAGAAAGGGGCATTTGCTCAGATACTGGATCCAACAGTGCCTGACTGGCCTGTAGAAGAGGCCTTGAGCCTAGCAAGTATGGCACTTAAGTGTTCCCAATTAAGGCGAAAAGATAGACCTGATCTCGCCAAGGTTGTCTTACCTGAACTGGGCAGATTGAAAAATCTTGCTTAAAATATTAATTACCTTGCACCCTCAAGTGGTTGTGCATCTACATTCAGCCATAGCCATGTCTCTGTACAGCATCTTGTAAGCTTCATATCTTCTCAATTCCCTTTTCCTCATAATTTTCCCAAATCATTATTATCTTCAACATTTATATGTTTGTGTGCGTGTGTATAACCACTCCTCTGTTTAGATGAAAGGGGATTTCACACCACCAATAACAGGCATTTCCTCATTAGTTCTGAACTATAACTTTCAACCAGCCATAATTGCTTAACATAAAGATTGTTTTGACTGTTGCAGGATGGGCTGGTCTTCCACTTCCCTGTTCTGGGATGAGCACGAGAAAAAATCCATGACCATTTTGGACAAGAAAAACACAATCCCGTGCAGGGAAGAAAAAGCAAAAAGAGAAATTTTCTATCAGATTGAGCTCCAGGACAAAGCATAAAATGCATCAGTGTATTGCTGTGGTAGCCATTAGCAGCATTCTTCGAGCAGTACCGCTTCAGGGGTTTTTCAGGGTCTCAAATAAGCCCCCCACCACTGAGATGGTTTTTTCAGCGTCTCAAAAATTTTCACTAGTTTTTTTGATCCCCAGTAACACAACACAAAAGTCAAATATAATTATATTTTTTATAAAAATTAAGAGCAATGACTACATTTCATTTGGAAACCATGACATTGGTGTCCCATCCTCGTCATTTGTTTCATTTTCTTTTTCCTTTTCCTTCCCACTTATAGCCAAGTTACAATTGAAAGAGAGGAATCTCTTAATGCTCGTTTTGCAGGATGCAATGAAAAATAAAAATGCAAAATTGAAGTTTTAATGACTTAGAAAAGGTTAAAAAAAACAAATGAAAGAGAATGAAATGCTTAAGCATTGTTTTTAGCAACAGATTATTGCTCCGAGAGAGACAAAAAGAGATCACACCTAAATAGAATAATCCACAAGGCTATTACAAAAGCAAATTTAATTTTTTCGAACATCTTACATTAGTTTCAAAATTATGATGTTTTCTTCCTGACTTTTATAAGATACTTTTACAGATTTCAAAATTGCAAAAAAAAAAAAAGGTCATATTGAAAGCGAAGGCATTACATGATTTGATATAGAGGTAGCCAAGCTTTCCTAAATCTAAATCAAACGAAAAATGACGTACTTCACAGAATGAAGTCTGATTTAGTAAAAGCGGTGAAGCCTAGCAACTTCTTCCGACAAATTGATTCCTTTCACCATTATGGTTATGTCCCCAGTGTCCTGACATACTCTTCATTGTCAAGAGCTGAGAGACAGACAACCACAACGTGCCAACTAGCTAACTAATAACGTGCTCTCACTTTAGGCATAGACATATCTTATTGCATGAAGCACTAAAACTTTAATCCATTTTGAGGCTTGTAATAGTATATAACAGTTGTAAACTAAATGTCCTCTGCTTCCTTTGAGAAGTCTGGCTCTTTAGGCTTTTGTAACTTAGGCATCTTAATATCCGTTATCCTCAGAGCTTCTCTTCTTGATTTTGTGCCAAATCCTGATATGTCTACAGGGTCGCTCGGTGAAGTATTACTTGAAGTCACAGCAGTGAGCATTTGCTGGCTATGTCCCATTCCATCAAAATCATCAAATGGCTGATCTCCGCTCAAACTCATTGCCAGCATTCTATTCTTGTACCTTCTCCAAGAAGCCTGAATGAAGCAGGCTGCCCAAGTCCTCCAATGGTACGAGTAGAAACGGAAGGTATGTTGCAGTTTCTTGCTGTGAAAACGACGAAACTGATTGGCCACGAACTTGAGATCTTCTGCTCTCAGTGCAAAGGCCTCTACTTCCACAAGGGCTTTCACTGTTCTTGTAGAAGAAGGCAAATTGAGAGTGGATGTTGATGTGGGAAGCAACGCCCATGATAGTAATTCTCCTCCACAGAAATCACCTGGTTTCAATACAATAGAGTTGAAGAAGCCTGTCCTGCCTCCATTTGTGGTTGAGCTTTCAAGTCTTCCTCTTATTATGAAAAGCATCTCTGTCACTGGATCTCCTTCCCGTACAACATAAGTTCCTTGAGGACTCAAGAACAATACCGATCTCTCACATATTGCATCCAGTAGCTGATCATCCATTTGTGAGAAAAAGGGGACCTGCAAATTTCTTCAGCTTCAGTTTCAATTTTTATTCAGACACGTGGGGTTTGAATCCTCTAAAATAAAAACATGTCAATGCCTTGTCGGATATGATTAAAGGAAAGATTTGATATCAGAAATAAGATTATTTGTTCGTGGGAGCAACTCACACGTCGAATAAGATCTAAGCAAAGGTAACATTGAATATCTCTACGCAGGTCTTTGGGAAGGCCTCGCAAGATAGATTCCTCATCGGTTCCTTGAGTTGCAAGCCATTTGTATTGAAGAAATCTTCGAACACGTCCTCTCAAATGTTGTGGAAGTTGGCGGTGTTTCATCCACTCTTCAGTATCATGTCGCTTGAGTCTCCATTCCTCCACTCTCACAGTAATAGATTGCAAATATGTCTGCACCAAGTGTTTACCATGCACAGGACACGAGTTATGTAACAAGTTTGTTTGTGGTTTTACTTAGAAGGTGACAAATATTTGATAGGATTCCAGAGTCAAAATTATAGTACCTGCATGTTTCCAATCAAATGGGCAAACAAAACTAAACCTAGGATACATACGAGTATTGAAAATGTAGTTTCCCCAATGAACTTGCTCGTAATCAATTCCTGGCCACAGCAGCTGAAATTAATGCATAATAATATTCAGCTTAGACACATGAAATTAATGCATAATATTCAGCTTAATTTGACATTATAACTTCCACGTTAGATATTACCTCAGATTCTGCAAGCCCCACCACAGACAATAGACGTACTTATGAACAAACTCTATGGAACTGACATTATAGTGAACCGCTGGTTCAAAAATGCCGAACTCGAAACTGTCGCTGTTTGATGGATTGCAGTTAGCAAACACAGAAGTAGAGTTTATCCACTTTAAGCGATCATCATTGTTTGAAGTTCTGCAATCCAAGTACTTAAGGATACATTGAGTTTCATTTTTGCATTCAGATTTCCAGCAAGTAGCATTCCTTTCAAACGAAAACAAATACCATAATGCTCCCAAAACCTACGTCCACGTTAGTTTTACTTACGTCAGACTTGTCACTTTCTGAGGGATTATAATTAAAAGCCTGCAAGTGAAGTTAATTGACGTACATGGCTAGCCAACATGTAAAGTAAAAGATTATAAGCTGCTCCGGCCCAAGCTGTCTTTGTAACTACCCCAGCCGCTTTGACGATCTGAGAACTTAATGGGAAAATCAAGTATAATCTGGGGAAATATTGAAGCAGAATGATCAGTACAAGAGAATTGCTGGAGTGGTCTGCGCGGGGGCTTTTAACTGCAGGCATTATAAGCCAAATCAGGATCTGCCATTGAAGAAGAAACGCCAGCATTGTCATTTCACATCTCTTTCTGTTATCTTCCACAAGTTTCCAGAGACAATCAACAAAACCCAACCAAGAGGTAGGTCAAAAGGAATAATAGCAACCAAATCTAATTCAGGAATTCTTAAAAATAAAAAATAAAAAATCAAGTTTTGATATACCTGAGGAAGGGGAGTGTGGCTAAAAGATCTATGATGAATTCTGATCTCAAATACCGCTTGGCAATCAACCATTGATCCATAACTAACTCACCTCTGCCAAAAATCCTTGAATTTGGGTCTACGTAGGCTGTTCTGAACTTGATGAGCATGTTGAGCAGATAGGAAATATCAGCCAACGTACGGAAACACGTCAGAACAATTGCCAAACTCGAATCAGTAGTCATACATGATGAGTGTCCATCATTTTCCGCTTTGGGCACATAGAAAAACAGAGGATCAATAAAGAGTGCCAGTATGCAAGAACCCAGGAATACTCGGTTCCACTGCAAATATGCGTCACTTCCAGGATCAAAAACCATCATCATCTTCTTCTTCCTCTGATCATGATTTTCTGGGAACACCATATATTTTGCAGGTGAAGGAGCTTTCCGTTTGACTCTGTTGTTATCATCAATCCCGATTTGGCCTTCCGGGTGTATCGTTGCCTTTAACTTGTATCTTGGCAACGGTTTTTCCCTGTTGGAACAGGAAAGCCTGCAAATATTGCACTTATCTTTAGCAAAACGATGCGAGGTAATAGTGGGCATAAGGGAAACAGGAAGAGAATTACCCCAGTGGCTTGTCTTTTTTGAGTTTCATTATGTGTGGACTCAAGGCATATGCTGAGATAGAAACTAGTTTTTAGATAGATGAACAAAACATGCTGTATGATTTCCGGCGGAGGCTACAAAAACATATCAAGGCACAAAGTTGCAGACTTTAGAAAGAAGCGAATCAAAGAGGTGGATTTGACTTCCGATCCTCGGATGAATAAATAAAAGGAATACGAAATAACACGTCTATGTCTTTGGAAATATGAAAGTACGTGAAGATTAGGAAGATAAGAACAATGACGGATTAGAAGTTAGTATAGGGATATATAAACGTGGGGAAAGTAAAAACAGTTGCTTGCAAAATACGGTTTCCCTAGCTATTGGCTAGGCCATATCTCCTCTGGCTAGTGGTAAGTTAGTTAATTATAAAAAATATGACATGTTTTTTTTAAAATACCATAATCATTTTTCTTAATATCCTCTTTTTCTTTTACTTGATTATACTTGAAGAAATGTCAATAGGGATAATTTAGAAAAAAATGATAAATATGAGAAATAGGTCTTATATTTAGGACAACAATCAACTCAATAATTTGGTCCTATATTAAGGACGGGAGGAGTATATATTTCAGGAACATAATTTTCCCACTAACTAACTAGTAAAACTGGAGATGCTGATAAAAATAAACTCATTCTTAAAAAAAAAAAAAAACCAATGCAGTCTTAACATTTAATTTATGCCATCTTCATATTGTTTATCGCATTCCTTAACGATAATTTGGAAGCAGAAAAATTATAACTTTTGAAATTTATAATAAATAAAAAATATGATAGAAATAAAAGATAGATTTAAAAGATAAAAGACAATAATTAATCTCGAATTTTTTTTTTAGGTTCTGATTGAATATGCAGCGATTACGTCAGTTGAATTAGAAACAAAGGGAAGCATAAGTTGACTTTTGAAGGGGGACAATGGGAACTTGGAGCCATGAGATCAAGATAATCGATTATTTATTTATTTATTTGATAACAAGAAGATTAATTGAAAATTAAACAAATGACATGCTAATAGTCTAATACGACGATTTGACTTTTTGACCGAGGAGAAAACGACCCTGTCATTTCGTATTCGTGTTCATGGGATGGTTGACGGCATATATGCATATAATCCTGAAGTTTCAGTTATGTGCACATAATCTCCTTTAATTTTATTTACAAAAGAAAATTATAAACTTGTACATATGTATATATGCAGACCTAGAGAGGTTATTTACTTATAATTCAAAAATTGATAAGGATTTTTTCATATAAAGTTTAAGTTCTCTGTTGATAAAATGATGGAATAATTGATAGCATAGAAATTATCTGTATAAATTTAAAAGTTTGAGGTTTTTGTGGTCAAAGTAAGATCAATGGAATTATTAAACATGGATCACGATAAGAAAGTTCCATATTTTAATTTATAATAAAATGCTGTATAATTGCGAAGTCGAGCAGGCAACAGCAATTATGCATCATTTAATACAGTATTCACATTGATTTCTCCGAGTACAAGGAATCAGTCTCATATGGTTAAGGAATCTTATCTTTTTATTTATTTAATTTAAAGAGATGCATGTGTTTGAATTCTTAAACTTTTTTTTATGAGCAAACTGTAAATAAATAAATAAAAAAGTGCAGATAAGCCTATTTTCTTCTTGTTCTGATGTTTTTTATTTGATCAGTGATTTGTGATGATATAAGTCCAAGAATCAAATATTTGCACACCAAACTAAATATATGATGATATGCAATCATTACCGGTCTGCGAAGTTCAAGTTGAATGTAAAGTGATTCTTATCTACAAGAAGAAGCCGGATTTTGTAAAAAGGGTCGAGCATGTACTTGCCAGAAGTTGAAGTACAAGCTTAGAGGCAAATTCAACACATATATTTTAGGTACAGACCTCTCTTATTGCGAAAGACACTTTATCTTTGATCCTTTTTTAAAGCTTGTATTAGCCATTGTGAACTAATCATCCTCTGCTTCCACTGAGAAGTCTGGATCTTGAGGCTTTTGAAACTTAGGCATCTCAAGATCCTTAATCCTCTGAGCTCCTCTTCTTGCGTTTGCAGCAAATCTTGAGGCAAGTATAGTGACACCTAATGAATTTGCACTCGAATTCATAGCACTAAGTTTCTCCTCTTCATGTCTCATTACATTATTAATCTGTTCATCATAAGTAAATGACTGATATTCCTTTAAACTAAGGCTTGCCGCTAGTTTCTTCTTCTTGTACCTTCTCCAAGCAGCTTGAATGAAGCAGGCTGCCCAAGTCCTCCAATGGTGAGAGTAGAAACGAAAGGTGTGTTGCAACTTTTTGCTGTGAAGACGTCGAAACTGATTGGCAACAAACTTAAGATCCTCAGCTCTTAGTGCAAAGGCTTCCACTTCAACGAGGGCTTTCACTGTTCTAGTTGAAGAGGGCAAATTGGAAGTAGATTTTGGAAGCAAAGCCCATGCTAGAAGCTCTTCTCCACAGAAATCACTTGGTCTTAATGTAATTGAGTTAAAGAAACCTGTTCTGCCTCCATTTGTAGTTGAGCTTTCAAGTCTTCCTCTTATGATGAAAAGCATCTCTGTGACAGGATCTCCTTCTCGGACAATGTAAGTGCCTTGAATATTCAAACATGAAACCAATCTCTCACATATTGCATCAAGCAATTGATCATCCATTTGTGAGAAAAAAGGGACCTGCAAATTTTGGGCAAAGACATTGCCTCAGCTATAGTTGAAGCAATAGTTTCTATGCCAATAGCTAACAGCAGGATTTGTATTCTTGAAATAGAAACATGAAAACAACAGCATGCGAGTTAATTAAAGAGAAACTTAATGCAAAGAACAAGATTGTTCTTAGGAGGAACTCACACGTCGAACAAGATCCAAGCAAAGGTGGCGTTGGATATCTCTACGCAAGTCTAAGGGAAGGCCCCGCAAGATAGCTTCTTCATCAACTCCTCGAGTTGCAAGCCACTTGTATTGAACAAATCTTCGAACACGTTCTCTTAGATTTTGTGGCAGTTGACGGTGTCTCATCCATTCTTCAGTATCACGTCGCTTCAGCCTCCACTCTTCAAGCCTTACAGTGATAGATTGCAGATATGTCTGCATTAATTCAATTGAATGACATGTCATGTAGCGATTTCTTGTTTGGTTCTTCTAAAATGTGACAATCTAATAGATTGATTCAGGTTTGTATAATATTGGGAAGTCCTATATACCTGCATGTTTCCAATTAAGTGGGCAAACAAAACTAGACCCAGGATAGCTATAAGTATGGCAAATGTAGTTTCCCAAATGAAGGTGCTTGTACTCAAATTCTGGCCATAGGAACTGCAAAATTCAAATCAAATTTTAGCAATAATTCTTCGAAGGATATGTATGAAATTAACTTATGATATTCAAATTAATCTTATATAAAAAATTTTCATCTTTTTTGCTGATCTCAAATAAATCTCCATCAATAAAGAAAGACACATTAGTATTCAAAGCAGAGAAATATGACAACGAGAACCAGACCTCAAGTTTTGCAAGCCCCACCATAGACAATAGAGATACTTCTCTACAAACTGTGAGGAAACGACATTGTTTTCAACTGCAGGTCCAAAAATGCCATACTTGAAACTGATGTCATTATTCGGATTGCAGTTATCAAACACGGAAGTATTGTTTACCCACTTCATGCGATCATCATCGTTTAAAGTGCTGCAATCCAAGTATTGAAGAACACATTTCATGGGGAAAGTTTCATTCTTGCATTGTGATTTCCAACACGTGGAATTCCTTTCAATTGACAACAAGTACCATGATGCCCCCAACACCTACAACAACAACATTAGTTGTAAATCTGTAAAATTTCTGAAACTCTGAGAGAGAATAATAAGATGGGAATCATAAAAATCACTGGGTGAAGTTAGCTAATTTACATGGCTAGCCAACATGTAAAGTAAAAGATTATAAGCAGCTCCAGCCCAAGCTGTCTTTGTGACTACACCAGTGGCTTTGATAATCTGAGAACTTAAGGGGAAAATCAGATATAATCTGGGAACGTATTGAAGAAGAACAATCAGTACAAGAGCATTGTTGGTGTGATCAGCATGAGAGCTTCTAATTGCAGGCATAATAAACCAGATCATGATCTGCCATTGAACAAGCACGAACAATATTATTTAACAGCAGTTTCTGTCATTCCCCCAAGTTTCTCAGAGACAAAATACAAATATACACAACAGGACCCAGCAAAGAGGTTAGAGTGTCAATAAGCAAACAAATCAAATCCAGCGATTCTAATAAACCACCAAACGATCTATATATACAGTATATTTTAAGTTCTGATACCTGAGGAAGAGGCAGTGTAGCTACAAGATCTATGAAGAATTTTGACCTTAAATACCGTGTTGTAATTAACCTTGGATCCATGACTAACTCACCCCTTCCAAAAATCCTTGAACTCGGTGATACATAAGCTGTTCTGAACTTTATGAACATGTTCAGCAGATAGAAAATATCAGCCAATGTTCGGAAACATGTCACTACAATTCCAATATTCAAATCAGTAGCCATACACGCTGACTTTTCATCATTTGCCACCGAGGGCAAGTAGAAAAACAATGGGTCAACAAATAGAGCCAGAATGCAAGAACAAAGGAAAAGCCGGTTCCACTGCAAATATATGTCACTTCCAGGATCAAGGATTCTCTTCTTCCATGGTTCGTGGTTTTCTGGGAATACCCTAAACTTTCCGAGAGAAGGAATTTTCAGGTTGATTTTGTTCTTATCACCACTCACAATTTTGCCTTCAGAGTTTATGACTGCATGCACCCTGTATACTGGCAGTGGCTTTTCCGAAGAAGGCTCTGGTTTCTGTTTACCATCATCGTAAAACCTGCAGATTTTGCAGCCCAATAAGCAAAACAATGCAATCTTATAATGGGAATCGGGAAAGAAAACAGAGAATACGATAGAGAATTTACCTAACTAGCTTCTCATTTCTTAGCTCCATTGTGGACGGACTCAAGTCTTATGCTGACGAGAAATCAGTACTCAAAGGAGACCATTTTCAAATGCTCCTATTTCTTCTGAACTAACTCAGCTAAACAAAAGTTCCAGACTTTAGAAAGGAGCGAATCGAAGAGATTTTTTCCGATTATCGAGGATTGATATTGCGCTCAGAAATTAACTTTCAGATCATATGGGCTTGACTTTCATGTAAAAGCAAAAGGAAAAGAAACCGACAAAACGGCCTCCCACTAACACAGCTCAGATAGAGTAAGCCATGTTCATATTATAATGCGTATTGGACATACAACAGTTAGTGAGGAACGTGGGAACCACGACATGCCCATATATTTGGATTGAAAACAAAAATAGCAGCGGCTAGTCATGGATTTTTCTTCCTTATTTTTGGCCAGAAAGAAGATGCATCTTCAGAATCTGTATTATAATATGTTTGGCCTGGCTAGTTTTGTTAATCATTTTTAGGACTAGGATACCCTCCTCCGCACGCACGCACACGCCAAGTCAAAGTATCATCCACAAAGAGACAAATGGAGAGAGTATCCGGCGTATTAGAAGCATCTTGCCCTTAAAAAATATTAAGATGCAAATATGGCTGTCATTTAGATTCGAATAACATACTTTTCACCGTAAAAGGTAGGAGTAGATTATCCCAAGTGAACTCACTGTGCTTTAAAAATAAAATTAATTTATTTCAATTACTTAGTGCCTTGACGTTCAACTTTTAATTATGTTCGGTCTTTCCTACTACACTCATTGTTCTTCAAGGACTAACATGAAGGTGAAACGGAAGAAAGAAGTCAAAGGAAAAAAATTACATTTAGAGATTGGAGGAGTCAGACTTTGTACAATTTGACATTGGTAATTAGCAACAATTTTCGGGTACTTTAGTGAAAAATTTGTAAAAATTTGAATGATATGTTAAGAGTGGAGGTGAAAATTTGCCAGACGTCAACGTTCGTAACGAAACAAATGCAGAATCAAGGAAGGAAAAGTGGAAGCGAATTTCAGGAGCGAGAGAGTATAATAAGTTGACTGATTCCTGAATGAATCTTTTGGACGTCGTCTTATCTTTTATAAATTAAAAAACAATACAACTTAACGTCCGTATCAATCAACGCCCTCAGACGCTCCAGCAGCTGTACAACATACGCACAGATTCCACTGATCCCGAGTGAAAAAAGTGAAGAAAAGAAGAAAGGAAGAATTCCCATTTTATAGTACATAATACATGTCGCCATTACCGATTTCTTGCGATTATGAGCACTAAATTACAATACATTAGAAGTTTGAATTCCAAACAACTAAAAAGCAACTACAAATTCATCGCTGCTTGTGAGTTGCGACGCACACGTCGAGAGAGAAGAATTCATTCAACATAAAAGATTGTCAAATTTCCTCCAAAATCCCTCCAGCCCCTTCCCTTTTGCTTTCTTACTCGATTTAACTTCATTTCCTTCCCAATATCAATTCAATGACACATACAACTTCCGCTCATAGTTGCGAACCTTAAGTTTGATTTAAGTTTATGCTTAAATGACGTTTAGACCTCCAAACAAACGGTCCTCTCACAAAAAACGCTACGATAAACATAACATTTCTATTCTACGCTCAAAGACTCGTGTTAATCGATACTTTCACTTATTGCTTTCTACTTTCATACCTGAGCGGCACCAAATAAGGAGCCGAGTTCACGATTTCTACATTTTCAAATCGATGTTTTCAGCTGAATGTACCAACGACAATTTTTTTTAAAACAGAATAAATACAAGAATGCTTTGACGTAAAAGGAAACATGCATTAATGAATGAATGAGACAACTACAAAATACTCGTACATGAAAGTAGATGACTCCCTGTACAAAAACGACGGGTGTAAAAAACACAATAAAAACCAAAATGTGGAAAAAAAAAAAAATAAAGAGCAACCCATTCCACTTGGTAGAAAAATGGGTTTTAACTTGAAGCATTGCGTCCGTGCAAGAGACGGGGTATGCCGATGTGTCATATGTAGGCCGCATGGCAGTAAAATCTGAGACGAAAGCAAAGCGTGTGATTCGGACCAACAACGTTCACGGCCATCATCGTCCATCAGATAAAATCTATCATATTCTGCCCCCCGCAGAGTTTGAGCTAATTTGCTTTTGCTCAATGTTTGACAAATAACTAATGCAGGTCCAAGCAGATATCACAGTTTGAACACGTATTCTCTGCCAGGTGATTTGAAATTCCATCCACGGCAGACACGACTCAACATATTCCTACCCCAAGACAGCACGCGAAACAAGACAAGACAACAAAGCATGATATCTTAATCTAACCTACACGTGAGGCCTGCCCTGCACTGTTAAGTTATTTTGCTAAACGATTTAGATCTAATAAAAAGTTGAGGAAAAAAAGGGAAAGAAAGAGCTTAGTGCAGTCACGGGAAGCTTTCCAGAAATAATGACATGATCAACAAAAATTAGGTTTCTATGACATTGAAATCCAAGACCACGTGCAAAGTCTCAAGGTTCAATGAACTGTGTAAGGTAAATTTAAAACCTATTGAAGTTAAGCCGTCTGCAAACTAAGGATGTTCATTTCCATGAAAATGGGGACAAGTTGCAGCAAACAAACTACTCCACCCCGAAATGATTTGGGAAGAAGACATGCTGACACCCCCCGGCAATGAAAAGGTTGAGTTATTTAAAGTCTTTTAAATTGAAAGAATGGGGGTAGGGTCATGCTAAATGCATCAAAAAATTAATGTTGTTAGGCCCGCATCTCTTATCCATGTCAAGAAATCCCCCTTAATCTAAATCTTCATAATCTAGATTTCAATGTCATGCGTCAAGGGGAAAAAAAAAAACCCACAAGCCCAACTTCTGTAGAACAGATTGAATACCTGCCACTGCCAGAAGCATTTGATGCAGGACGTCAACCCCTTTAAAGTTAATAAAAAGAAATGCCAATAGAGTTTGAGGTGCGCAAATCACAAGTGAGGAGACTCAAACAGAAGCACGTAGCCGGATGAGACCCAAAACTATTCAAAATTGAAGATCCCAGAGAAGGGCAGCCAGGAACGATATCCCAGGGAATGCAGAAGCACAAAACCAATGAAGCAGTACCAGAAGATACCTCAAAACAAAACAAAAGCATGAATTTTAGCAAGATCTCAAACTCTTAGCAATGCGATAGCAACTACCATGAATATACTCTATTACCTGTTATGGAACTACATGCGTCCTGCACAGAATAAAGAACACAAGCTGGGAAATCAAGAAAGTAACTAGTCCAATCCAAGAGTAGGATGTTCAGGGCGTTGCCCATCTAAACAGACTTGAACTGCAGTGCAAGCACACTAGTTTAACAAAATTTCAACATCCACTTGAAAAACACAGTTGCCAACTCTTTTAAATCAACTTCTGCTTCGACGCCGATCCCTTGCGCCATTTCTGCATATTATTAAGCATCATATTATCAGTATGAAATGTAAAATGATGACCGTGATTACAGACATGATGTCCACATACAAAAAAAAAAAAAAACACAGATGGTCAGAGGCATTCCACCATACGAATGCTTGTAACCACTTTAATAGAAAAAAGAAAACCCACAAAATTATGAGCATATTTGTTTTCAACACCTCCCAGTCTTAGAGAGCAGTAAAGTAAGGTAACGTCAAGCATGGATAGGGAGAACACGCAAGATCAAAAATTAAAAATTCATTAATAAGAATGAAATGAAACAATAAAAAACAAGAATTAATCAATAATCATGTCAAAGAATAAGCCGCGTTAAATGTTTCAATAATAACAAATCTGTTCACTGTACAAATTAGCATTCACCTAATTAGAAACTGGCAGTAAAAATATCAATGCTCCTCCAACAAAACTGTACCTAATTTGAAGCAGGAAATTAAGTTCAAAGAAACAAAAACTCACCCATTAGCATATGGTGGCTCCTCACGCCCACGATAAGGAGGTGACCTGCTATAGCTGCGTCCACGAGGCGATAAACTGCGGCGCCTAGGAGACCGACGAGGACTATAACTCCTGCTTCATATAAATGAATAATGCCAAAACACTCAAGAGATTAGAAATCTGCAAATTTGGGGAAAAAGATACTAACCCAAACAGTAACTATGAAGCCAACTTCCAACTCAGGAAGACGACACCAATGATCCCAAGTCATATAGAGAAACAAAAATTGAAAACTAGCAAGATTGAACTGTCAGAACTATCGACATCATCAATACTTTTATAATTTTTGAACGTTTATCACAATCATCAAGTCACATACATATGAGCCCCATTAAAATCATGGAAACTAGAGTTAAACAATAAAACAGGCACAGGGAGCTCACATAAGAACATGGCAAGAATCCGTAATCAAATGAAAAAATAACACCACATCGTGCTTGCCTGCACAAGTGCACAATGAAAGCCTGAGATAGCAATCTAACCTTCGCCCATAACTTGGGCTCCTACGAAATCGTGGGGGACTGCGGCTGCGGCTGCGGCGTCTTCCTGAACCACCACGCATGCGACATTCACGAGCAAAATGACCGGGCTCACCACACTCATAACACTTCAAATCAGAACCGCCAGAACGACCACGACCACCTCCACGCCCACCACCTCCACCTCTGGAATTGTGGGAAAGCTCCACCCTCCAACCATTCTTACCTACTCATGGAAACAACAATGAAAATGCTAAACAAAAAATAAATACAGCAACCCAAATAAATAACCATTTATTCAGGTGAAAGAAAACAAATAATAATACCTTCTACTTAAATTATAAGACTATAGGTCAATTCCAGCAGAAAAATATGATATGCATAACACTTTCCAACATGCGGATTAAAAATAAGAAGGTGGAAACAGGTGGCATTGGTAAAATGAACACAGATATCACTCACATGGCCCATGGGTATATAAATCTATTAGAGCTCAACTTGCTCATAGGAATATACATTTAACACAGGCAGCACTCACATGACCCATAGATTAATTGCAGTAGCATACATCTCAAAAAAACAAAGGCATTGTGTAACAGACGTGTAGCTTTGCCATAACCCTCCAAATCAGTGCAATTCCTCAGTTCACATTCTCATTTCCCTTCACATACAGTCAATCTCTACAAAGCAGCAGTCTTTGATGAAGACTGGCGGAAAAACCACTACTGCAGGCCTGCTTGCAGAAGAGAATTGCAAGGCAGAAGTAGAAGAAAGAGAGCATCTGCTAGCACGTAGGCCTATAGCTTCCTCATAGGAGAAAGAAGACTTAAATAGGAAGTCGAGGGAAACCTTTCTACATATCAACCAGAAAAGGGGCCAAACAATATTAAATTAGCAAGTAAAATGAACAGAATATTAACAGAAATTTGCAGAACAGATTTAGAAAGCATCGCAGTTTTTTTAAAATCCTCTCGAACGTACCATCCAATTCCCGAATAGCATCCTGTGCATCTCTGCGGTCATCAAAGTCAATAAAAGCATAACCAGGTGGCCTCCTTGCAACCCACACACTGCACAAACAAAATTCATGGCGCCAGTTTATTATAAAAACGAATATAACTGTATTCCAGAAACAACTCATTGTCATGAAACTTGGTTAAAAAAAAAATTAATATTGAAAAAAAGAGTTAAAAAGCATGCCGACTACAGAGCAAAATGATATCAATTCATGACCCAATGCGTTTGATTCAAATGATATAAGGTTCACACCTTCGATGAGACAGTACCATTCAATGTAAACTTTGTCAGCACAGCCAGTGATATGGTAAAAATTTACCTACTCAGTCTAAATTACAAAACACGAATTGCAAGATCACGAATTGACGGTTAAGCTACCTTCGTATGACTCCAAATACACGGAATTCATCTTCAAGGTCTCTCTCCGTAACTCTTGAATCCAAGTTACCAACATAAACGCGAGACATGACTTCGGCCTTTCAGAAGAACCTGCTGCAACACAGAGACAACACGAATTAAACAAGCCGACAGAAATCATGCAAATCTCGCAGCAGAAAGTCAAAAACTTCACTTTCTCTTCAAGGAAAAAAAATGAATATGTTCAAAGCAAAAATGAGCCCAGGCTCTAATTCCAGGTGAAGAAAAAAATAGACCCTAACTTAGTAAACAGAATTGAGAACAAATACATGCGCTTAAATGGCTTCTGGGAAGGTCGCAAGACACAAAACCTGAATAGTAGAGAAGCGAGATCTAAACCTGAAGCGATGTGATGGAGAACCAGCGAAAAACCCTAACCTCGGCCGCCTCACTCTCCTGTTTGCCCTAGGATTAATATCCAAGGCAATTACAAAGGCAGGAGAAAAATATCACAATCCCGCCCGTGTCACTATATATATATATATATTGCGCCTTCGATTTAAAAGACTTCAATACAAAATATCCCCCATCGCCGTCTCGTCGTTAACCGGAGACGACCGTAATAACTAATAACCCGATTATTTTTTTTCCTAAAAAAGTTTTGTATTTTAATAATTTAATTAATTATTATATACGTATGTATACACAAAAGGAGATAAAATGAATTTAAAAAAAAAAAACTTTATGAATAGTTACAATTTGATTTTTATTTCTAATTACCAAATTTAGACTTCTGCTCCCTTTGTTCAATACTTCAATCCATAAAGCTGAAGTTGGCCATCATCGTCACCCTCATTCTGACCACTTGAAAGGTACAATTATTAATTTCCTTAGATATAATGTTATGCTTCATAATAAGATTCTAGATTTGGAGGGTATTTTAATTAAATAATTAATATCCACCAAGACAAATCGTATGTATATCTACAGCGTAGTTTGAGAAAGATATGTTTGATTGACTGCGTTAAGGTCTCTACGGCTAAAAATGAATGTGAAAGTGGAAGGTTTGTGTGCGATGTAATTTGTTGAAACTGAAAGGAGGTCAAAAGTGTGTTGGGAAAGACATCATCGGGAAAGTAGGATCATGAGAGGTAAAGGGAACCTTAAACCAGAGTTAAATTAAGGTTTAGAAAAATGGTCGGATCATAGTCCACGTGTTTATAGAGCAATCGCCATGTTCTGACATGAGAGAGTCACTCCCACCAACATCGTTCAATATCCATCCCTCCTCTCCCCCTCTTCCATTTTTCCTTCTCTTCTATTCTCATTTTCATTTCCTCATTCATTTCCCAACCATCACTCCGTTTTCTTATCTTCCCCCATCACAACAAGGCAAACCGACGCAAAAGGATATATATTAATTTGTCACAATGTCATTCTGAATTGCCACATTTACATCAATCTTGTCTCTTTTTTGTTCTTGTTCTTCTTCTGATAGATATACTCACCCACATTGCAAATATAGCGAATCATAGAATAAGGACACAGATATGTCTGCCGAACCAGGACCATATGAACCAAAGAATATCCTCATAACTGGAGCGGCTGGTTTCATAGCCTGTCATGTCACGGCCAGGCTAATCCAAAAGTACCCCTCGTACAACATCATAGCTCTTGATAAGTTAGATTATTGCTCTACTTTCAAGAATCTCAGGTCATGTTCTGCATCACCAAACTTCAAATTCATCAAGGCTGACATAGCCAGTGTTGATATTGTGAATTACCTAATTATCAAAGAGAAAATAGACACTGTCATGCACTTTGCTGCTCAAACCCATGTGGATAATTCGTTTGGGAACTCCATGGATTTCACTTACAATAACATATACGGCACCCATGTGCTTCTTGAGGCCTGCAGGGTTACCAACTGCATAAGAAGGTTCATCCATGTCAGTACTGATGAAGTTTATGGTGAGACTGGCTTGGACACCGACATTGGCAATCACGAGGCGTCCAGGCTTCTTCCCACCAATCCATACTCAGCAACAAAAGCAGGAGCAGAAATGCTGCTAAAAGCTTATCATAGGTCTTATGGTCTTCCTGTTATAACAACTAGGGGCAATAATGTGTATGGTCCCAAACAGTACCCTGAAAAGCTTATCCCAAAATTCATTCTTTTGGCCATGAAAGGTGAGAAATTGCCAATCCATGGGAATGGATCAAATGTGAGGAGCTATCTCTATTGTGAGGATGTTGCAGAAGCATTTGATGTCATACTTCACAAAGGAGTGATTGGACATGTTTATAACATAGGTACTAAAAAGGAAAGGAGTGTGCTAGATATTGCAGAGGAGATATGCAAGTTCTTTCAACTGAATCCTCAACAAGTCATAGAGCATGTTAGAGACAGGCCTTTCAATGACAAGAGATACTTTCTGGATGATCAAAAGCTCAAGAAGTTAGGGTGGGAGGAGAAAACTTCTTGGGAGGAAGGAATTAAGATGACCATAGATTGGTACCAAAAAAACCCCGATTGGTGGGGTGATGTGTCTGCTGCATTGAACCCACATCCGCGTTTCTCTGCAATCAATCTCTCTGATGAACCAGCATGGTCCTTCCAATATGGATTTGCAAGACTGGCAAGGTCATACACTGACATTACTCGCAATTCAGACGTGAAATTCCTGATATATGGCAAGACTGGTTGGATAGGGGGTTTATTAGGAAAGCTTTGTAATGAAGAGAGAATAGCTTGGGAATATGGAAGTGGAAGACTGGAAGATAGAACAACACTTTTAGACGATATAAGAAGAGTAAGGCCTACCCATGTGCTAAGTGCAGCAGGAGTCACTGGCAGACCAAATGTTGATTGGTGTGAATCACATAAAGTTGAAACAATAAGGACTAATGTGGTGGGCACTATAACTTTGGCTGATGTTTGCAAGGAACAGGGTTTATATTTGATGAACTTTGCAACTGGCTGCATATTTGAGTATGATGAGAAGCATCCTCTAGGATCAGGCATTGGCTTCAAGGAGGAGGACAAGCCAAATTTTACTGGTTCCTACTATTCAAAAACCAAGGCTATGGTAATGTTTCAGAAACTATCATTTCTTGTTTTTCACACCATGATTGATTTTAATTTTGATATGGTTTAAAAATAGGCCTCTTCCTCTTCTTCTTCCTTTTTTTTTTTTTTGTGTCTTTTCGACGAACACCAAAACCACACTTCTGCGTAGAGGGTTTTTGTTTTCTCTGCTAACCCACCATGCATATTTTCTATAGCAATGTCATTGACATCCAAGAACATTCCAAAACACATGCAGGTAGAAGATCTCCTAAAAAATTATGAGAATGTGTGCACACTCAGAGTTAGAATGCCAATATCATCAGATCTTAGCAACCCAAGAAACTTTATCACAAAGATTACTCGCTACAGGAAGGTGGTGAACATACCAAATAGTATGACGGTGCTAGATGAGCTTCTACCCATAGCAATTAGGATGGCCCAGAAGAACTTACGAGGGATATGGAACTTCACCAACCCAGGAGTGATAAGTCACAATCAAATATTAGAATTGTACAGAGATTACATAGATCCCCAGTTTAAATGGGAAAATTTTACTTTGGAAGAACAGGCAAAGGTGATAGTTGCTCCCAGGAGTAACAACGAAATGGACGCATCAAAGCTCAAGCAGGAATTCCCAGGTCTATTGCCCATCAAAGATTCCATTATGAAGTACGTTTTTGAGCCCAACAAGAAAACATGAACAGCTTTTCAACTTTTCATGTAACCTTTGTATCTAAACATCTATCTGTAAGCAGTGTAAAAATTCGAATGTAGGACAAGTCGTACTTCGCTTTTTTACTTCTTTTCCCCTTTTTAATCCATATGTAGTCTCTTTTTTCTCCTTTTGGGAATATGATGGGTTAATAACACTTACCAATCTCCTGTGGCTTAATGGTCATAGCTATACAAGATATATCTTTAGTATTTTTTGGCCATATGTTGTCATCTCCTCAACATTGTCAATTCCCTTAACAAAGCCTCTTCGGATGTAACTGAGTTACCAGCATGCACTGACAGAATTTATGCAAGTAAGGGTGTGTTTGGATGAAACCAAACCGTGGTTTGGAAAAGTGATTTTGGAGAATAGATTCTGGGGAAAATAGATTCTGTGAAGAATAGATTTTGTAAAAAAGTGATTCTGAGAAGTGAGAGTGTTTGGATAGTTGTTATCAGAAGCACTTTTTATATATACAAATTACTAAAAAAAAGACATAAGTTAATATGATAATTACAGAAAAAATAGATTTTATGATATATTTTAATTTGAAGGAATAAAATTGTTAATAATATGTTTTTTACCAACATAATTAATAATACATAAGATAATATAATTAATAAATAATTAATGTGTATATATATTTATAAAATATAAGATTAAATATATTTATAAAAAAATATGTTTATAAAAAAAAACAAGATACATATCATATAGGCCCTCACACTCTCTCTTCTTTCTCCAAAAGCAAAAAAATTTTGCTTTTTCCAAAACCATGGTTTTGACCCAAAACCATGGTTTTGGTTTTTGGAGGGGGTGTTTGGGTAGATTATTCCCCAAACCATGGTTTGGAGTGTCACCCAAACACACCCTAAGGTTCAAGTTATTAATCTAGAGGAGCTTCGTCCATTCACCACCTTATATGAAGATTCAGATTCGGCAATCTTAATGGGAAAAATATCAGAATAGAACAAGTAGCTCTCCGCTGAACGACAATGTCAAAAGGAATGTTGTGATTTTTACAGTTTAAAATAACCTATGCCTTCATTTACTTCACCTCAATATACAACGTTTCCCGTTTGGCTAGCTAATATTTTTGCCTTATGATTAAAAACAAAATCCGTTATTGCTATCTTCATCCCACATTTTGCTTTCTTCAGAACTTTTTAAAGAATGCGAGGTAAACCGGAAAGAATCGAAAACGAACTGCTTTAACACTGGACAACATGCATTATGGTCATCCGAGTTATGCTCCAAATAGTCATAGAGGGAACATTTACTAAAGGATCTGGGCATCAGTGGTCATAAAGGCCTATGTAAGTTATAGCGCCACCAGTATAAATGATTCATGATCAATAGATTTAAACATCCGTAATGAAGCTATGATTGATATGATAATACAAAAAGAATGGGCAACTTTGAAATTTCTTATGGCTCAGTAGATGGAAAGACGCCAAAAATCAAAGATCCAAAGAACAAAAGAATCGCGACTTCCTAAACCTATCTCATCAGACAATCTGCTATCAGTACGTCCCATGAGTCCATGATTTCTCTGTGGAACATGGGCTACGCTCCCAAAATCTCATCATTGTGATTTAATCAAAGGTGAAATGCTTCAGACTCTTCGCAGATTGCCCCAGATTCGCCTTTTCTTCCATGTTGTCTGCAGTCTGCACAATTTCCAGCATCTGTATCTTCATTCATTCATAACAAG